CGCGACACGCCCACAAAAATTGATTGTTAAAAGCAACAACAAAAACAACAAACTGCCCAATTTTATTTATGGCTACAGGCAAATATTGGCACATTCTATGGATTTCTATGGACAAACTTTCGATTTCGAAATAAAAACAACACAAAACCTCGTTCTCCAAAAGCAAAAATAAAAATATGAGAATTGAATTGGAATCGGAGCAATTGATAGCTCTGTATTGTTGTTAAGCAGCAATGCTCAAACTTATTTTTATACAAATAAAAAAATGTATTATTATGTTTTTGGGTATTTTTTATATATGATATATACTGGTAAGCAACAGCAAAAGTGAAAGAACTGTGCAAAATTGATTTCAATGATATGGCAGAATGAATATAAATTCCATATTTTCTAAGGGCTTTGAAGTAATTATTTATTAATTTAACTTCATTACATTTTCTTTATTTATTTGCTCTACAACTCTCTTAACATTTTTGGGATTATTTGATTATTGTTTAGTGAACTCTTTTTATAAAATGATATTTCGCTTACGGTTCTTGAATTTATTTGAGATGGAGACAATTTTACGAAATACAACTAAGTTTTCTAGCAGTCAACTAAATTGTATTTCTTCCACAAACACGCCTGCTGACTTTAGTTTATTCACAACCATTGACTTGCTCTTCTTCAAGTTGGTGATCACACAATTAGTATCGATCGATATCGACACAATTAGTATCGATCGATATCGACAGATATTAGGTAACAATCTTATTACTATGTGACTAGCAGGCTGTCACCAACATTACAAGCGGCCTGCTACAGTTTATTTATCCGAATTTCGATCATATTGAAGTAATACAACATTATGGTATTAGTCCTTTCCTTAAAGCCATGGTATTTACTGGCTAATACCCATATCTCGAATCTATAGTTTTGCCTAGTGCACATTGCTTTAGTAGAGTAACAAATTGCATCCACTGAGCAGAAAGTATGTAAGTTGTTTAATACCATATTTGGTATTGGGGTTTTTCATGCTGTGCACTGAATACGAATTAAGAGTCGGAAACGTTGAGTGGATATTAAATTTTCGATTTCAATTGCCGGCCAGGGAGTTAAGCGCAACTTGCTTGGCCAGACAACTTTCAATGCAAATGCGGCCAGCAGCTAAAATCACCCGATACCGTTATAAGGCACTGCTCTGCAAATAGGTGCAGCTAATGCAATGCAGGGGCAGCAGGTGCAGGGTTAGAGTGATGGTGTGGGGCAGGGGGCATAGCGTGTTATAGCTATGGGGTAGGTGACATATCATTCGGTTAGCTGGTTGACTGACTGATGAAAAAATGTGGTTAATGTGTTGTTGTGGTTGTTGTTGCAGTTGTGGTCGCTGCTTAAGGTAACCACACTTATGCACTTGATCATTTTGTCTAATTAAGTCAACGATTTTTATATTTTTTTTGCATCTTAGCATTTTGTATGTTATTGTGCTAATGATTTATTTATGTTAGAATTTGTGTAAGTGAATGGTTAAAGTAGTAAAACATGCAGTTAATATATGAGCAAATATCTTGTTCAGCGGAATATCTTTAAAATCATGTATTTTTTAGTATACACTCTGTATATACATTAAATATGTGTATGGAAAAGTAAAACAACCATAATAAAACTTAGAATAGTGTGTGTTTTTATGGAATTGATTTTATGCTATTGTAAACCTTACATATATATTTAAATCACCATGAATACTGTAAAGTCCTTCGAAATAATTTCTAAATATTTCTAAATATTAGCCTGGGCGAAAGCAACAACCATATAGTAAACCACTTCGCATATGCAATAATCTTATTGCACTTAAGTTTTTCACAAATTTCCCAACATTTTAAAACTTGCATAACGTGCAATAAATTTAATTTTTGCTTCAACTCAAACGCAGGATATGCACGTCTAATCAATTTTCGCATTTAACAATTAAACCTGTACATAATAAAAAAAAGCTGTGTGAGTGTGTGAATGACAGTGAGTGTTTTTTTTTTCTTTTGAATAGTATTCAAGGAAAATACTCGTATATTCATTATGACCAGATGAGGCAAAATCATGAGCCGGCTCAATCCATTTCCATTGCCAACATCAACATCAACATCAGGCCGTCGAGTGGTAGTTGGTTTTTGGCCTGGCCAAGTGCTGTAGTTGTTGGCTGGCCAAATGCTGATGAACTTGTTTGCAGCGCCTACAGCGGCCAACACGAAAAGTGAATGGGCAGAGGGTGCAGGGGGCAGTGGGCAAGCGGGTGGGCAGCTTCGCTGTTTGTCGCCTTAACAATTTGGCTAAAGTTTAATAAACTTTATGAAATGTTGTCTTGAGTGGGAAATGCAGTCGTGCAACAAGACAACTTCCAATCCAACGACTCCAACTTAAGTGACAATGACGTTGAAGCTGCAACAGACCTAGGGAAGGGGGGAGGAGTTCGACTCCAAAAAAAAAAAGTTGGCAACTGATAAAGAAAACTCAAGGAAAATCAATAAAACGGGAAGCAAATCATACACATTAGAAAGTTTTTCTGCCAAACAAATTGCAAGCCGTTGTAAAGTACCCTTTTTGGTTGACTATATGCAAATTTGGAAAAGCCTTTCAAAATTTATGGCATGTTTTTAAGTTGTAAGAGTTTAATAAAAAATTTTAGGCCAGGGCCAGCAAATATGAAACTAAGGAAAATCTATCAATTTCGGATTAGTTTAAGGAAAATCGAAAAAATGAAAACAACATAAGACTGAAAATATGAATATTATTCTTTATTTGTATACCCATTAAAAATGGGGAAAACGGTACAACATATTGAACAAATAGCCGCCTTCTGGGTATCTCCTAGTCGAGCACTCTCAACTAAAGCATTCTAACTTGTTTTTAGTACCTAAATTTATTATCTTGAAAGTATGTAAGACTTGTCTACTTTCTGTTTCCAGCTCTAGCTAAACTAAACATATTTCGGTTAAATATTATGGTCTTAAAATAATACATATGTTTTTTTTTTCTTTTTTTTATATTTTTAGAAATCGCTGCTAGAATTTGTGTGACCTTTTTATTTGTAATAAATATCAAGTAAGTAATGGTACATAAATGTGGAGGGAGTGTCTTTGAGCCACTCCTAGAGTCACCAACAGGCGAAAAGGAGTTGACGTAGAAAGTGCGCAAAATGGGGCGAACCGGGGGGAACCGATTGCTGCGAGGGTTATCATTATGGCCACACACACACAAACAGATTCATAGACATAGACACATGTGGCATGGAAAAGTCGTTGGCAAGTGGATTGTCAGAATCGAGTAATAACATGTTGTAAGGCAGCAAAAATGCCAGCATCGAGCTTGCAGTATGATATATATTTATATATATTTTTTTGTATATATTTTTTTTATATGTGCTGCATTTGAAATTGCATCCATTGGATACGATTCTTATTAATTGCATAGACGATATGTACAGCAGGCAATCGAAGTGAGTGGCAAAATTGGTAGGTTGCATGCATTTACTGCTGCAGAAGCTAGTAATGAACTGATAAGCGTATAATGAACACTGAACGCTGTACAGTGAAGCCAACAACCAGTTCCCAGTTCGGTTTCCAATTGGAATTCCAATGGGTCGTCCACCTGGTGCGAAATGTGGCTAAAATGCTGCACACACCGTTGTACAATTTGGAAGGCGTGCCTTTTTTTTCTTTCTTGTGTTCGCTGATTTCAATAGATTTTAAAATACTTTAATGACTTTTGGCCATTTGCCATGGCTGCGGCTCTTTCGGGCAAGTTAATGGCTTTGACGGGTCTTTTGTTCTGTAAAAATTTAAAGCTTTGCAGTAGTAAGTGATTTCTCTGGCAAAAAAAAAAAAATAAAATAAAAAACACCGCTAAATCTCGCCAATAATGAACCACAGCTAGATGGGCAAATCTGTCTCTAGCGATCTATATGCAAAATTCAAATGCTTTGTCAGACACCTGCTAAGGTCTACTAAATGGGTCAGATCGCCACTGCCTGCCAAGCGTGGCTAACAGCCCCGTCAAATTAAATAGTCGTATTAGCGTAAAGAAATCCCAAAGAAATCGTTACAAAAGTGCTACTGCTTCAATTTAATTGCTAATGGCTAAAGTTTGTTAATTTAAAAACACATCCATTTTTCATAAAATATAAAAATTGAACAAGTTGAAAAATATGCAAGACAAAATACAATTGATAAACAACTAATACATTTAATGATTCATTCGAATTTTAAAAAGAATATGTGCTAATTAATACCTGATTCTAAGATAATTACGATCAGTTAAATATTCAAAATTCTTTTTAAAGTGAATCAAATTATTCCATTTAATAAAATAATTGCACAACATTGAAAAAAAAAAGAAAAAAACAAAACAAAAATCCAGCATGCATGTGAAAAAGTGGCAAATTGCGAATTTACTTTGTGCGCATTTAACAACTTTGGGCAACAGGCTTTAAACAAAAACAAATACAAAACATAGCTCATTAAATAAATGACTCAAAATAAGAACAACCCGCTTCGCAGCGAAGGCAACAAATGAGAAAAAGACAAAAAATAATCAGTAAAAACAACAACAATATGAAAACTTAAGGAATTTAAGCGGCAAAAAACAACAACAACAATAACACACACATACACACACACACGCACACCTTTAAGGCACCACAGATGAAAGAAGAGTTCAATGCACGCAAATCGGCTTGAGTAGAGAAATTAAGTAATACACCGTGTAGATAGAAATGTAAGTAATTCTCGCATTGGAGTAATGGAAATGGAAATGGAATTGGAAATGGCAACGGCAACGGAAAAACCTGAATCAATCGTACTAAAAACTTGCCGTTTAGAAAATGGCAAAAGTAAAATGCAGACAGGTAGCAAAGAAAAGAAAGAAGAGAGTGTAGAGCGTATATGGAAGCCAAGTCAATTAGCTATTGTCAAAGTGTGAACAGGCCATCTAATAATACGTTATTTAATATTTTTCAATCACACGCTCACCTTTCAGTGTAGAGTTACAATCCAAATCCAAATCCAATTAAAACATCTGTGCACACTAAACCTCCGTTAAATCACAAATATTGTATATTTCGCGCAATTTGTGTAGCTGTTTGCGTTTATTAATCGTGAACGTTAATGTTAACTATTTCTAATCGGTTTTGAAAATGCATTTGGAAAAACACGCGCAGGCGTTACGAGTTCAACAGAACAACATGGGCTCAAGAGCTTGGCCCAAGCGACAGCGATAGATGTGCAACCGAACTCATCGAAGCTCAAAACTCAACTGGTATGAAGCTTTCCGGCGCTCTCGTGGCGAACACACGCGCGGCCAGCTCAAAAGCTGCGCGAGCGCGTAAAGCTCTCTGGGCATCATTTGCATGCCAAGTGAGATTGTGAGCGAGCTTAATTATAATTTGGCACGCAAACTGAGACCAGGTAAAAAGCTCGCTATTTCATTTGGAAAGAGCACAACTCGAGTGATTTATTATATCAGGTTTTCTGTAGTAGATTGTATTTTTTGTTTGTTATAGGTTTTGTCTTATTGCTTTGAATGTAAAATGCTCAATTTATTTTATTTTTGTGTTAGTTCATAAACAAATTCAATGTACACATCAGTTATAAATAAATATAAATAAATAAATAAGAAATACATACCAGAATAATAAATGATATATGGAATCTATACATTAATAAAATATAAATGGAGAAAATTCTTAATTGTTAATTGAAAAATTCTAATCATAAATTTTCTCTAAACAGTCATATGTAAATATGTGTAGGCGTTCTTGCTGTTATTTTTAAAATACATATTGAATATTATAATAAATAATAAATATTGTTGGACACAAATACTGTCAATTGAACAAGCTTAATTTTTTAACTACCACTGGGATAAACAGAGCCCCCCTCCCTTTCTATATAACTACATTTATATAACTTTCCAACTGAAGCTGCCTAAAAGAGTGCAATATTTTATTTTAAGACTAAACACAACACAGCATTCAACTTTATTTATCGAAGAAACCGCCATTGAAGGAAGGCCTTCACGGTATTCAGCCCATGTCCTGTGGAAATCCACTTTACCATTGATTCGCTGCTGGATCTGCTGTCTTAGAGTCACATAAAGCATCATCGAAATAATTAAAGAAACTGAAGTGAAGCACCCGGATCATCTGCAAAGGCAGTGAAATCTAATTCGGGTTTCTCATTTAAATCCTCCAATTTCTGTTCACATTTCTTTACTTGGTTTGCATATTGGTAACTTGTTAGTTCTTTTTATTAATGGTTTTCTTATATTTCTCCAACTGATTGTTTAACTCCAATCAATTTGATTGAATCGCTATTCATTGAAATTTTTTGTTTTGTAAATTGGATATTTGCTGGTCGCTTTGCTCAATAGTTTCATTATGTTCCTCCAGCTGTTTTATAAACTACTGCAATTGGATTGCATCGCATTAGTTTAGTGGCTTTTCATTATCAGCGACCATTTCGATACTCTGCTACTGAAGATAGAAGGGTATATTGGATATCAGCTTGTCAACCAGTTTGCCAATAAAAAAATACCTAATCAACCCCAAAAAATTGAAGAGCACAATTAAAACACCGAATATTTTATTATATGAGGTTTTCTGTAGTAGTTTGTATTTTATTCATAAGTTTTGCTCTATTGCTTTGAAATTTATCGAATGTAAAATACACTTTTCTTAAAGCTGTCAAAAAGATATTCGAACCAACTCTTTTGTAATTGAAATGTAGTAAACAAATTAAAGGCTGAGTGCTAATAAAAATGCGCTGCATTTTAAGTACTGATACAAAAGCAATAAATTTATGTTGGGATATACAAAAAAAATAAGGATTGTTCACACACAATATTATAATGAGTTCATAAGCAATATCAATACCCATATCAGTTATAATCAGACATGCTAGACATTAAGTAAAATGCTTCTTTCTTTTCATAACATTTTGCTTAGTTAGGTGAGTAATTTGTTGTTGTGTTAAGTTTAAATTTTTTAAGGTGTTCCTTTTTTGGTTTTGTTCTTTCGTTTTTGTTTTTTCGCTTAAGATTTTTCCGAAACATTAGTTTGCTTTTACAAATTAATAATTGAAATGGCTCGATCGGGTCCTAAGCATGCCCACCCATATCATCGACAGCGAGGGCGCAGAGCATGTACATCATTCCGGCGCTGAGAATAGCCGTAACCGGCACAGTAACTATCCACGCATAGGCAATATTCCGAAACAAATGCCAATCGACGCTGCCATCCGCCGCCGCCTCCGGCTGCTGCTGTTCGAGCTGCTCCATCTGTTTGTGCTCCTCAAGCTGCTGTTTGCGGCCGGCAGCGCTCACGTGTCCCACAAAAACAACCGAACCAACTTTGCAATGTGTCGTCGAAACGGGCAAGCCAATTTTGCTGGCCAGCAGAACGGTGATGGCTGCGCCAACTTCAATGGTGAAGCCACTGCAAGCAATTAATATAAATTAAAAGTAAGTAAGTAGTAATAGTAATAGATAACTAATAATAAGCAATATATATTTAACCACAGTCTGTTTGTTTGTTTGTTTTACTCACGTCGATGAGGTGATCTTGGTCAGATCGTTGCCAATGGTTTCGATAACGCGCCGTCCCCAGAGCCAAAGGCCAACAGAGATGCCAATGCCGCCGTATATCAATATATAAATGGGACTCTCCGCCTTCTGCATTACGGAGCCCTCGCGGTAGATCATATAAAGGGCGATGAGGGGACCAATGGCATTGCTCACATCGTTGCCGCCATGCGCGAAGCTGCCAAACGTTGCCGTCAATATCTGCAGGAACGAGAAGAGCATGGACACTTCGGGTGTCTCTGCGCCGCGATTGTTGGCATTACTTTGCGCCTGACGCTTCAGCTCCTCGACCTGTTCATTGAGCGCTTCCTTGCTCTCGATAAGCGGCACCTTGCTGGAATTGGGTGACAATGTGGAGCTAATCATCATTAGATCCAGACTACCGCCACTTTCCACCACCTGCAGATTGTTGTTGGTCGTGGTGGTGGGATTGTTGCTCGCAATTGCATTGCTGGCTGCTCCAAGCTGCTGCTGCTGTTGCTGCGATTTATGCTCCTCCTTGGGCGATTGGACGCGTTTGAAGCACTCCTGAAGTTTGCGTCCATTTTGACGTTGTTGGAGTTGCTGCTGCTGCTGCTGCTCATCGATGTAGTTCAAACTGGTCACAGTCAGATCTGTGTTATCCAGACTCGCCTTGCCCAGCAGATCCTCCGCCTTGCGTATCAGCTCCGGATCGATACGGTAGTCCTCGGCCGGTGCATTATTATTCTTGGCAGCGAGGCCAAATGGCGCCAGCTTAAACGTTCTCGGTGAATTGTCGCTGAGCGAGACCAGCTCGGTGATTTCGGCAATAGCCGGCAAGGGTTTACCCTCGCTGACCAGCGACAGCGGACGGCGCTGCTTCTTGGGACTGCCCGATGGAGACGATTCTGTGCCGGATAAGTTTGATGATTAAAAGTTAAATAATTTAAATTTCATAGCACAACTCACCCACAGAGTCTTCGAAATTGAATTTGACGGGATGCTGGGCGCGCAGCTTCTTGGCAATTGTCCGTCGCTGCAGTGGGACAACGACCAACTGCGTCAATAGCGCCACCAGCAGCGACAAGCCAACGCTAACACTCAACGCTATCCAAGCGGGTATGTTGTCCATATAAAGCACTAGACGTAGGATAAACTATTAATAATTATACCAGGCAGCAGCAACTGGCTGCAACTTACACTTGGGACCATCGAGCACCACGCTAATAACATTGATGAAGAACGTGCAGCCATAGAAAATGGGCAGCGAACGAAAGCCGGCCTTGAGCGGCTCTTGGGCGCACAAGATGAAACGTCTTATGGCCAAATACAATAGAATGCTAACAATGCCGCTCATCACGGGCGAAATGAACCACGAGCCAACAATTGTGCCCAACGTTGACCACTTCAGACCCTCCACGCCGCGTGCCACCAACGAGAAACCAATCGTGGAGCCAACAATGCTGTGCGTACCCGAAATGGGCAACTTCAAAAACGTGGCCACCAGCAGCCAAATTGCGCTGCTTGTCAACGCCGAAACACAGCCAAGCATCAGCACATCCTCATCTCCCTCGTACAAACTAACCTCGAGTATTCCCTTTCGCATCGTATCCGACACCTTGTAGCCTGTAATGGATTAAAGATTGAATTAAGTATGCAAATGCAGACAAATTGACATTCTCCTCACATACCAATTAAAACAGCGCCGGAAATCTCACAAATGGTGGCCAGCACGCATGCCTGACGTATGGTTAAAACGCCGGAGCCGACGCTGGTGCCAAAGGAATTGGCCACATCGTTGGCACCGATGCCAAAGGCCAAAACAAATGCAATCAGAAAGCCAATAATGACCATCCATAGCAAATCTGGTGAGTAGCTCTCCATCGTTGTTGTTTTACTAATTGCAACCTAATTAAAACTTTTGCCAACTCTCTGCCTGTCTACCTGTCTATTTGTCCGTCTGTCTGTCTGCTTGCTCGAAACCAAATTGTGTGTGTAAAATTTTTGGACGGGTTTTAGGGATTGTTTCTTCTTTTTGTGCAAAACAAACGTGTTGGTAAATTATAAAATACAAATACTACAATAAAGAAATAATATATATATGTGGAAAATAATCTTAATTATTAATAATTGAAAAATTCTTTTCAAATATTTTCTAAACAGCCATATTTGCGCTTAGACTTCATTGTTGTTATTTTCATAATGAAAATTAGAAGTACGGTCGCGTTGTGGCACACAAAACAATAACCACAAACCCCTCGGGTTATTATTTGAGCCTCCTCGATCGAAGCTGAAGCTGAAGCTAAAGCTGAAGCCAAAAACTGAAACTTAGCTCAGCTATCCGGCTAAAAGTATGCAATAAGTTAATATTAAAGACTAAACACAAACTGTAATAGTGCGACAACACTGGACGACACTAGACTACACTGGCTAATAAATTAATTATAATAAGATTTATAATAATCAGTTAATAAAAATCTACTCTCTGCCTCTCTCTATCGCTCGCTTGCTCTCTCTCTCTCTTTCTCTATATCTGTGTCTGACTCCTCTTGCAACTTGTAATTAACACCACTTGCGTTGAATCCCTTGGAAAAACTAGCAATAATTTTCTTTTTCTTGTTTGTAGCAGCTAATTTTGTTTTCCATTTAGTTGTTCTTCTTGTTGTTGTATTTGGATTTAACGTTGTTGTTGTTGTTGGTGGTGGTGTTGTTGTTGCTGATGTTGTTGAGTAAGTGTAGTTAGTGTTGTTATTGTTGTGTTTGTTGTTTCAGAGAAGTTTCTTGTTATGTTGAGTAGGAGCTAATGGCAGTTGCCTTGTTTAACTGCAAAAGGTATAAATACAAAAATTATGTAAAATATAATTTAAACTTTAATTAAAATAGTTGATTTCTTACCTGACGTTTAGGACAGCATAATTGTTTCCACGTCAGAGAGAAGATATTCACCATGTCTGCAAGATACATTTCCAATCGGTCAATCAATCAATTCAATTCAACTTAATAAATAATAAATAACTAACTGACTACCCCTAATGCAGTTATTGATCCTTCGTTAGACAGTATCCCTACTATGATGAATAGTTTCCTTCTTCTCGAAACACTTGCTACAAATTAATTGAATAATTGAAAAATTAAAATTGCACATTGCTTAAATTGTTGCAATTTTTGTGTATTAAGGTCACGCTTAGGTAAGTAGTGTATTTGTGTGTAGTTATGACACACTCAGAATAAAATCTGAAACTAGAAAGTTTATCTTGTTTTTTTCGAAATAAAAAAAAAACAATTTCTTAAAATTAGTAAGGTTTTTTTCCTATTTATCAGAAAGATATGGTAATAGAATATATTATTTAAAAAAAAAACATCCTCCGAAATTCATAAAATATTAATGAAATTGGTTTTCTCGTCTGTTATATTTGACTTAGAGTCCCTAAACTAATACCTTTTTTCTTACAAATGAAGTTATATGAATTTTGTAACTTTATGAAATTTTCTTTGTATATGTGAAATCTTAAAATACTTATGTTTAATAATAAATATAAGTACCAAAAAATCTAAATATAATTATTAATTATTAATATACACACACAAAAAAGTTACACTGAAAATCAGACACATTTTTCAATATTTTACAAAAATGTACCATAAGAAAAAAAAAATTTTTAGAAATACACAAAATATACTTTCTGAATAAAAAGGTGAGTCAACGCTTGGCGATTTTGTTTCTCAAGTGTAATTAAATGGTTAATTTGCCCCAAAGATAAGGGTAATTGAAAATCGTGCTCGTATTTTTTGTTTTAATAACGAATGTTTACATTGCTCGGAAACGAGAATCAATTGATTGTTTGTTCATTGCAAATATTATTGTTACTGTATAAAACGGCTACATAAGACGAACACGTGAAATTTTTTTATAGATTACAAAACATTCGTATTTAACGCTTATTGAGGCATAGCCTTGTGAAACAAAGTACAAAAATATCTAAAAGACTAAACTCAAGGTTTAAATGGAAGTAAGCCAATTATAATATTCATAATTATTCTTCAAATAAATTAAGTTTTTTATTTGGATTCCAAATGTAATATTTTATCAGTCAAATACCATAAAAAACTACCAAGAATTTGTAGACCCATTTTATAAAAATTAGTGGTACAGGGTATAATAAATTGCCAGCTTATATTTGGTTCTAGAAATTATATACCTGCCACAGAACAGACTAAAAGTGCTTAAACAATGGCAATGTTTAAACAAAAGAGCTCTTAAAAGGACCCCCAAAGGACCCATATGGGCAATGCAAACCCAAGGGGAGCTCAGGATCTTAACCAAAACAATTCCAGTTTGTTTTTTTTTTTGCTTGTTCAGTTAAAACTTTGCGTAAGTGACGTCTCCAGCGATATCCTCTGTCCCTCGCCCATTCAACTATTTGAATTATATACGCATTTTGCTTGAATAATCGTGAACATAATAATTGTTGGCAATTTGTTGGCACAATTTTGTACGCTCAGCTAAAAATAGACACAAAACACGCAACATTTACGTATGCAGTGCTACCAAAACAGTTTTCGCTGTGCCATTTCAATTTGAAATTGGATAAGATTGAGGATAGGGGTCAGGGTGAAGGGTTTTAACTGGAGGGTCTTAAAAGCCACCCCATTGATTTCAACTGACATGCTAAATTATATGAATGACGTCAGGTAAACAACTCAGAAAACACGCACAAGAAATAATGGCTATTAGATATCCTGTAATTATAGAACTATATATAATACATATAAAAATATATAATAATATGATAAAATAGAATGACTTTTAGATATACTGTACTTAAAGAATTATATATAATAAATAATGACTATTAGATATTCTGTATTGTTAGAATTATATATTATACATAAAAAAATATATAATATGTACAAAATATAATTATAATATAATAATAGAATTCATATATTTAAACACAACCTTCCCACAGCAGTTGCTTATATATATTTGCATTTCCTATATACTATATTATATATATTTCCAATAATTCCAACAATTTCTCTATTGTCCGAAAACACGTGGTATTTAAAGCAATCACATGAATTACACATAAATGGAAACTATTTCAAACACTTCCCATTCATTATGCACAGTGGTTCAATACCAATTGATACAATTTGAAAACTGAGAAATTAAAAAATAGATAACTAAAAAACAACAGCAGAAAAACAGACTTGCATGTCTAGGTGTAGGCAAGAAATACCGTTGCAGCGTCGCCAGCCTTGACACTGTCAAATAAAAATTGCATTTAATTCGCCTTTATTGATTTAATTTGCCGCATTCCATTCAAGGACGAATCACTGCACCAAAGAAACTAAATTTTAAAACTGTAAAACTGGATAAAAATAAAAGGGCGCCCCATTCCTAAACAGTTCCACCCTCAACGCTCAACGGTTGCGCCTCGGCTTTACTCGGGTGGTTGCACAGCGGCAAGTTCAAGGTCAACGCGGGTTGGCCGCCATTTCTTGTTGGTTAATCACAAAACAGGTGAACTGGTTTCTGCAGCAGCAGCGACTCTCAAACTGTGCCATGCAAAATTTCTATTCAACTCAATAATATGGAATTGGATATGCTTTCATCTATGCATGAATGAGTCGACTTTTGGTTGTAAGTCTGTATATATATATATATATATATATATATATATATATGTGTGTGTGTGTGGCAAGCTGCAAAGTAATTAACGAGCACGTGCAACATAGAATGCAACAATAACAACAATGAGCATATTCAATCAATTGAGCGGAAATTTACAAGTAGAAAGTTCAAAGTGAATACCAATTTATTTCAGGTTCAACAATTTACTAAATTAAAGAACGTCAGCATTTTTTAGCTATGTTTTTTCACTCTCAACTGTACTCGCGATATATATTTGCAATTTGGAAAGGGGGAAAAAACATCCATCTTAAAATCTTCATGAGGCCTTTTCGTCATCCCTTTGTGCCAAATTGGAAATGGACATTTTCAGGATAAAAAGTAGTAGAGTTGTAGCATAACATCCCTTCCTATATAAGTCCCATTATAATATATATCCCACCATAACATAACTTAAAAATGTAGAGTCGCTAAATATATTCAAGAAATGAGCACACACATGTGTATATGTGTGTGTGTCTGTATATTATTTGCTAGTCATTCTATTCTTTCTTTTCTTGTTTTTCGTTTTTTATTTATATCTTTTTTCTACAGCAAAATCACGAGTTTGTCGGCTGATATGAAAACGTGTGCGTTAACCAGACTAGAAGAACAACAAAAAAAAACATTCCAAAAATATATATGGATGGCGACTATAAAAAAATTAGCACCAAGAAAGATTGGCAACGACTATGAAATACACTTGCAAGAAAAATGGCACATGTATAAAATCATCACTGCTATATTATATATATTTTATGATATATTATAAATATATATTTACAAGTCATTCCGATGCTGATCGATTTTTGTTGAGTACATTGTCAAATTCATATTAAATAAAACAAAAATAGTTGATAAAACTGAAATACTCGAAACAAAGGGTATTTAAAAAGTTGTTGACAACGTGCTAAAACTTCTTAATGGTACACACAAGCACACACACACACATAGCAAAAGTACCAAATCTACATACACAAAAGCAAATACGAAGCTGGGACAAAAGCTAAGCACAAAAAGAAAGAAAAACACAAGCTTACACAAAATGCGTTAAATGTTTATAGATGAGCCAATCAAAGGTGAGAGGAGTTGACTGTTAACTGTACTTTGCCAACAGTTTGAGCTGCAATGGAATTCTTTTTATTGTCTGTGCCCTTTTTTCCTCCATTCCTGGCGACCTTGTTAGGGTGGTTGCTGCTGCTGGTGCTGCAACCAATCATTCTGTTCTGTTTACTCATGATATCATCTATGCAGAGAAATTATTGCTTCTGTGCAATTGAACAAATATACATATATATATGTATATATATATATATATATATATATATATATATATATATGTATATACAGGCTTATGTTCATATGTAAGTATTCTCCTGGTTTGACGTAAGCGCAAGGAAATAAATATAAAATATTTCTCATATTGAATATTCATATGTGAATGCATACACATACACACACACACACATATATATATATATGTATGTATACAGAAATCGCGAAATACGCCGGTACAGTTTTACAGTCACCGAGTCGAAGCAGCATCCAAGCGGACAGCTTCAATGTCAAATGCATGTTTTGTCCGCCTGAGCTTAACACACACACACATACACACACACATATTAACACAATGTACAAGTATTTGCAATATTTAAAAATATGGCGAAAGCTTTTTTCTTAGTACGCAAGCGATAAACTGTACAACACTTAATTGAACCATCACGTGAAATTCTAATAGGAATCGAAGACAAAGAAGAAGCAGTCGCAGACTGAGAGGCGCTTGTGAATCATGACACGTAAGAGGTAGTTACGTGGGAGGGGGTGGGTAGGTATAACATGACTTATAAGGGATATCCAATAAATTCCCAATACTATGAAATGCGTCTGATCGGATTGTGCGCTGTGTTGTTGTTGTTCTTCTTGTTGTTGCAGCAGCTGCGCAACAATGAATCGACAACAACAAACTTGAAAACAGCTGCACATGGCAGCAGCGCATGCCAAACTTTACGACGTGTGTGCAAAGTTAAGGACATCAAATAACTGTACCAGCGATTTATATTAATTATTCACAAATGAAATACAATTGTGAAGAAGAAGCAGAACAAGTTTATTTTCTGTTATTTTTTTTATGTCTTGTGCCCTTTAAAAGTTCAAATCATTTATTGATTTTTCGCGGCAAAGTAATTACGTTTGTTGTTGTTCAAAACGCTTTAAAGCATGAAGAAAAAATGTCTAATTTAAATATGTATATGCATAAGCACACACACACACATGCACGCAGACTCCCACACACACAGAGACAGACACGCGGACTGCTAGAAAAAAACACGCGGCGCCAGCAGGACTACGCAAGGATACACAGGCGTATATATATATGTGCCAATATACACCCACTTAAATATACACACATTGAACATTGAATAGTGGCGTGTGTTAACCAAAATTTCCCTTTTTTATACGATTGCAGTTTATAGTTGAAGTTTACTCACTTGAATAGCAGCACTTTTTCAAATCACAATTTATTGGATGTGAAATTAAAGCGTCACGAACGCGCGCGCACTGCTGCGACCACCGGCTATCTGAGAATGACGATATTTCCTATTATCGATATGTTGTTATACTCAATGCCAATTAATCGATAGATAGTGCAAGACTCCACCGCAAAAATTTCTCCGAGCCATATTTCGATTTCAAATTTATCGTTTTTGAATTTTTTGTTAAATTTTAAGCAAATAAAATCTTATGAATTTAATGATATAAGATATTAACAATATTGATAGTTTTAGCTTGTGTTAGAAATAAAATATTGCCAACTGTTAATACAAGTTGATGTTATTAGCAGTGACTGCAATAACAGAAAACAGACTACAAAAAAAATCGAACAAATCGTGACAATAAAAAATATTAAATAAACTTAAAAAATGTTACGAAATAAAATATTGCCAATTTAATTGAATTTCATAATTTTAAAATTTATGCACAAATAAGCAGTGATAGTCTTTGTTAAAAATAAGTTATTCCAAACTGTTAGTAACAGTTGGTTTTGAGTTATTGGTGACTGTTATGTGCAATAACAGAAAAAGAACAACAGAAAAAAAATCGAGCAAATCATTGTCACAAAAAGAAACAAAAGAAACTTGAAAAATTCCAAAACACAAATATAAAAAACTAAAAATCGTTTTGTGTTGGTGTGTGCTAGAGAGACGCAATGTTTCATTTCAGTGGCTTCAACATGATGTTCCCCGACGGCGGACGCAGTTTCCAGGCCACCTACAAATGTTTCTCCGTCTCAATGCTGCCCGGCAACGAACGCTCAGATGTCGAAAAAGGCGGAAAAAGTACGTTAAAAAATATGATAAAACCAAAAAATTAAACGTAAATTTGAAAATAAAATTTTGCAGTTATAATGCCACCATCGGCGCTGGATTCGCTGACACGTCTCAATGTGGAATATCCGATGTTGTTCAAGCTGACGAACAAAAAGAAATCTCGATCTTCGCACGCCGGCGTCTTGGAATTTGTGGCGGATGAGGGAAAATGCTACTTACCCTATTGGATGATGGACAATCTGCTGCTCGAGGAGGGTGACATACTCAGCATTGAGAGCGTATCACTGCAAGTGGCGACATTCTCGAAATTTCAACCGCATAGCACCGATTTTCTGGATATAACCAATCCCAAAGCCGTTCTGGAAAATGCTCTGCGAAATTTCGCCTGTTTGACCAAAGGCGATGTCATCGCCATCAAGTACAACAAGAAGGTGTATGAGCTGTGTGTGCTGGAGACGAAGCCCGGCAATGCGGTCAGCATCATTGAGTGCGACATGAATGTGGAATTTGAGGCGCCCGTCGGCTATAAGGATCACAGCGAACAGCAGCAGGCAGCGCAACTGGCGGGCAACCAAGCAGCTGGAGGCAGTGGTGGAGAAACGGGTGCTGCTGCTGGTGGTGGAGCTGGTGGCAGCAACGCTGGTGCTGGTGGCTCAGCCCTGCTCGAGGAGGTCGTGGAGACGTTCAAGGGCTCCGGCGTGCGGCTCGATGGCAAGAAGAAAAAGGATAGCCAACTGGAGACACCGGTGCTGAAGAAAATGCTGCCACGTGGCGTCCCAGACTATGATTATCAGTTTGGCCTCTTGCGCTTCGATCGCGCCATCAAACCGATTAGCGATCGTGTCCAGCAGGAGGCCGTTGCCAACACGGGCGGTGAGCCGGGCGCTGGCCAAGATGCCGACAGTTTCCATGGCACCGGTTTCTCCATGAAGAAGACGCGCAAATAATACGGATCATATATATATTTATATCTGCTCTACATAGAAATTAGTAAATATAAATTGTAAAAAAACCAATCAAAAATCGAATCACAAATTAAGCGTCAATTTGAGCTCCGGTTCCTGGGGTTGAGCTGGCGGCGCAATTGTCGTCATTGGTGGTAAACGGCGTACTTTGCGTCCATGTTTGCCTTGCTTGCGTTGCCACAAACCGGAACGCGGTCGATTGCCCAATTGACGCATTCGTTGAGCACTACCCACATGCTCCTTGTTGTGCTCGATGTTGGACAAGCGGCCCACCGTTGCCATGCAAATCCTGTCGAAGGCGAACTCCCGCTTGGAGGGCAGCTGAACGACGACTTTGTCATCGAATTTGCGCAGAATAGTGCCAAAGGTGCCGGCGGCATGGATCAAATGACACAGTTGGCCGGGATTCTTTTCTAGGCAATGGATGCGTGTGCCGACGGGCAAAGCGCCTAGCGGATAAGCATCGCCATCATTGGGACGCACTGCAGCATGAAGAGTTGTGTTTATATACAGAATTTACATGAACATATCATTGACTCACCTGGAATCCTTGGAATCACTCGCGATGTTTTCAGTATGTCACCCTCGCGCATATTCTCCGTGGCCAATATGTACTTGAGCTCATCGCCGACAGCAACCAGGGCAACCTTTGCCGTGCGACAACCATCCCGGAGCAGTTCAACGACTCGCTCCTCTTGGGGAGCTCCCTCAGCTGGACCATCGCGCACCCATTTGATCCAACGATATTGCTGCTTGATGCCACCGCCAATACCTTTGGCCACTAGGCGACCACTCACCGGATCTCGCCCGGCCAGATGAGTGATCTTCAGCGGTTCCACAGTATATTCCTCGGGAAAGTGAACGATGCGCCGAAATTGTTGTCCTGCACCCGGTTTTGGTTTCTCGACGAGTTTCGTTTTGCAGCGATGCAGTTGAAGTGTTGCGGCTGCCACAATGCGCTGCTGTTGCAGTTGCAAGCCGCAATTGGCGAGCAGTCGTGTTAAGCTTTGCATTGTACACAGCAAATTCGTTTTAATTCAGTATTGAAATAGCAACAAAAAATACTCCAATTTTGGTTACGAAAACATTTAACAGAATTGCTGCGCACTGTTAATGTTAAGAACAGCTGTGTATGTGACCAGGTTGGTTTTTTCCGCGTGTCTGTTCAAATTTGGTTGAGGCAAAATGTTCAACACATCTTCAGGGTTGGAGTGTGTGTGCTTCTTCTTCTCAATCGTCACGTCGTGTGGGCAGCTGCTGCGGAGCGCGCTGCAAGCAAATAAGAATTGAAAAAGAAGGAAAAAACCGCATTAAAATTTGTGAAAAAGTGCACAAAACACGTTTAAATTAAGCCTAAAATTCAGGGTGTTAAGCGAATTTGGAAAATACATTGCACAAAAACATTCACAGCGAGAACGGGCAGTTAAAGAGAGGTACGCAAAAAAAAGAAAATAATAATAATAAACAAGGCGAACGAGCCGATAGAAAGAAAAATAATATACACACACAAACATGCTGTTGATATACACACACGCACGCACACACATACGAACGCTGAGTGGCGAACGAACTGCACGAAAAAACGTGTTGTGTGCTAAATTTTCTGTGCAAAAAATAGAAAACGCAAAAACAAATACTAGCTAAAACGAAATAATAATAAAAAGCGAGAAAAAACCAAAACAGTTGAGTTTGATAATCAAATGTAACAACAAAGAATAGTACGTATTTATAAATAAATTGGAAAACAGAGTAGAACTTAATTGAAGCCAGCGAAAGAAATATAAATAAAAATATATTTGTTATTTTGGAACATGTTCCAAGTGATGTACATGTGTATGTATGTATATACGTATGTTGTTACTAGTGTGTGTATGCGTGTGAGTGTGTTTGTGTGTACCCTTAACTGTGTGTACAATTTTAGTGTGAGGTGGAAAGAAAAAAAAAGCGGGCGGCAAGTTTACGCAATCGCCAACCAACGAGCGACGCAACATATTCATATATACACATAATATATACATACATACATATATATTTATATATAAATATGTATATGTGCCTGTATATGTGTCTATGTGATGTACATTGTGAAAAGTGTGCTTTTCGTATGTTTACTGTTTTTTTTTTGGTCTGTCATTTTGTCCACAGGCAAACAAGACAAATACATATTTACATTTTCACATGCATACACACATATGCAGCTTTGCATGTACATACAAATGTATATGTATGTGTGCGTGTGTGTGTGTGTATAGTCAAGCAGGTGGAGTCGCGCCGACGTCGTTTGTTTTTTATTTTTTTCGGCTCCGTTGCTAGCTGAAAAATCAACGAGCGGCATTTTTACGCATTTTCAATATGCCCACACATACACTCACATTTATACATGCCTTGCTGTGTGTGTGTGTGCTTGTTTATGTGTATGTATGCGCGCGTACTTGCCTATGGCTATGTGTGTGTATGTGTATTTTGGTGTTTTTATTTATTTATTGTGTTTCTGTTTTGCTGATGCGGGGCAGCAGAATCGTAGCAGTGACCTAACGACGTACATGCATATGTATGTGTGTATGCGTATATGTTTGCTTTGTTGTATTTATTTTTATAGCATTTTATTTACGTTGTTTTTCGTTAATTTTATTTTGGTTTCATTTTGCATGTTAGCGCATGTAATCTTCAATCGATTGAATGGGAGCCATGTGGGGGCTAGGCCTTTTTTGTTATATACATATATTTGTATGTATGTAAATACGTATAATACATTTATTGTTTTTTGTGTATGTATGTACATATGTATGAATATCCATTCATATGATTGCTGTTAAAAAAAACAAAGTGAGCACGCTACTTAAAACAGTGTTGCCAACAGAACTCAATAAGCTTACTGGCAAAAATTTAACTGTCAATCGCTGCCGATCCATCAATTGAGCATAATATCAAATAAACTTAATAGATGAGTTCCTTTTTTTTTTTATTTATTTATGTTTTTTTTAGGCATTATTTGCAAATTGCTATTCGTAATAAAAAAAAAAAAAAACTAAAAATGAAAAATATTTACAATTTCATGTAATTATATACTAAATGGAAATAAAGCACGTTTTCTCATAATTTGATACATTTGGCAACACTGGCCACATCGGGACTCGACTCGACAACTAATTGTCAAGCGTAAACAGAACGTTGCAGGCAGCACTGAGCACTTTCTGCTTTACTCTTCTCGCGCGTTGCACAATAGAAAAATATCAATTTCTATCTGAAAACGTAGTCCGCTTTTTTAGAGCTTTATTTATTTGTAGCTTTGCGCCGCCGGTAGCTGCTCCAATAAGCTCTCTATTGTATGTTTTTGGGGCTTAATGCTCTCTCTGCGTCTGCAGCCCGGGCAAATTGATGCCGCATCAAAGAAAAAATGAGCGCACGCGCGCACAACGCCTCCTCTCTCCCAACGCATTGTGTTTTGCCGTGCGTGCGTGTGTGTGTGTTTTCGTTTACTCACGTAGTGCCGCAACGTAGTAGTAGTAGTGTTATTATTGTTTTTATTGTTGTGAGAGTTGTTTTTGCTTGTTGCCGAGTGCTGTGAGTAAGAGTTTGTATGTATGCATGTATGTCCGTGTGTTGTATGTGTGAGCGGCTATGGTAGCAAAACATGAGCAAAGCAAAAACTGAAAAAGAAACGAAATGTAAGTACATATGTTTTCATAAACATATATACGCATTTAGGTATGGATGTGCGTGTGTAGTGGTCTCTGCGAAGTAGGAGACGACGACAAACTGCTTATACAGAGAGTGCTGTGTATGTATGTGTATGTGTGTGTATATTTGGAAAATATTTAGCGTGTGTTTTTTGGGCTGACGAAAAACCTTGAGCATAAAATAAAAAAATAGAAAAACTAGAAACACGCGTGAAAAGCTGCACAAGTAAATTAATTATCTTAATTTTTTGTGTCGTGGGTCGATCGGTGAGCAACACGCGCTTTTTTATTTGCAACCAACTTTTAAGCGCGCTGCATACAGAAAGAAAAAACCAAACGAAACAAATAAAAAGCAAAGGCTAAAAAAAATAAATAAATAAACAAAAACAATGCTGTGTGTGTGTATGGTGTGCGTCTGTGTGTGTGCAATAATATTTTTTTTGTTTATCAGCGATAAGTGCTAATTATAAAAAAGGAAGAACACACAATAATAAGAAAATAATAATAATAATGAAATTAAAATTAAAATAATAATAATATTAGGAATATTAATAAGAATAACAATAATAAAAATAATATTCTTAATAATAATTTGTCTGCCATTTCTAGTTTGACTACGAAATAAACAAGAAATAGCAGCAAAGGCCGAAAGCAGAAGTCAGTGTGTAAGTGGATACCTCTAAATGGCTGCCACAACAACAACAACAACACTAGCAACAACCACCAATATAAGCAACAACAACAACATTAGCAACAGCAGCAGCAACAACAACAACAATCACATTGTAACGGTACACACCGTTTTAAACACACCCACCTCCGCAGCAGCAGCAGCAACAGCAGCAGACGCGGCAACTGTTGCCATAGCCAAGGACATGCTGCAGCTTCATCATGGCGCCGCTGCAGCGTTAAACAACAACAATAATAACAATAATAATAATAATACTATTAACAATAGCAGCGCCGAATTGGCAAACAATCAAAATAATAACAACAACAACAGCAACAACCACACAGCAAACCACCCACCTGCCCATGCCCACACCCATGTTGTAGTCGGATCGAGTTCACCCCCAGCAGCAGCAGCAAATGCAGCTGCTTTTGGTGTGCTGCGCTTCAATGAGGATCTGTTGCATATAACGGACGAGGTGACAGTGATTGGACGCAACTCGTCCACATCCCTGGTGCACTTCAACGTGGCCGAGAACAATTTGGTGTCTCGCAAACATTTCCAGGTGCTCTACGATCCGGAGCGTCGCGCCTTCTTTGTGCAGTGCCTCAGCAAGAATGGCATATTCGTTGATGATTTCCTGCAGCGACGCAATGTGGATCCACTGCGATTGCCGCAACGGTAAGTGCTCAATTCGCTTTGCAATTCTCCTCAATTCATGTTGAATCCATATCAATTTTGCAGCTGTTTCTTTCGATTTCCGAGCACCGAGATACGCATCGAGTTTGAGAGCTTTGTGTCTGCGCCGGCGGACAGCAGTGCGAACGATGCCGCCGCCGCCGTCGCACCCATCCTAAGCAGTCCGGCTGGAGCAGCAGCGGCAGCTGCAGGTGGAACTGCTGTTGGCCATGTCATAATAACGCCGCCGCCACGTGACGAACTGCACTCGTTGCAAGCGTCGCATCATCACAACCAGCACCAGCAGCAGCAGCAGCCAGCGCATCACAGCATGCAACAGCAGCAGCAACAGCAGCAATCGCTGCCACAGCATCATCCCCTCCCACTCCCACATACAACACAACACCTGCTTCACAACACATCGCTGCAACAGCAGCAGCAGCAGCAGCGCCTTCCCGGCGGAGCAACGCCAGCTGCTGCCACACAGCTGTTGGCCGGCGGCGGCGTCGATGGAACTGCTGCCATCTACTCACCACTCAAGATTTCAATACCCAAGAAGGAGCAGAAGAGTCCCTATCTGTCACCAACTGGCAAGTGGAATTCTCTATTTTCAATTAACTAAAAAAAAAAAAAAAAAAAAAATCCAATTGGAATTGTCGTATCCCATAGGAATTTGCAGTTTAAGTTAAGCCGTGCTCAAATTTATTAGTCATGAACTAAAGTTTTTAATGTCTATCAGCAGCCAAATCAATCTATGGTTGAAATCAACTAATATTTGCTTTTCAAGTTAAAAACTCGACGCAAAGCTGTGCAAATAAAAAAAATATTTGTGCGTCTTTTTTTAACTAGGAAATTTGACTTTTTTTTTTTTTCATTTCTTAAACACAATGGTAACTTGGGCATTTATTGTCTATGTGCTAATGTTGCCACAAAATCTGTTGCGTATTCGTCAAAAGAAAAAGAATGATATAAATGATCAGACTGAGGAGGAGGCAACTGCTGCATGCAACAGCAGCAGTAGTCGCACTCAAGTAAACAAATATATTTAATATGTTTAGTTAAATAGCAAAGTAATACCAATTGTGAAATCAACTAATCTGCTGTTTTTAAACGTTTTACTACAGGTACAATAAGCGCTGCCAACAGTTGTCCGGCTAGTCCTCGTCAGGGCTTTCACCAGAATCAGGCCAACAGCTACAACAATTATAGCAACAACAATACGGTGAGTATTCCTTATCTCTCTCTTGATTGATTGTGGCATATATTAAATATATTTTCTTTTATGATTTGCAATTGCAGCAGGATCTATTCCAGACACCGTCTACAGCCAGTTATAACCACAATGAGAAGCCGCCGTATAGCTACGCTCAGCTAATTGTTCAGGCCATATCTGCCGCGCCCGACAAACAGCTGACACTCTCTGGCATTTATTCATTTATTGTCAAGCATTATCCCTACTATCGCAAGGAGACCAACAAGGGCTGGCAGAATTCCATACGTCATAATCTCAGTTTAAATAGGTAGGTTACTGAAACGACAAAACTTTTAACTCAACTTTAATCATCGTTGTCTGCTTGCGCAGGTATTTCATCAAGGTGGCTCGCTCGCAGGATGAGCCCGGCAAGGGTTCGTTCTGGCGCATCGATCCGGACAGCGGCGCCAAGCTGATCGATCACAGCTATAAGAAGCGTCGCCAGCGCAGCAGCCAGGGCTTTAGGCCGCCATACGGAATGCCGCGCTCGGCACCCGTCTCGCCCAGTCATATGGGTAAAATTGCATTCCCAAATCAAGTCTCCATAATCTAATCTCTCTGAATGTAGATAACTCACGCGAGAGCTCACCGCTTCAGGACATTGTGCTGCAATCGGCACCTGGCTCACCCGGCATGTCTCTCGAGCAGCGCGCCGCCGATGCTGGTGAGCAGCAAATAGATAATTATTATTGGGTTTTTATTTACATTTTATCAAAACTTGCAGAAATTATCTACAACTCTCAAAATGCACACCAGCACCAACAGCAGCAGCAACAGCAGTCGCAACAGCAACAGCCGCCACAAACGATGGCCAATAATTCCAATCAATTCAAGTGAGAATTGTTTTAAATCAAATATATTGTATAGATGAAATAATTATATATTTTTAAATTGCAGCAGTGGCAGTCCATACTACGTAACCAATCAAAATGCCGGCGTTACTGTGCAGCAGGCGCATGTGGATGGCGGTGGAGGTGGAGGTGTTGGCGCTTTGATTGCGCTCAAGCGAAATCACATAATGACCGTGTCGCATCCGGCGCCACCAACGCTCCATCAACAGCAGCAGCAGCAACAACAGCAACAGCATCCTGAGATTATCTACGAAGAGCTGCCAACGGATTATAGCGGTCACATGGATGCCGCCGAGGAGGAGTGCGTCACGGCGACAGATGCCACAGCGGCCAAGCGTCCCAAATACGTATCCGAGGTGCTCTGATGCGTACGCATCCAGAAGCAGCAACACAACAAAGGCAAATCGTAATTCGCAGTGAAACGCTGTGTGTGGAAATCGGCGGCGGAGCGGCAGCGACGGCGGAAACTCAGAACCGTTAGAAACCAAGCAAAAATGCAAAACAAAGCCCACTTGAAGGAAACAACTTCCAGAAAGCATAAAATTAAAAAAAAAATCTATATATATATAAAACAGAAAGAAAAAAAAGTATCTCCATCTTGTATATTGAATTTGCCAATCCCCCAAAACACCATTGAAATCCAAGCGGAAACAAACAAAAAACGAGAAAAAATGCGAAGAAAAACCAAAATTGAAACGGAAATGTTTATAAATAATATAACTGTGAGATTGTGTTTTAAGTGTTTAAGACCGTACAACGGTTAAGACGGCATGCAAACACTTTTCAAAAAAAAGTCCTCATTTACGATTTAACCCTTAGCTCTGACGAATTCAATATGCTCGATGACGCTACTCTCTAAGTACATATAATAAAAATTAAGGTTTAAATCGAAGTAATGCAAATAACACACACAAAAAAAAAGCAAGCTAAAATTAAATATATATATATATATATATATGTATGTATACCTAAATATATACATGTATATATATATATAGAAGATTATACGATTGATTATTGTAATGATGTTTAAGATGTTATAGCTATGTGACCGAATGAGAGAGAAAATAGGGGTAAAAACAACCAACAACCACACAAATAACAAACAAACAGGCGAATGAATATTATTACCTATCTACATACCTTTACCTATATCGATCTAAATATAAATAAATATATATCTATATATATATATATATACAATATATAAATATATATATATAAAGTATATACAAAAAATATTAAAAACTAAACAAAATGATAAATATCTACAAATTTACGGATACAAATACAAAATAATGCAAAAAAAAAACCATCTAAGTATAAATCAAAAACCAATCGAAAAAACAATTGCACTTTATTTCTTAATAATGAAGAAAATCCCATTTAAGTGTTTGGACAAATTGTGTATTAAAACAAAAAAAGCAAATGTCAAAACTTGTCGTTTTATTTCAGCATTTCGAAAAGTTAAAGTTAAGTTTTCGTTTTATTTTTGTATTTGTAAAGCATTATACTATTGTAGACTTCATCAACAACAAAAAGTATGTGGATTTTGTTATTTCTTTCAAGTTTCAATATCTCCTTTCACCGATAAAAATAAGTAATCTGAAAATTTCATAAAGATAAGCTTACAATAAATAGATTATCGTTAATTTGTTTTCTTGTTGACAATCTGACACATTTATTATCGCTTTATCAGTTCACCAAAAAACATAACAGTTAAGATTATAGATTGATTTGTGTTTGATTTTATTGCTTTCCACCTTACCTTGCCCGATACTGATTTAATAGATGGTTCATGCGACGAATGCGACCACATTGGATTTTGTATAATATTTCATATTTATCCTCTAATGTTAGAAATTTGGATTTGCCGGGTCCATCGTAGAACTCCTCGCCAGACATTATTGAAAAATTGATTTGACCAAATATATCATTGCAAAATTTCTCACGTAGCTTCTGGCATTCTTTTTCTTGAAGATCACATGCAGATTTTGTGCAATTATTTTCCACTTCATCATCCACGTTGTGTCCATCTAGTTTGGTTCTTTCTATGCGATTATTATTTATTTCGATTTCGCCATATTTAGGATTTTCGTTGCCTGCTTCGACAGCATTATTCTCCATTGTGGTTATTTTATCTAGAAATCCGTTGAATTGCAAGTACTTTTCAATCATTTTATAGCGCAGAATCTCTCGTTTATATTTTTTGGTTATGGCCATATAATGAGCAAAGACATCGGTGCTCAGGCGAAGAACTCGACTGCAAAATAGGTGTTTGACTTGAGTCCTTAATAGGATCAAAGTAACATGTTTGATCAGAGACTCATTGTCGAAGATATGTCCCAATTCAAATAAAGCAATTAGATCCTCAATTTTCATGGTGTTCGCCCGTTCAGTCAGAATGGAAAGACAGTCCTCCCTTAGGGATGGCACCAGCCACCGATTGCCGCAGACAAACAAATCCATTATTGTCTCACTGTCACATGAATTCAGCATATTTAGATCGTAGGTGTAAATATATTCGCGAAATGTTTTAAATATGATCGGTGAGGTGTCATCCAGGGTAAATTCTTTCGCTGCGGAATTCCCTAATTCAGTCAAAAACATTCGCTTGAAGAACTCCGAGGCATTGGCCAATATAACTTTATGACATTCGAATGTTGCGGTGCCCACGTTAATAATGCAATCAACAAAGTTGTCATCGCGGCAAAGGTTTTTGGCGGCATTCAACAACCTTCAAATAAATATTCTCATATAGTGCCATAAAATTCTGAAATTAAAGCCGCCAAGCTTACGATTGAGTGCTCATTGTTTTCCAGGGAAATAAATTATTAAAGCTGTCGAGAAATGCCGTCCAAGTCCTATGGAAAGTGATTGATTTGGTGCTGGATAACGACGGACAGAACTTCGATAAGATTAAATTTTCAATCCAATCGATAATTCTCACTTCCCAATTAATTTCGAATTAGTTTGAATACTGAATTCAAGGATAAGCGAAAACAGTTAATAACATTTGCGTATAATAATTCTTGATTCTTTTGTGGCAAACTAGCTTTAAAATAGTCGTTGCGCAGCACTGCCATTTACCGCAACAATTTTTTAGTTCACAAATAGAAGTCAGCTATGATAGACAATTTGGTTTAAGGATATATATAATGCAGTTTATTGGGTAAAAGTCGTACAGCTATTAAGAAAGAAAAAAAACTGTATCGAATGTAATCAAAATGATAATAACTAAATGGCTTTGGTTTCCTTTTTAAGCCAAGCCAAAGTGAATGAGTCCTGCGATAACAATGGCGAAAGAGTTTCCCAAACAAACTGATGATAGTCGTTTAACAATTTGATCTCATCTTCGGTTAGCAGCTCTTTGATAATCATTTTCGTTTGTTTCGGGCACATGGTGATCGTTTTGAAAGTGAGTGCGCCACGATTTGCAAAATTGTGCTTAACTTGGGCCGGGACAATTTGTACAATGTCCTCGATGCGTATGCCAAACTCACCGTCTTTATAGAAACCTGGCTCATTCGAAATGAACATATTCTCCTGCAGACCCGGATCGTCGGGCATGGGACGAAAACCAACGCCCATTGGACCCTCGTGTACATTCAAGAAATGGCCAACACCATGCCCAGTTCCATGGCCATAGTCCAAGCCGATATCCCACAGGGACTTGCGTGCCAGCACATCGAGCACCTGACCCTTGGTCTTTGTCGGGAAAACCGTCGCGCCCAATGCCAATTGGCCCTTAAGAACACGCGTATAGGTCTCCTTTTGAAAATCCGTGGGATTACCAAAGTGAAAAGTACGCGTCACGTCCGTTGTACCATCCATATACTGAGCACCCGAGTCACACAAATAGACTTCCTTGTTATTTATGGGTCGATTCGTTGCCTGCTCAGGATGATAGTGTATAACCGAGCCGTTGGGACCCGATGAACTAATCGTGGGAAAACTCAGCCCCATATAATTGTCTTTAGTTTTACGAAATGATTCCAGCTTGTCAGCTCCCGATATTTCATCAACTTGCTCGCCCCTTGCCACAGCATCTTCCAGCCAGGCATAGTACTCACACAAGGCGACCCCATCCCGAATGTGACTATTCACAAATCCCATAATTTCTGTGCTATTTTTGATGGCTTTGAATAGTGTGATCGGTGTGATTTCTTGATGACGAGTTGATTTTGGCACCAGATCATTTAAATACAGGCTGCTGGTGGGAGAAATCCAAATTTTGGACTTGGATTCGGCAACAGTTTGGCAAATGCCATCACCAATCGTTTCATATGGAAGAATCGATATTTTCACATTATTCGCAGACTGATGCTCGTCAAAGTTGTCCGGCAGCTTGCTGGCATCGACAAACAATACGATTTGATTATTTGTAACGATCATAAATGCAAAAAAGACTGGGTTATAATCGATGTCGGTGCCACGCATATTCAAAAACCATGCGATCTCATCCAACGAACTAACGATCAGAGCACTAACATTTTGCAGCTCCATTTGCTGACGGACGCGTTCCCATTTCTTCAATATTGTCTCGCCGGCAAAGTTCAATTTTAATGCAATGATGTTATTGGATGTACGGGCCGGTTGATCCACGCCCCAAACCTCATCGATAAGATTCCTTTCGATGCCAATTAAATTGCAATTGGCTGCAGTCAGCTCTTTTTTGATCGCTTTCGCTGCACGAAATGAGAAGAGGGATGGATCAACGCCGATAGTGCTGCCATTGGGCAGATTCTTGCCAAGCCATGCCCCAATCGATGGCGTTGTCGCCAGTCCATCCTTCATCAGGGTCCAATTATCGTCCAATTCCTTCTCTGCCTGCTGATAATAGCGTCCGTCTGTCCACAAAAGCGCCTTGTCATTGGTGACAACCGCCGTGCCCGCCGATCCTGTAAAGCCGCTGATGAATGCACGCCTCTCATCATGCGGACAAATGTATTCGCTCTGATGTGCATCATCCGATGGTACCACATACGCACTGATTACGGTCGCCTCGGGGGCACAGGCAGTTTGCATCAGCTCGCGCAGCTTTGACAACTTTTGCGATTGGGTTGTGGCTTTCATGATGACTTTGCTTGCTGTACTAAATAGGTTCGCCACTTTGATAGTTATCTCCGGAAAGGCTTTGTGGTTGGGCAAATCTAAGATAAGAAATCGCCGCTGATAAGTTAAGGAACGTAACAAATACATTTCTCAATTGTAGAGTTACCCAAAATCTGCTTACAATTTTGCAATTGCTGTCATTAAAATCAACTTCTGCTGTTTCCAGCTGGCTTCGTTTTTTTTCTCTTTCTTTATTTCTTCCTAGTGTTGCAAAACGGCCAATGAATGCTTATCGATAACGTGCATACCAGGTGTTTGTCGTGTTGTTATTTAAAAAACTTTCCACCAAAATAGAATTCACAATTTGTTGTTCTTCTTTACAAATTTTATACACAATTTCATATTTTATCTTATATGTAAGCAAATGTGATTTTCCGAGACCAAGATAATTCACGGTTCTAAGTAATGAGTCAATGCTTATTGGTTTTTGTTCTTTAATCTCGATTTTCGATTTAGTTTTCTCATTCTTCAAAATTTGCTTTGCAACTTCGATCGAATTTTGTTCGCCTAATTTTTGATTATTATTATTATTACTGTGTAATTTATTGTCGACGTCATTTTCAGACTTAAGTCCAGTAAATTGAATATATTGAATTATCAAACATGCAAATCTGGATGAAGGCTCTTTCAGAGCAAAGCAGGTTGTGGGGCGAAATTTCCTGTAAAATATCGGTAACCAATTTAATGAGTCTTGTCCTCAAAATTATGGGCAAGCTTAAACAAATTAACGACAAGCTTCAGTATAAATTTCTGCGGGTCGTTTGACTAATATCTTCTTACAGTCCTCTTTTATGGATGGTACCAGCCATTTTTTACCGCACAATCAATTCACCTTAATTGAAAACGTTGTTCTTAGAATATATACACGTTAATTTGAAAAGATTGTCAGATATAAAATGGCATAAAAATAGAAAAAGTAATAAGAATTCAAAAGCTGGAAAAACTCAACAAGTGTGCCAAAATTTGAAACTTGTCTATATTGATTGTAAGCTAAACTTGATTCGGCACAATTCCTGCAACGATTTTCCACATTGCGTCCCTACAAGCAATTCTATCGATTGTAAAAACGATAATTTCAACGTCGAATAAGCCATTCTGATTCTCGCTCGCTTGGTGGTCGTCGCTGTCAATATACATTTAGTTCTGGTGAATTAGCAAATACTTACAAAGATAATAAATATATTAAAATGGTTGTCAAAGCTGTATGCGTTATCAATGGAGATGCGAAGGGCACTGTTTTCTTTGAGCAAGAGGTAAATCACTTAATGTTTAGCGCTGATAGAAAAGACCAGAAAAAGACATGGAATACAACAAATACTAAGGTCGAAGAGCCGGTGCAAACTAACACATACACACTGTGTATGTATGTACATGCGTTTGTACCAGAGTTATTTAATTAGTATGTATACTTGTGTGTGTATGCGATTGTGGTCTGCTACTTGAATTTCAATTGCTTATAGTTTGTGCTGCGTCATTTGAGAAATGCACAATTATATAAGCACAACATTGCGTACATATATCAGTGTGTGTGTTGAAATACATGTAATAGATGCGAGAACTTGTTTAATTCTATTCTCTCGATCTCTCTCGCATGTGCGACGTGAGGTGAACTGTTTCATGCATTTACTCTTGACTTGCATTTTTGATTTAATATATAAATATATTCTTATATACACATATCTGATCAGCTTGTTATCTCTGTTTGTTTTTGACAGTCGGAAAATTGCCCCGTGAAAGTTAGCGGAGAGGTGACTGGTTTGGCGCAAGGCTTGCACGGCTTCCATGTGCATGAATTTGGCGACAATACAAACGGATGCATGTCGTCGGGGCCGCACTTTAATCCTCACCAGAAGGAGCATGGCGCACCAACCGATGGCGTTCGTCATCTAGGCGATTTGGGCAACATAACGGCTACTGGCAATGGACCCACTCCGGTTAACATCACCGATAAAGAGATCACGTTGTTTGGTGCCAACAGCATTATCGGACGCACAGTTGTCGTCCATGCTGATCCCGATGATTTGGGCAAGGGCGGCCACGAGCTGAGCAAGACAACTGGAAATGCTGGCGCTCGCATTGGCTGCGGTGTTATTGGCATTGCCAAAATCTAAACGACTTGAGAATCAAAATACATATTAATCCAGAAATATATATTTAAATATACTATTCATATATGAAATGAAATTATCATTCTATTGAGTATAAACAAGCATAAAAGATATTTTTTCCTTGATGTGTGTGGTAGTTTGCTTTAAGTCCAAATAAATGGTGTTATCAAATTGAACAATTGCTGCTTTTTTTTTGAAACGTTTACTAAAATATTGGTAAACAAATAGTACACATAAATTAGTAATATTTACAATAAGTTTGAGCTATCGCCTGACTACAACAAAAAATATAATAATAACAATATCAACGAAATAAGGAGAAGTAAAAATGACTCCTAAATTGTGGTAACTAGTACTACTACTACGTTGGTATCCTTGGTGGTATCCTTTTGTGCCGCCGATTGCCTTCGATTTGGTGAATGCTGCTTCTATGTCTTGTTAAAATACGACTGATAAACGATGCCCAGCGAGGAAGTCGCAAACAGAGTAAAATAACTCCACCAGGTTGCGAAACCCAGAAATCCCTTGTACACTTCCGTCGAGAACACCTGCAAAAAGTAGAAAATAATATATGAGCTTAAGCTGAAATATAATTCGAATATTGCATTTGCAGCACGTACATTTTTCAGACCAGCAAACGAGGCCTGCAATGACTGCGCCGATTGTACAATATTAAATTCGTTCTCTCCCCCATTAGGATCTAATGAGGTCTCTGGCAGCGATGCCATTTCTGTATCGGCAGCGCATTCGTGCTGCAGCAACACAGTCTCCTTATAAATGCCTGCCCAGCTGAAGCCACCTAGGCTCTTGTACATCAGTGTCAGATAGAGGCACAAAATCAGTGGCGCCGCAAATTGCAATGTGACAACACACAGATAGTAGAATATCGATGAGATCTGCAAGATACATTTGTTTACATAATACAATTTTCTAGTCATCTGCAAGTGTGCAACTAATCTGCCTTGCCTTCTTTTGGAACTCAACGTTGGTAATGCGTCCCGCCTCCTTGCGCAGATCGAGTATCTTGTCATAGGCCAAATTCAGATATGATTGCAAATAAATGGGCATCAGCGCAAAGCGCACAATGACCACAAAGACAACGAGCAGCAGACGCAATGTCTCGAAAACGTGTGGCTTTAAGCTGTGTACAAACGAATTACGTCAAATAATTAATTGATTAATTCTTCGTTTACAATTACTAATTACTTACAGAGGCTGTTGCATGCCCTCGAAGACGCGCACCGTCAAATAGTCGCGGCTAATGGGTCGTATCCACAGAATGACCAGTATGAAGGGCAGCACAAAGCTGACATTGAGCAGAAGCTGTAGCAATCGATTCCCGCGACAATATTTCAGTGAATCCCAATGCATTTTGGCCATGCGCAGGCCGGGAAAGGTGAACAGCGAGCCGAGCACACCGCAGCTGAGCGCCAGGAAGAATTTCACAACAATTTTGGAGGCCGGTCCACTGAAAAACCAATATATACAAATAAATAAAGACAATGACAATAAATATATATACATATATATATATACGCACGATGAGGGTAGACCCTGTTCGGTGAGAAATTTTGATGCGCTGGCATTGAAGCTGCTATAGGCATCCTCCAGCCCCGTTTCCAAGATGCGCTCATCAATGATCAGCACAATCATTGCGATGAGCAAATAAACCAGACACGCCACAATCACCATAGAGCGCTCCCCAATCGATTCGTCGCTTTGGAAATACAAAACGGTCAGCGAGGAGAGCAGTTTGAGAGCAAAGAATATGACCAGTAGACACCACACCATGCTCAGATTGATCTCATTCTGCAGTGGATAGAAGTAGTGAAATACTTCCGAAATCACATACACAATACCCGCATAGACGCTAAAATCGACCAGCCACTGGTATTCAGTGAAGTACCGTAGATGCACCACATCTCGCTCCTCCACCGGCAGCGTCTCCAGCTCCACCTCAATGCTGCGCGGTATGTGAAATGTATTTGAGGCACTAGCACCAGCACCGTTTGCCATTCCATTTGCCTGCTTGTGTTTGCCTTTGGCTGGACGATCTTTGGGCACACCGCCCTTGGTACGCAGCTCATCGTCCGTCGGATGCAGATAGCGAAAGAGTCCCGTGCGGCAAAGTATCCATTTGGCCAGGGAATAATGGGGACTCAGCTTCTGTACGACGCTGACCATCACCAGTGTGATGACTAGTTGAGCACCCAGCACTGCCTAAAAAAAATCAAACAACATACACCTCTCTATTATATATTAAATTTCTTCCTTTCATATAACTATAACTATTTTTGGGTCAATTCTATTTTTGGCCAATAATTATGCACATTCCATTTTTCCGGGCATGCCGACGTCGTTTTTTTTTTGTTTTGTGGACTCAGGAATTGTTGCTTACCATAATGATGTTGATGAGTCGCAATGTGTTGTGTAATGAATGTAGTCTGTGTCTTGTAACAATATGTGCTAATTGATATTGCAATTAATTCATGTTTCCTAATTAAAATAGGTGATGTTCTTTATGTCGTACAAGAAATCACTTGAAATGAACGAAATGAATCCGGAATAGAGATTGCTCTCAAATCTGGTTCGTTCGAGCTTGCACTGCTTGCTCAATTTCACACATGTACTGTCTATTGTGAACTTAACGGACGAACTTATGAAAGAAAGTTGTTTTTTCGTTTGATAATAATATAATATGAAAATGAATTGATTGGCAGACTAAAGTTGTTGGGAGTTTTTAATTTAAATTTAAAAACTGATGCAGCTGATATTTTGATACATATCTATATATATATCGATACATCGATATACCGATGTGCTTGTGCATCCCTGGTTGAGGCACGTTTTTAAAAGCCGGCACAAAACAAAAGTGCTTATTTAATTGCAAACAATGTTTATGAACTCCAATCTCTTCGAGCCGGGCAAATCAAAGTCTGAGCGTACCTTCGTCCAGTCCGCTGTGAAGCAGAACATACGCTTCGATGGTCGCAAATCCAATGAGTTTCGCGATGTTAAGCTTACCTTTGGTGCCGATTGGGGCACAGTCGCATTATCCATGGGCGACACAAAGGTGCTGGCCCAGGTGAGCTGTGACATTGGAACGCCGAGCAGCGCGCGAGGCAACGAGGGTACGTTGCATCTCAATGTCGACATCAAAGGTGTGGCATTTCTGGACGAGGTGCAAGCGACACACGATCAGCGACAATTAACATTGAACTCGCTGCTGGAGAGGACATTTCGCAGTTCCCGCTGCCTGGACCTGGAATCGCTGTGCATCGCAACCGAGCAGCATGTGTGGTGTGTGCGTGTCGACATCAATGTGCTCAACCATGACGGCAATCTATATGGTAACTAGAAACTTCAGACGTTTTTTCACTCTTATCTAAATGCATTTTGTTTTTGCAGATGCCAGCACAATTGCAGCGCTGGCGGCTCTGATGCACTTTCGCCGGCCGGATGTCTCGTTTATCGAGGATGAGATTCGCACGTATAGCGAAAGGGAGCGTGAGCTGATGCCGTTGCTCTTCCTCCATTATCCCGTTAGCGTTACTTATTGCGTGTATAAGAGCAGCACACAGCCATTGGTCGATCCCACGCTGCTGGAGGAAAATGCAGCGGATTCGATAATCGTTTTGAGCTTCAATTCGTATCAGGAGTTGTGCACACTTAACGCCGGCGGCACAGCACCAACAAATGTGCGCACAATCATGCAATGCGCCCACGGCGCCGCCAGACGCTCCAAGGCACTGGTGCAGTTCATACGCAAAGCATTGGAGCTGGATGCGGAGCGGCGTGAGCAACCGATGCAAGTGTTTGGCTTAATGGATCTCTTGAACGAAACGGCACCAAAGCTCAGTTTTAAGTATCTGATGGAGGAGGAGGCGGAGGTTGATCACACGCCAGACAGAGCGAGAGTAATCGAACAAAAAAGCGATGTTGAGCCCATGCAACTGGAGGAACCTGTTCCTCAGGCACAGATGCAAACACCCAAGAAAATATTAGGTAAAGCCGAAGCCTAAGCAGTTAAAGCAGCGCTAAGCATGTCTTATTAATTACATTTCATTTGTTTTTAGCGGAGACGACAGAAGACGACATCGCCTGGCTGCCGCAGGAGCAACCGGTGGACGAGGCAACACCGACAGCCGCCAAGCCAGGCAAAGCGAAGCCAAACCGCGCCAAAAACAAAGGCGGCAAGAAGCAACAGTCGCAGACTACAAAAAAACAAAGTATGTTTAATTTATTGTTTAAAAGAAACTTTATCAGAAATCTAAATATTTGAATGTTTGCAGATGACAGCGATTCGGAGGAGGAAGTCACACAAATCCTTTGATAAATACACATACATATATAGATGTTTAAGACAGAGTTTGAAATAGGGGTAACTTTACAGAGTATATAATAAACTATGTGAATAAAAGAAGAGTTAAATGTGTGAAAGTTGAATACATCTTTTTGTATTAAATATTTGATATATTTTACTTTTGTTTTACAATGTGTTGAGATACTAATTAAATTTTCTAGTGCTTATTATGAGGGAAAACATTTCTCGGCGCCAAGAACATGTTTGCACCGTTTGCCTCTCTGCGGATTTGTTTGCGATTTTAACAAGAACAAGTTGCACCAGTTGTTGCCCCACCAGCAGCTATCCAGTTTTGGAGTCGTCACGGGCAGATTAGTTATCGTCCCGCCAGTTGGTGCTGGAGTTATTGTAAGTGGCGCTAATGTTGTTAAAACCTCTGCCTCTGACATTGCCAGCGCAATGGCAACAGTAAATAATCCAATGATTTTCATGTTTAATAATAATAACATTGGTGACGCCATCAGCTTTTTGATAGGTTTATTTGAAATAAAATTACAAAGTTATTTCAGCAGCGTTATAAAGTTTAATAGCAATAGATACTGAGGCTAGTTGCCAATGCTTAGTCTTTTCTTAACAACACTTGTGTATTGCTTGAAGTCACAGCTACATTTTCTCACAACAAGATTTAAATTCGACACGATCGATAAGCGAGAGTTATGCGAAACGAATGAAATTACACAATTTATATTACGCCTGGCAGGGCGTCAAATTCATATATATAAATAATGCAAACAATTTAAAGTTTTCCTGCTGCTGCTGCCGCTGCTGCCAACAAACATCTTAAAAAATCTTGTCTCTTTTATAGTTATTTGGAATCGTGATATATTGTTTATTTAAAGACACTTGTCGAACTTGTGCTCGAAATAAAGAAAACAATTTTCAAGGTGTATCTTATTTAAGTTTAACCAAGATAAGCTGTACAAATAACACAAACTCTAAGCAGCTAATACAATTAGTCTTATATATAGTTCAGGAATCGAATGTCAACTTGATTTGATTTTATCAGCAACCTTATGTCAACTTTATTTATAGTTATTTATTCATTACAAAATTCTCGTAATATAAATATACATTAAATTATGCAAAATAACAAACGGAGCTATTCATCGAAGATCTTGGATCTGGGTAAATGGGATTCGAATGCGATCAAGCACTACAGCAGCTTGGACCGCATTCAGAAGCAGTTGCGCAAGGGCAACTGGTCCTACATAAGCGACCATCCAGAGGTAGGCTATGGAAACTATTAGACTCTCTTGTACATTATCTCAAATTATATACAATTCATACCAAGATACGGGCCATCATACGCGTCATAATGTATCAGGTCATCAATGCCAATCCGGATAATGTGCGACAGTTTATAGCTGATTTTTTCAACTGTCGCCGCACTCCGATGTTAGTGCAAATGGTAATTATATACGGTCTGGAATTGGTAATATTATTAATAAAAAAATATGCATTTAGATAAACACACAATTGAAGTATGTTAAGGAGCAGCTAAAGCGCGGACGTTGGAGCAAGTTTGATGCGGAAATGCTATTCATGGAGAGTCCATCGACGCATTCACTGTTGTCCTCAGCATCTGCTGATTTCAATGTGCATCCTGTGCTCACTTATGCACTTGTCTTCAAGAAACCTGACGAATGTGGAATAGACAAGCCCCCATTCTAGGCTGTCCATTCAACTTTCTCTAATTCGTCTTGTTATTACATAAAATGTAAGAAATTTTCGTCACATTAAGTTAAAATGTATATTTAAAAGGATTTTCTATTATTTCTTTTCAAATTTGTATATACGGTTTTCGAAAAAAAATGGATAAAAACTCTGAACAAAATCCAATTTTATATGCAGCAAACTAATATGAGCTGGGTGCTAGGTATCTGCTAGCGAGCACTCTCGACTAGAGTATTCAAACGTGTTTCAAATTAATTAGCTTTGATATCTCATCTCTCTCCGGATATTTTCTTCTCTTAACCTTTACCTATGTTGGGGTCTGTAATTGAATGTTAATATATAAATACATTTATTTATATATACATATGTTAAATACAATATAACATTGAAATGTTATGCTGCTGTTAAGCGGCATCGATGATTGCACTTTTGAATGCCAATTTGCAGCGAAAATGCCGTTGCCAGTTTGCTTGTGACAGCTGTGATCGTTGCATCTTCAAATCGAATTGAGAGCAAAAGTCGAGTGGTTCGATGAGTGTTCGAGTTATTCTCATTTGGGCAACGTGATAATAAACAGGCAGACGCTGTGGAGCTGCAAAGAGAGAAAACACTCGAATTCCTGCGAATTTTGACATTCGTTCTTTTGTTTCTGATCATATCCCTATATCTATATCGGTTTGCGTTCTAAAACACACACACCGAAAAACCAAACTGGCATAGAGTTTTGGGTAAGTTGTGTAACAATACAATACCAATAACACCTTGATTTTAATATAGTTTTCTCGATTTCTCTACGTGCTTGCTCTCGCTGTGTGATTTACTCTCCCTGGGGGACCTTGACGACTTGGTCTTCTTGGCGTTCGCGTTCTTCTCGCTGGTTGCTGGTCTAATTAAAGCCGTTGCATCAAACATGCCCAAATTACCAGCGGTTGGCATTGATCTTGGCACAACGTACTCTTGTGTCGGCGTATTTCAGCATGGCAAAGTGGAGATCATTGCCAATGATCAGGGCAATCGGACCACGCCCAGCTATGTGGCCTTTACGGAGTCGGAGCGTCTCATTGGTGATGCCGCCAAAAATCAGGTGGCCATGAATCCAAATAACACAATTTTCGGTGAGTTACGACTTTCATAACGGTTCAGTTCATGAATGAAATTCGTGCAGCAATTTCGAGGATTTACTATTCGTAGACATTTTATTTTATTATTATTTATTTTATGTTATTATAGTTTTTTCTGTTATTTTGGGAATACTTATAGATACATTTCTGTAGTTTGGCTACTCGTGCTTTTGCACTCAGCCAGCTAAAAGTAGTTGCCCAAATGTATTTTTGCATTTTTTTTGCACTCTACCACAACCACCCTCCCAATACCACCCCCCACACAAACACACACACTTTGATTTAATGAGACACATTCACTTGTTGTGTCAATTCTTTTGCTTTGGTTGCCCTGCTCCTTGCTACCCGTTGCCCGCCACCCTCCACAAGATGCGAAAGTGGCACTATAGAAAATAACCAAATGTTTATTAACATAATTTGTGTCAGCGTTGTTTATGTGTCTGTGTCTGTGTCTGTGGCGACATTTTGCTTTGAGCTAAACGAAAATATTTACAAATAGAATACAAACATGATAATATTTACACTTGACTTGATTATTATGTGCACTGAATTCGAAATTAGATCAACTTATTTAAGTACATTCATAAATACGAAAGTATCTGTTTTATTGCTTCATTCAAATACTGTCAATGAAATTTTGTTGATGAAGGCTTAGCCTATAGTTGAGATTGAGACAATATTCAGAGGATTGTAGGGAACAGTTTTGTGGGATTGCTGAAGATTTAGCGTATAGTTGATACTGAAGCACTTTTCACAGGATTGTACAATTTTATAGGGCTTTGATGGCTTAGTTGAGATTGCGAAATTTTACAGCGAATTGGATTTCTTAAGGTATCGGGAGAGTCATAGACAGAGAGCGAGAGAGATAGATAGAGAGAGAGAGAGAGAGAGAGAGAGAGAGAGAGAGAGAGAGAGAGAGAGAGAGAGAGAGAGAGAGAGAGAGAGAGAGAGAGAGAGAGAGAGAGAGAGAGTGAGAGAGCGACTGGATTTCAATAACAACTAAAAGATTACTAAAAATATTGTGTTTAGCTTATAAAGTAAGTGAATAAATTCCAAGTTACAGCCAAATTATAGCTCGATGGCAACTCTCCTTAACTTGGTATCTAAAATACTATGTAAATAGTCACCTCTCCAGAGAATTCGTCAGTCTCACTTGATGTAGATCTAGAGCTCAAATTCGTCCCATATTCCATGTTTTTCAGATCAGATCAGTTTTGTGCAGACTTAATGCAAAGATTTCTTTTCTTATATTTTTATTTGTATTTTCATTTCAGTCTCAGAGTCCACATAAATGTGCCCTGAATACCCGCCCCGCCCCGCCTCGCCTAGCCTAGAACTGCGATTACGAATACGATTCAAATACGTTTAGTACAATCTGTAAAACTGATCCCAAAGAGTTCCCAAAGTTTTGTTCGTTAGTGCTAATAAAGACAAGCCCCAATTTGTGTTAATGTATTATATGTGCGTGGGATTTGTTTATAATTTTACAGATGCCAAGCGGCTGATTGGACGCAAATTCGATGATGCAACGGTGCAAAGCGATCTGAAGCACTGGCCCTTCGAGGTATTCTCGGATAGCGGCAAGCCGCGCATACGAGTCGAGTACCAGGGTGAGAAGAAGAGCTTCTATCCTGAGGAGGTATCCTCGATGGTGCTCACCAAGATGAAGGAGACGGCGGAGGCATATCTGGGTGGCACCATTACGGATGCAGTGGTCACCGTTCCGGCCTATTTCAATGATTCGCAGCGACAGGCGACCAAGGATGCGGGCACCATAGCCGGATTGAATGTGCTCCGCATCATCAATGAGCCGACGGCAGCGGCAATTGCCTATGGCTTGGATAAACAGGCGACCGGGGAGAGAAATGTGCTGATCTTTGATCTGGGCGGCGGCACCTTCGATGTCTCCGTGCTGACCATCGAGGATGGCATCTTTGAGGTGAAGGCCACTGCGGGGGATACGCATCTGGGCGGCGAAGATATTGACAATCGGATGGTCAATCATTTTGTGCAGGAATTCCAGCGCAAGCATAAGCGTGATCTTGGCCAGAATAAGCGCGCCTTGCGACGCCTGCGAACTGCCTGTGAGCGTGCCAAGCGTACGTTGTCCTCCTCCACGCAGGCCAGCATCGAGATTGACTCACTCTTCGAGGGCATCGATTTTTATACGTCCGTAACGCGGGCCCGGTTTGAGGAGCTCAATGGTGATCTATTTCGGAGCACCATGGAGCCGGTGGCGAAGGCGTTGCGTGATGCCAAAATGGACAAGGGGCAGATCCATGATATTGTGCTTGTCGGAGGTTCCACCCGTATACCCAAGGTGCAGCGTCTGTTGCAGGATTTCTTCAATGGCAAGGAGCTGAACAAGTCCATAAATCCCGATGAGGCGGTGGCCTACGGTGCTGCCGTCCAAGCGGCCATATTACACGGCGACACCTCGGAGGCGGTGCAGGATCTGCTCCTGCTGGATGTGGCACCACTCTCGCTGGGCATCGAGACGGCTGGTGGTGTTATGACAGCGCTGATCAAGCGCAACTCAACCATACCCACCAAGCAGACACAGATCTTCACCACGTATGCGGACAATCAGCCCGGCGTGCTCATCCAGGTGTATGAGGGCGAACGTGCCATGACCAAGGACAACAACATATTGGGCAAATTCGAACTGACCGCCATACCGCCAGCACCGCGTGGAGTGCCCCAGATTGAGGTGACCTTTGATATCGATGCCAATGGCATACTCAATGTTAGTGCCGCTGAGAAGTCCACGGGCAAGGCGAACAGGATAACGATTACGAATGATAAGGGTCGCCTCTCCAAGGAGGATATCGAGCGCATGGTCAACGAAGCCGAGTCCTATCGCCAGGCAGATGATCAGCAACGTCAGCGCATCGATGCCAAGAACCAGCTGGAATCCTACTGTTTCCAAATGCGATCCACTCTGGACGATGAGCAGCTGCGCAGTCGCATCAGCGATGTCGATCGGAACACAATCCAGCAGAAGTGCAGCGAGACCATCAGTTGGTTGGATGCCAACCAGCTGGCCGAGAAACAGGAATTCGAGCACAAGCAACAGGAGCTGGAGCGCATCTGTAACCCAATCATGACCAGACTCTATCAGGGCGCCAATATGCCCCCGCCGCAGCCGTCCAACCAGAATTCGAATGGAGGCGGAACTGGTGGCGGTGGCAGTGGTGGCCCAACCATCGAGGAAGTTGACTAACTGCTCAATTAAATTGTTATGAGTTCTTTTTTAGCCCCAATCAAAATTAAAGAGTGTTCAATTAAAAGAATAAAGATAATAAAATTCTAAAAAAAAAAAAAACAACCTTTTTGAATCTAGATATTGGCAAAGAATCCCAAAATAAATAGATCGCCTTAAATCAGTTTTCTATATCCACCAAAATTTAATTTCAATTCGTTTACTGTACAAATTTGTATGTCTTTGGTATATTTTATTTCCGAACTTAAAACTATTTCACAAATTTACGGAGTCTGTCTGTCATTTGACTATAGCTGTTAGAGTGTTTCAGTGATCTCCCGATAAACTATTTGGTATTATTATTATTAGCATCATATATGTTTTATCAACTGAATTGTATTTACACAATGTTTACTAAGTCTGAGATTATTGAATCAGGAGAAGAAATCGGAACAAGTTTCGATTCCTTGCACTTGATAGGAATTTCACGAATTTACGAATATAATAGTGAGTAGAGATCTTCATGGAAATCATGTTGTGAATTTTATTGTATATATGTATATATTTCTTATATCGGTTCGAAAAAGAAACTTGACGATTTCTTCAATTGATTTTACTGAACGTATAACTGCACAATTCGGATATGTTTCTACTTGTGTATAACAATAGGGAGATATGTAACAGACGTTGTATATAGACAATGCTAATCATAAACAACACATTGATAGTTTTAGTACAGCTTTAACAGATCTGAACAAAAGGACTATATAAACGTTAACACTTTAACATTAGTAAACTCGAACATAAGTTTCAACAACCATTTAGGCGATTACTACATATAAGTTTTATGATTTACAATTATTAGATATATTTCTTTTGGATAGTGTATAGTACATTTCATTCATTTATTGTATTCAGTTGAAACTCCTCTGTGGAAAATGCATAAATTAAATATAATTCGCTAAACAGGACAACTATCCTCAATCGTTTTAACTTTAGCTATTTCTATTTGTCTTTGGATGCTGGTTGTAGATTTAGTTAAAATATCAATTTATTGAACCCTCACCTGACCTCTGTTTTTAGTAAGTATATTATGTGGTAGATAATACAGATTACAATTTGTACAACAAACACTGCAAAAGCTGTCAATCGAGACTTTCCTTATAATCAAGTCGAATATTTGTATAATTATCGGCATTCATATGCATTTAGAGTTATCTATAACTCATGAACTATAATACTCTAATCTCTATGTTTGTAAGTCCAACGACTAATCATATATACACATTCATTTTAAATTAATGGCCGAACTCACACATATATATAAAATTCAAAATCTTTTCAACACATCTTTCACGAAATTACACATGATTGAAGTCCAACATTTGTTGGAATAATTTCTTATATGGGAAAGATTTTCGTACATATTCACATCTCGCCCTATTATGTCACTACATTATTGCATTGTTAATTTCGTAGCATTCGCTATATAATATATAGAAATTGTATATAAACCGATTCTTATAAATTCATTTGTGTATATTTAATCAGTACTAAACTTTAGGGTGTGCCACGCCTAAACTCACATTAACAATTTACTTTACTTTATTACGACTAGCTCTTTAATTTATCAATATTATTACAATATTTTGTCATCTAGTGTAGTATGTGTGTGTATGTAATTTAAGATAATAATTATTAGTAGATGATAATTGCTAAATTATATAAATAATACAGTGGTCGTTTACAAATATTTTGGATACATTTACACTTATGGACAAAATAATAAATACATCTGTAACACTTGCCATTATATTAAAGTATTTAAAGTTTTCTTGATAACTCATTTTATTTTTATTGCTGCTTTAAATTAAAATCATGAAAAATTCGAATCTTTAATAAATGTTTTTAATTTTTAAATTAAATTATAATAGATACTTTTGAAAACTTGAAAATGATATTAATTATATCTTTAAATACATTTTAATACTGGGCTCACTTTAAAATTTTAATTGTAATGTTAAAAAATATATAAACCTTCAATTTGAATCGGATCCGGCTTAGAAGTATGGCATTAGCTTGCTTTGTTACTTCAAATTCATGTGGAATTGGTTTGTTCTTGTATAATTTCTACAAAATTGTATGACAATACATATAAAATATTGTATATACGATGCATACAACTAGAAAATTATATATATATTTTGGTTTTATTAGAGTTAGCAGCTCTTGCCCATCGAAGAAGACGCTTACTATGTTACACATAATCTAATTGGCTATAACTAAACACGTTTGACGTTTAATTCAATCATCTAACAATAAGCATTAACTAAACTTTGATTACCTCAATAAGTTTTAGATATATATATCTATATATATACATATATGTATATATAGTACATGACTTAGCTATAGCTACACTTGATTCAACATCATTCTAGAGAGCCTCAGTCGATGAGCTGCAGGGACCATTATAGCCATTTGCATACGAGCTAACCGTTCCCGTGGATCCTGTGGATGTTGTGGCCTGAGGCTGCACCAGCTGCTTATATGTATTCTCCAGCCTTGGTGGATACTAATCCAAAATCGGGCAATAGCTTGGCTTTAGAGATAATAGTAGTAGTAGGAGAAAAGTTCGTTTGCTCACCTCCTGATTCTCATCTAGCGATGGCAGCAGCTCGTCCAGCGAGTTGGGTGTCAGGGGACTGGGCGTGGGCATTGTAACGCGACTGAGTGCCCCATGTTGCAGCAGCGCCTCCCCAATGATTATCTGCGGTTTGTTCTGGGTGAGATGCTGCTGCTGCTGCAGTCGCGCCAGGCGCAGCTTCATCTCCTGCCTGATCTCCTTCTGCTGGGTCTCCTTCTCGAACCGCATCATGCTGTAGCTGCGCACCGAGGAGCTTGTGCTATGCACAGACGCTAGACTTGGTCTTCGAGAACCTGCAAGCGGTCAAAAATTCGATTTTCAATATATAAAATTTAACTTAAGATTTATTTGTTTTGGTAGCAGCATTTTAATTAGCATAGATTTTATCGAAGCAGAGGCAGAAGCAGAGAACGGGAGAGAGAAAGCGAGAGTTGTACAGAAAAAGAGCAAGTAAAAGACACAGAGAGAGATAGATAGAGAGAGAGACAGAGGAGAAAGAGAGAGCAAACGCCATCACCAAGCGACTAAATTTTAGGCAAAGCATATGTCTATATAATTAAGTAATATACTAAATGATCTGAGTGACTCAAAAGGCATTCAGAGTGCACAAAAATGAAGAGGGTAGCTTATAACAAATTATTTCTTATTTTTTTTTTTAAATTTGTTCAAATAATTTTTCAATATTTATAAAATTTTTTTTTTTTTTAAACTTCCATATTTTTATTTTTCTGTCTGTTTCCACAAATTTACTAACCATTCAGGCAAAATGTGTATTTGGAAATAGTCAAGATCGGAATATAAGCTGTGAATAACAATCACACAAATACTAGTTTTCCATTTATAAAACAATGTTGCTTATATGTTTAAGTAATTATATATGATTTCTGATATGAAATATAAATATCTATAAATTGCACAATAGGAATATTGCGGAAATTGAAACAGAACTGCCTTTGATCAGAGTTAATGCTGCAAGTTGATATTAAGTATTAAATGCTGGCAAGCGGCTTGTTTATGATAAAGCTTGAAACAATGTGTTGTTGTCAATGAATTAGATCAATATAGTATATAGATATAGATATTAAACATTCAGAATGAATCGGCAGAGGCTTGCAGAAGTTATCGATATTAAATGAATAAAAATTATTGGATTCGGTTGGTGTGCAATTGATCATATCATTCGGGGTGTTCTCTCAATATCGGTTGCATGCAGATTGGAAATTTTAGTGTGGGTCTAGGTGTATGTGTGTGTGTGTATATATATGTGTATGTGTGTGCGTGTGTGTGTGCATGTTTGTATTTCATTATAATTTGCATTATTTTGTTACAAAAAAAAATGAGATTATGGTGTTATAAAAATGTCTGGAAACAGGAACATAGTCACCGCCATATTGCTTCGATATCATATTGTCAAGCTGAAGTTGTACATATAATTATATTTATTTATTATTGTTGTGGCTCTGATGAATGTAAATAATTATTCCGCTATTATTAAAGTGTCATCGGGAATATGCTATATATATTTTTCTTTTCAACTTTTATCGGCATAACTGCAATTTTCCATATCAAGTTGTGTGTTGTTTTGAGCGTGTGTGTGTGTGTGTGTCTGTGTGTGTGTGTCCGTGTGTGTGTGTCTGTGTGTGTGTCAAGTTATCAAATACAAAAACTGCGATAGTTCGAATCAAGGAACCTAAACTTAACCGATGTAATTGGTTTGTGTCTTTTCGATTTGTAAAGTGTAAATTGTATATTGTATTTCTTTTTTTTGAAATGATAACGAGAAAAACCAAACAACAAACATGAAATTTAATACAGAGATTTGGAAGCACACTTAACATCGATCATTTAGAACATAAGATTTATTTAAGACTAAGAATTAGTATTTTCGAATGTTTTTATTTTTAATTTTCTTTATTTATGCAAATGAGATGATTTTGAAATGAGCCAATGTACACTTAAGAATATGAGCCAATGAACTGTTGATCCACAATTATATGGATGTTTTGAAATGTATATTTTTGTATTCCCTGTACCCAGAAAAATAAAAAAATATTTAAAAATCCCAGATTAAAAAGGTTTGGAAACACAAAATACCTGATTTCGCCGAAACTGATATAAAAAAAAAAAAACAAAACAGAAATTTGGTTTGCGAGTTGTGAGCTTCTTGGGCTTGGAATGATGTGTGATTGTTTGTGATTGATGGCTGATGATTGACGCTGAATGATGACTGATGACTGTGTTGATTTACCGCAAATCTGGGCGTTTCACTCGCCGGCGTGGGCAGGGCGCCAATTTGCAATTGATGCATCTCGGCACCACCGCCGCCAGTGCCACTGCCATAGTTGAAACCACCAGTGCCACCGCCAATGGCACCGGCACCAAGACTGCAACCGCCACCTAGTGCATCTATGCTATTGAACCCATCATCATTATTATCATCATATTTATTAATATCATCGTCATCATCATCATCATTATCATTGATGCCCAAGAGGGTCCTAAATCTATCCTGATTCTTTGTCTTCGCCGGCGACAGCTCGAAACTGAGCAGATGCCGTTGATGATTCAATTGCTTCTGCAGCTGGCGGTTCATTGAGAGAGTGCTCTCGCAACTCCGACAGCCACCAGAGGAGCCGCCGCCGCCGGAGCCGTTGTTCTCGTCAAGATTGTCGCGCGAATGCTGGCTGCAGCCGGCGCCCGATGTTTGACGCGATGAGGCGCGTGAATTTTGTTTGGACACGGCCGAAATGTGACACGATATGAGCAATATGGCGGCCGATCTAGCCGCACCTGTACGAGACGTCGACACCAGTATGCCCTTTGACCCTGCTCCAGCGCCGCCGCTGCCACCGCCAACACCACCACCACCAACACCACCACTGTTACCCCCAACTCCACCACTGACGCCGCCCAAGCCGCCAGATGAGGCGCGTCGATTGCCAAAGGAGCCTATCGAACCCGTCGACCGTATGCTCGAACGCGACGACGGACGTGCCGAATGCACAGTCAACGGAATGCCTACAGGATTAGAAAAGAATAAGTTATCCTTCCCATTCAATCCAGTCCAATCCATGTGGCGCCCTCACCTGTATCGCTGGAGTATAGGATGGGCGGCGGAATGTTCGCATCCCCGAAATTGCGATGCCTCGGATATTTGGTCTTGCTAAACAGATGCAGCACCATGCAAATGAGACCCGCCAGCACCGCAATGCCAGATGAGACGCCCAACAATGTGGGCAGATCGGAGCTCAGCTCGCTGAGATCTGCAATCGATAATAAAAAGGAGAAAAATAAATTAACTAATTTGTATTATATATGAATATTATTTTTAACTTTAATAACTAAAAAGTTTGTTATCAGAATGAAATGTTATGCATATAGTTTTTTTTAGAAATAATGTCTTAATATAACTGCTGCCATTTAATCAGGGAATCGCACCCAAGCCGAATTTGACCTGTTGACGATTTCCGTCGTTTAATACTTGAACTTGAATATGACAATAAATTGATGTAAAGATAAAAACCGCACTGTGAAATACAGGAGGAAAAGAACAAGGTGCGCATATTCCAACATATTGTTTTTTCAACCAATCTTTGATGGAGAATTCCAGAAATTTAATGTTCAAGTTTGTTAACTTTAGCACTAAAATTGTGGGAGATAAGGGCTTTAGTGATATTTCGTGGCGGGAGTGAGCTGGGTTAATACATTTTTTACAAATCTTTGGAGGAGATTCCTAATCGCATAGTTAGGAATAATAAGTGGGAGGCATGTGGTTTACTCGACGTAGCACCCCAATTTAACAGCTTTTAACCTATGGTATCAAAGTATAAAAATTAACTTACCGGGAGTACAAAAGACGCGCCTCGTTGGCTTCGTATAGCTGACCGAGTGATAACCACTGGCACATTGACACATCGCATTGTGTCGCACCTGAACACAGAGGGAGTTCTCATCGTTGTAGATGCATGTCTCGTCATAGAAACACTGATCGCCCAGTTTTTTAGCTGCAATCGGCATAAAATGAGAGTTTATAAAAAAAGGTTATTCCAATTTAAAATTGTTTTATTCCATCTTATTTTATATAAAGTTAAAGAGCATCGGAAGCTCTCACTTTGCTACTCTATAATAATCGGAGCAATATAAATATTTGTCTGCTATTGCTAGTGTTACGAACTTTAATAGAGCAATAGTAGAGGCAATATTAGAAATCCTTAATTAATTAATATCTTACGTTTGGCGCAACCCTTTATCAGTCCCAGCTGCACAGGATAATTTCGCTCGCAGCTGCAAATTTGCGTCTCCTTATCGCAGTTGACATGCAAAAGTTTCGCATCACATTTCAGCTCGTTGCATGGCGCTCCAATGTATTTACCCTTAGCTGCAATCATAATAAAGATTCGTTTATTTAAAATAATCAACAAATTGTAGTAAAAAGAATATGCCATTTTCTTTATTTACATACATTAATATTAGATTATTATTATTTTGTATACCAGTAAATGCAATAATCTATGCTTAATATAGCTTTATTTACATCTGCATCTGAAAACGGGTCGTATTTGGCTTTCCTTGACCTTTTAAGTTGTTTACCCTGCCAAGTACTGCATCTGCCTTGACTGCATCTGCCTATAAGTAAAGCTATGCACCAGTTTTAGCTGGTATTCCATTTACTGTAATAAGCCGCAATGATTCACGGACTTATTCAATATATTTTGTTGACGGTCCCTCTGTGGAGGTAGTTGTGTGTTTAGTCCATCTGCTTAATGACATTGAAATCCGAGCAACAAGAACAACGACGGACAAATTTAATTTTATGTTTTGTATGCAGATTGGATATTTGCATGATTACGTAAGAGTGAAGCAAAATCAAACATTAAATTGATTTTAAATCTAAATTACCAAATGGAAATTCAAAATATATAAAATGAAACTTATATTAACAAGCAAGAATGCGATAGACGAGTGAGCTCGACTGCAAGATGTTAAATATATTATTCTACATTAAATATGTATTTAGCTGACTCCAGGTCAAGTGTTTCGCCTTTAAGAGAGATAGATAAGATATTCACATATGAAACAGTTTAAAACATGAATTGAAAATGAGTATAAAGGGTATAAAGGGTATAATTCAGTTGTTCCGACCCTATCATGTATATTCTTATGCATATATTATTGTTCCTCCTCTCCCCGCGATGCTTGGGAAGACTGATAAATATTAGAATTTGAATATATCACTGGTGTATTATTATGTTTACATTTGCTCTGTTTACCACATTTTGGTTGCAGGCACTGAAGAGGATTCACCGATTATCAGGACTTATATGTAAAATAAAGACAACCCAATTTAAATTAATCTTTTTCAGCTGTGGTCACCTGAGCTCAACAGAAACAAATGTAAACTGTAGTTTCAAAGTCGCGGTCCCAACATTTTATAGGAATGACCACAGACATAGATAAGAAGCAGTTTAAAAGACATTGAGCAATACTCTTATCAAATTTGATCAAGTTTGATTCATATATACGAGGTGTGTTCAAAAAGTATCGCGAATTTTGTGTTTTTTCAGAGATTATTTATTTATTCATGAATATCTATTTTGTCCCCTTCAAAGTAATCCCCATGAGATATTATACACTTGTGCCAACGGTTTTTCCAATCTTCGAAGCACTTCAAAAAAGCATTTTTTTTTATCTTGTTCAGCTCCTCCTTTGATCCCGTCTTTATCTCGTCAAGCGTAGCGTAACGTCGTCCTTTCATGGGCCTCTTCAGTTTAGGGAACAAGAAAAAGTCACAGGGGGTCAGATCTGGGGAATACGGTGGCTGCGGCATCATTAGTGTGTTGTTTTTGGCCAAAAAGTCGCGCACAAGCAACGATGTGTGAGCAGGGGCGTTATCGTGGTGCAAAAGCCAATTTTTGTTCTTCCACAAATCCGGGCGTTTCTGGCGGATTGCTTCGCGCAAATTGCGCATAACTTGCAGGTAATATTCCTTATTGACCGTTCTACCCTGTGGCAAGAACTCATGATGCACCACGCCCCTGCAATCGAAGAAAACTGTCAGCAAAACTTTCACATTCGACCGAACTTGGCGCGCTTTTTTCGGTCTTGGTTCGTGCGGCAGCTTCCATTGAGATGATTGAGCTTTGGTTTCCACGTCGTAACCATAAACCCACGATTCGTCACCAGTTATGACCCTCTGGAGCAAATTTGGGTCGCCGCGGACAGAGTCCAACATCTCATTAGCAATGTTCATGCGATGCTGTTTTTGGTCGCAGTTGAGCAATTTTGGTACGAATTTCGCGGCGACCCGTCTCATGCCCAAATCATTGATAAAAATCGAATGGTATGAGCCAATCGATATGTCTAGCTCCTCAGCAACTTCTCTAACGGTGATTCGACGACTGGCCAATACCATTTTCTCCACTCCATTAATTTTTTCGTCTGTTGTTGAAGTGCTCGGGCGTCCTGCACGCTCTTCGTCGTTCCCATCTTCTCGGCCTTCTGAGAACATTTTGTACCACCGATAAACGTTGCTTCGGTCCAAGGTAGCTTCTCCGTATGCCACAATCAACATTCGGAATGCATCCGCGCACTTAATTTCGTTTTTCACACAAAATTTGATACAGGTTCTTTGATCCATTTTTTTGAATAGGTAAAAATCGAAGACGATCCAAAACACGTGCAAGCAAAGCAGCTGTCAACAATTAAGTGAACATTCAAAATGGCCGAGCTTGTCGGCATAAGTGAGAGACATGAGTACCAACATAACGCTACAAAAAAATCGAAATTCGAATATACGTAACCCGCGAAAATTCAAAATTCGCGATACTTTTTGAACACACCTCGTATATGAGAGATAAGTGAGAAGCATCAGTGTAGACAAACTATAATATTATTCTGGATTTGTAAATAAAATCAAACGCTTCGTTAGTTATTGTTTTTTGACCCTGTTTAATTTACTTCAGTCTTAAGCACGTACTAGTCGAGAGTGCTCCACTATTAGCATCGTTTGATTGTACTCATTTCCCCTTTTTTAATTGGTTTTAGGGGATAAGAAACATTACAAAAAGAATTCAAATTGAGTATGTGGGTTTAATTGAGATTGTGTATTTAAATGCCAAGTTCTTAGCACAGAATTTAATAAATCTTAAAATGAAAATTGCTTGCATCAATTTGATCTCAAGATGCATTATACCATATATTTGTTTATGGAATGATTAACTCACCTGACTTATTATTAATCAAGGCCTCAATGTCGTCTATATCATCTGGATAACTGGCATCGTATTCATCATCAGACAGATGGACAACATCGCGTTTTAGTTTCTGTGCGTATTGTTTTTGTTTTTGTATTTGGCTTAAATCTAATGTTTTTGTGCGATTGAACACGGCCAACATGGTCGCAGTTGTTGACCTCGTTGTTGTTGCTGTTGTTGTTGTTGTTGTTGTTGAAGCAGTAGCTGCGGCAGAGGCATGCAGCATTAGATAGCCATAGATGAGAACGGCCAGCGTTAGATAATGTCCATTGCCACGGCACAGTTGCAGCCAGCCTAAGAGAGCCATGCGCATTCTATTGTTATTGTTGTTGTTGTTGTTTTTGTTGCGTTGTTGTTGTTGATGTTGTTGTTGCTTAGTGGCCAGCTGCAGCGCCGTCAGCTGCAAACGCTGCAGTAGACGGTGCAATGTTAACTTCGCCATTTTGTCATCTTGTGGCAGCTGCCTCAACACATTCGCAAGTTTCTTATAACTTTTGCGATTTGTTAAGGGTATTTGTTATTTGTTCTTTCAATATCGTTTTTTTTTGGAATGTGTTCAGTGTGTTCTATTCAGCTTTGTTTGTGTCTTCGTGTCGTTGAGTTGGTGTTTGGCAAATGGCCATAACTTGTGCCTATTACGTATACGTAATGCATATGTATATATTACGTATACGTCATGCAGTCCGCACGCAGCGCTGTGCAAGTTTAGCCTTCTTGTTGTTGTTGGTGCCCTTAAGTGGCAAACTTGGCCGCTGCCTACTCTGCATGATAATTTTATATAATTTGCTCTTATGGCAAAATTGTTCGTGTTGCGGTCATCATCATTAGAGGGGCATGCAACTTTTTCAATCCTCCAACTAGTTGAAATATGTATGACCCAAAAAAATGTTTTGCATGCACTATTTGTATTCTTGTTTGTTGATTCTTTTGACTTTACTCGGAGGCTCTTGCGTTCTATGCAATCTAGAAATTTATTACACGAACTTTCTCGTGTTGTTCTTGGTCTTCTCGCTGGCCCATTTATCCAACTGAAATTACACGATAAGAAAGGTTGACTTTATTAATATACACATATTTAAAATATAGAACCATAAATTAACCATACATGTTTCTACATTATGCAGGTATTCTTAAGATAAATCGCAGCTCATTTATTTTTCTTGGAAGTTATATTCAGATCCAAAAAGCAAATAGTTCAAGATTTTCTGGGTTGTTTTCTATCATTCTAAGTTTTTTGAAACTGTAATGATTTGGTTACATTTGTATAGAAACTTTGGCCTGTCATTTTTGTCAGAAGGAAATCCATCCTACTCTTTTAAGTGTATACTTTATGTAATTATAAATATATATAATTATATGCACTTTCCATTATTCATTTACTATTATGCAGGACGATAAAGCAATGCAAATTTTAGTCATAGGGGATAATGCTTGTAAAAAATAGAGTGCAATTTTGTATACTTTAATTAGATCGCGATTGCCTCCTCAATGTTCAAGTATGAATATCAAGCAGCATTCTCAAGCGTAGGCACTTGAAGCTGGCTTGCATGGGGTCACGCTATTTTTAGAGATAGCGAAGGATATACATTGCGGTTGTAACAAATGTATTTGGCTTTAAGAATACTCAATAAAATTCAATAAAAAGGCCTGCTCGTCAGAGCAGACAGTTCGAATCTAAATGTCGTGTCAGCGTCTTGACTACACAGTATACGTGTTTCACACATTCAATGTGAAGACAGTTTTTGTGCCAGCCACAAGAATGCCATCGATGGAATGGAATGGAAGTCCCTTAAGCTGGCGTACAAAAGAAACTTTGAAAACGAAATCGAAGAAACAACATTGGAAGCGCAGTATTTTCTGAAGACAGGGAAACTGGTGGAGTTAACCGAGCAGAACCTGATCGATTACTTCCGTCGAAGGCCTTATCAAGCTCTGCAGTATGTTAAGGAGAGGCCAGACATTAATACCCGCAATTCGTATGCCTATGAGGCTGTGGGCTGTAAATGTCGGTTCCGTAAGGATCAGATTGGGTCGACAATCTAAGGCATCGGGATTATTAAATCCGGCGATGAAGATGTCATGTTAAAGGTACTGATCCCTTTTATTCTGGAATGCCTAATCTTAACGAATGAAACTTACAATATATTTCGTTATTTCCAAGTTATAATTTTGTAAAAATTAAAAGTTAAAATTTCATAAAAGTTCTTGAATTAAAATTCATAATTGTGATTTTAGAAGGTATTGTTTTTCTCAGTGTAGCTGCAAACGGATTCCGTGGGAGCAGCTGTCAATATCTCAAGACGAGAACAGAAGGAAAATTTATGGGCTGCCACATCAGATGGCGTCTCTAGCCACAAGCTGCCAGCTGACAAGGAGCACATCCTCAAAGTCGCTTTGATGGGTGTCAGCCCCTCCCGTCCACTCCCATCCCTTCAGTTCCTACGTCCTCACTACGCTTATCAGCTGAGCATGGCTCTGATTCTTGGTGGAACGCAGGAATGTCAAGATGTCACGCAATCCAAAGTAGCCAGCCTTGGTTTGTGTGGGTTTTAAGAGATTTACTTAGATACTAAGCCCAACATTTATATAATTAATAAGGAAAAAACTGGGCGGAACAGGAAAAGCTTGCGCGAAGTGGCTGTTGAAAGATAGGAAAAAGGAATTAAGTCTTGCAAATAATAGAAACAACGGAATGGGGAACGAATAAATGGAACAAAGAGAATATAAAAATAAAGGAGAAACGGCAGAAAATGCTGAGAACTCGTAAACCCAAAAAACGAAAAACGAAATAATCAAAAAAGAAATTAACGAAAATAAAATAAGGGATTTAAGTTCAAGTATTGATTGTTAAAACCTGAAAGGCAAATACACTCAACTTAAATTGAATTAAAAGGAAATTACTATTCCTAGAAAGTAATTGTTTAAAAACAAAAAGGCCACAGTAATTAAGAAGCGATGCAAAGTTTAGTAGAACATACTTTGCATAATATGCAACATTCGAGTTTAATCTATTTTTGCTTATCATACTCTTCATATGTACTGTGTACGCAATACTAACCATACAAGTGTGAACTGGCAACCATAAATATTAAGTACACAACAGCAGCAACTGGTAATTAAAATGCTGCTCAGCCAGCCAACCAACAACTGGTGCAGTCAACAATTGTTTAATACCAACAGACAACAACAATGATTCCATTGTTTTGGATTCAAACCCAACATCCTGACAGCTGGAAATCTACAGCGATGGGCTGCGGCAAACATAAAAGCCACTTCTCGTATCCAAGTGTTTGCATGCCATGCAGTATTATAGCCCCCTAACCACCTCCCTCCATACGACCAATACCACCCAGCATACATCCATCCAGCCAGGACGACACACAGCATGGCAGACAATTGTATAGACACTTCAGCCCCCCAATTGTCGCCACCCGCCGAGTCAGCTTAGTGTGCAAAGAGTGGCAACAATCTGAATCATCGTTTTAGTTATGATGCTTTTGGTTTCCCTCCGGCTTCTCCTTCTCTCCTGCTCGTCCCGTCTCCCATTCCCTTCCTCTCTGTCTCTGTCAATTTTAATATCTGTAACTGATGCCTTAAGAGGAAAATGTGATAATGTCTTCTAAACAATGAACTAATGGCATAAAAATAGCTTACTATACAATATGCATGTGTTGAGTGGGTTTTTTTTCTACAGACAAAGTGGAATTTATATTGCTTTTGTTTTTATCAAGTAAAAAAAAAAAACGTAACAAACCTAAGTCTAACAGGCCAAATAGCTAACAAACCTAACAACCAAAGTCCAAGAGAAAGTCAGAAAATTTGTAGGATGTATTAAATAAAATATTAATTAAGCTCCGGCTTAAAAATATCATCCAAAATTTTCTTGTCGAAATAAAACACTCTAAAAATATCAATTTGATATATTTGTGTATGTATATCAAAAATGTATATTATTAGCTTTATAAAAAAAATGAATATACTCTCAAAATATGATCAGGATTTCTCTTAAGCTAATATCATTTAAATATATATAAAAATTTTTTATTTGCTGAGATTGATTCATTTTTAAAAAAGAAATCTTTTAAATGTGTCACTTAAACGTAATTTGATGATAATTAAATTATAAAACAACATACAACAAAAATGGGGGTACATTTTTTATGTAATTAGGCGTATTCAGTAAATTGCATTAAAAACAGAACAATTGCCATAAATGCGATACATATATGTATTATTACGCCTTTTACCAAACCATTAAATAGTCCATAAACTGAAACGTTTTGCGTGGAAAATCTAATGGCGCAGCACAGGCGGAAACTAAATGCAGCACACGCACACAACAGCAAACACCTTGAGGAAGGCGGGTGTGGGTGGGGTAGGCACGAGTTTGGCTTTAGTGGACAACGGGCTCCCGTAATAAAAGGTCTGTGTGTGTGTGTGTCTGAGAGTGAGAGAGCGTAATATTTAGTAACGGAAGCAGCGAACGCAACGAACAACGAACAGTTCGTGTCGGCGACTCTCGAGAGAGTGCGCGTCGTTCTCCTCTGGAGAGCAGCGTAGACTAATGGTATATAAGATTTTGTGAAGCGTGCATTTGTGTGTGTGTTGGTATGTGTGTGTGAGTATGTTTTTCGGGCAGTGATAAAGGCAAATTTACATGTGCCGTCGCCTCCCACACCATTCGTCAGCAGAGCAGCGCAGCGCAGCGCCTACGACAACGACTAGAACTTCGGCCACGGATTTTTGACTTGTTCTATGTATTTATATATGCATGTATGTATGCATGTACAAATACATATATACATATACATGTGTGTCGTTTAAAATGTAGGTTACACACAGCGAAATATCTACTAACATACACACAGACATACACTTGCATACGTAAAATACTTTGCTTCAAGTGCACTCGAAGCTAAAGGCAAAGTCCTTTCTCAGTAGTTTTTAAACTGCCCCCATGTCAAACCTAATAAATTGTTTATTTAATCTAAATAATTCATAAGGTTTACACAATTTAATATTAGAGATTGTTGTTGCCAATTTATTTCATATGCAATTTTGAACTATAATTAGTGCTTTAATATTGAGTGGCTTTCTAGTTTTGAATATTATTCATAAGTAAATTATTTTATTTTACTTATAAAATTAAGCATTAAATTTAACAACATTTTTAAAATAAATTTTAACTGGCAGCAACTAATGGAAAATTTGTAGGTCAAATTTAATTTGTAATTTTTGATGGCTTTATCATGTATATATTGAATTTTCATTGGTAAGGGCAGAAAATGTCAAACAAGAAAATGTATACAAAATATGTATACTCTCATTTAAATACATAATCATGCTAATGAGATAAACAAACAACAAACATTCACATACCATGTAAATCTGATTTAAATTTGCTTTCACATTTCCGGTTTGATTTTCTCTGTTATGACAATTAATAATACTATAAGCAATCCTTGCTATTGATTATAAAATTTATTTATGTTTTGCACAACACACGTTTCACACACACGCACACTCAAGCACACGCGCAGCATGCTATTAAAGCCATTAATTAATTAATGCATTTAGCTTGTTTCAATTTGCGATTCGCTTTTCGCTTCACGGCTCATTTCGCGTACTTTTTTATTCACAATGCATTTTGCAGGTCGGCACAAATCGCACTTAATCATTTATAGCGCACTTTTTGGGGCTAAGACACACACACACATATATATATATACATACATATATACATGTGCTTAATTGTAGTTGTGCACTTTTCACTGCTGTGTGTGCTTACTAAATACGAGATGATGGTGATGCTGTTCGCTTGGTGGTTGTTTGGCGTCTGTTCAGCTCCTTGGCAGCCAGCAGCCCCTAAGGCTCGTCGCGTTCAGCGAGAGTGAGAGTGCGTCAGATAACAGAGAGAGTGTGTGACATAATGCTCAATCAATTACAGCCGCACAGCTGTTCGCCTCTCTGCGTGCGCACGTCATATTCTTTCAAATAGCCTTATATTTTTATAAGACACATTTTTAGCAGATCGGCGGCTTGTACATTTATTTATATGCATTGTTTGGTCACACACAATCGTTAGCAGTGCTGTTAAGTATGATCAGTTAAGCCATAACAGCTGTTATCGCTCTCTCATGTGCGTCTCTCTCTGCTCATGCGAGCTTACGTCGTTAGATATGTCATAGAATAAATTTAATAAGTTTTCGTTCGTCAACAGAGGCGCATTTAATTCGGAACGAAGTGCAATAGTAAAAAGTCTAAGCATAGCGTGGGACAATAAATAAAATGCGTTTGTGGTTGAATTTAGCGCTGCTGGCCAGCTTAACCCTGACAGGTGAGTAATATAGGTATTACTAATATATTATTCGCCATTTAACATGGTCAGTGTGCAAATTTCTAAGCGGCTTTTTTTTTATTACGCTTGTATGTGTGTGTTTTTGTGTGTACAGCAAGCATGGCGTGAGACATATACATAAGAGTGTATTTGTAAGCATGTATGTGTAAGCAAATATATGTAAGCAAATATATGTAAGCATGCATGTGTAAGCTTATATATATTGTAATGGCTGCCGTTTACCGCAAATTTCTGTTAAATTGCCGTTTTTTATTTTTTCTTTTCAGTTTTGGGCACAAAACCTCCTCGCTGGGATGCCAACTATATAGTGAAGGGTACGCTTTATATTCCATATGCTGAGATCGCTGAACCCTTCTATGCCTGGTATGACAAGAATACGCGACGTTCCCGCATCGATTATTATGGGGGCATGGTCAAGACTTATCAACTGGCTGGCGAGGGTCAATTTGGTACTGCTTTGAAACTGACTCCAATTACCACCAAGGATGAGCTCAACAAATTGAGTTGTCTGCTGGTGAACGGCACAGCCGAACAGCCCGTGCAAATTCAAAGTATTTTGCCAGATGCGAAACCCTTTGAACTGATTGGCACCGAAACCTTCTTGGGTTATACGTGCGATAAATTCCGGCTGGAATCGGTGATTGGGCAGAAGAAGAACGTATATACGTTGTGGGTGCGCTACAAGAAGTCGCCACATTATCCGGCCAGTCGTATGCCGATTCCTGTGCGCTACGAGATGCGTGGATATAATACGCTGTTGGGCTCCCATTACGATCACTATTATCTGGACTATGATAGCTACGAGCATGACGATATACCCAACGAGGTCTTCGAGATCGATGAGAGTTTGACTTGCACTGGTTTCCCGGGTCCCGGCACCGGTCACTTTGCCACCTTCAATCCGATGCACGAATTCATCGCCGGCAGCGATAAGCATGTGGAGAAGGCATTCCATCACTTCAAGCACAAACATGGCATCGACTATATCAATGATAAGGAGCACGAGCATCGCAAGAACATCTTCCGTCAGAACTTGCGTTACATTCACTCCAAGAATCGTGCTAAGCTGACCTACAAGCTGAGCGTTAATCATTTGGCCGATAAGAGCGATGAGGAGCTGAGAGCGCGTCGCGGCTACAAATCATCTGGTGGCTACAACACGGGCAAACCCTTTCCCTATGATGTCAATAAGCACAAGGACGAGATACCCTCCCAATACGATTGGCGCCTCTATGGAGCTGTCAGTCCCGTCAAAGGTGCGCTCATCTCTTAAATTCCATATTCCATCTCTAATCATAATAATCCTTTGCGCTTGTAGATCAATCGGTGTGCGGCTCGTGCTGGTCCTTTGGCACCATTGGTCATCTTGAGGGCGCATTCTTCTTGAAGAACGGTGGCAATCTGGTGCGTCTGTCGCAGCAGGCCTTGATCGACTGCTCTTGGGGCTATGGCAATAATGGTTGCGATGGTGGCGAAGATTTCCGTGTCTATCAATGGATGATGCAAGTTGGTGGCGTGCCCACCGAGGAGGAGTACGGGCCCTATCTGGGTCAAGATGGCTACTGTCATGTCAACAATGTAACACTCGTGGCACCCATCAAGGGTTTCGTCAATGTCACCGCCAATGATCCCAACGCCTTCAAGTTGGCCCTGCTCAAGCACGGTCCGATCTCTGTGGCCATTGATGCCTCACCGAAAACATTCAGCTTCTATTCGCATGGCGTCTACTACGAACCGGAGTGCAAGAATGATGTGGATGGACTCGATCATGCAGTGCTGGCCGTTGGCTATGGCACCATCAATGGCGAGGATTATTGGCTAGTGAAGAACTCTTGGTCCACCTATTGGGGCAACGACGGTTATATTTTGATGTCGGCTCGAAAGAACAACTGTGGCGTTATGACCATGCCCACCTATGTGGAAATGTAATAGGTTAATTTCCATAATTTGTATTTTTTTTATACTCGGCCTCACGATGGGGGCCTTAAATATGCAATAAAGCACCAAATGTCAATACACTTTTGTAATCCACCAAGTCTTCTTTCTTGCTCCTTATCGCAGCTAAAGATTCCAACATACTTCTAAACAGACAAATATATATATACGTATATGTGGTTTTTCTGTGACCCCAGCTACTTTGCAGCGATAAGTTTAGATGACAATGGACTGTACTTTGTCCGAGAATAGTCGCAATCTGGCATTGTTGTTCATAGTGGAGTTTAATATCTGCAATAATATATGTCTGCAATTGCAATTCTCATTACAGAAATATGAGATTTGCTAAACAACAAGTAATTGCATATATCATATGTTATTGCAATTCTTAATAATAAAAAAAACTGGCAATAATTCAATGGAACTTCATTAAATCGATCATAAATAGTTTCATTTATTCATTGAACAAAAAAAAACAATGTTTAAAATGTTATAGTTTTATTTTCGGTTTTATTTGTGATTTTCGATTTTTTGTTTATTGTTAAAGAATTTTACGAATTCAATTTTTAATGTATTTTACAGACGGAAGTGTTATAAACATTCGCGCATGTTTTGTGTTTTGTATTTTTTGTTTTTTTCTTTTCTTGTTTTTAGTAAATAATTAACATATTTAATGTACATCAGTTAAACCAAAGTTTAAGGCTAAAAACTCTACTCTTATTATTCAAATTCGCACTTAAAAATTATGCAAATACTTAATTTACCATAAAAATTATTATATTGAATTTCCTCGAAATAATTTATAAGTAATTTTTTGTGTGATTCAATAAAAACTATTATTTTCTCTTCTTTTTCGTTTTTAATTCCCATTTTTTCATTACGAAATTGTTTTCTATGCATGTAACTATATCTAAATATATTTAAGTATTATACAGATCTTAAATAAATTAACAATATGTTTATAAAATCGGCTTCTTAAATTTGCATCTTGTATTTTACAATTTCATCATTACAAAAATCTACCGTGAGTTTCTATATATTTATTTACAATAAAGAAAAACGCATGAAAAACAAATTTCTCAGAAAGTGAATATCTAAGAAATATCCGCCTACCCTCAAAAATTATACAAGTTAACAAGAGCATCTAAATAATAAAAAAAAATCATTTCTTCTTTTACAAAAAACTTTTTTTTAATATGGCTTCCCAACTTAACCCAAATTGTTTACAAAATTGTTTTTCTCTTCTTTTCACACTCCATCCAAAATCATATATATGAATTCGTATATCGGTGCCATTTGATGTTTAAAAATTAAATTTTTTCCTTAATTGTTACGCACAAAAATATAAATTAAAAAAATGTATAAACGTAGCCAAACGTTTCCATTGGTTTAGTTTTGTAATTCTCAAATGTAGAACTATTCACAGGGTCAAATGATATTTTTTCTTCTTTTTTTTTTATTTTTGCTGCTATTCCCCCCCAAGTTAAATTTAAAGAAATGTACAAATGGTTTTAATAAGGGAAAAAATTAAAACTGTCTGATGAAGGGTGAGACGTCGAAAGTTTAAAAACAGGAATGCTAATTTATAGTTATTATAAAATGGGTTGGGAGTGTATATATACTGGTATATACTATATCGGGTATATATATTTATATAAGGGGGGCAGCTAATTAGTGGCAAACTTAAGGCTAAATACGCGACGACCTTTTATATACATTGTTCTAATTATAAATTTGTTGATGTTGTTTTGCTTTAGTTGATGCTTAAGATTAATTACGTTCAATTAACTCGCGTTTTGTACTCTTTCTTTCAATGTTTCAACTTACAAGCTAAAGTAGCGTTTTTGTGTTTTTCTGTTGTTGTTGTTTGTTTTTGCGCTTAAGCTAACAATAAAATAACTTCTTTTATTTTATGTGATTTTTTTTTATGTACAAATATTTAACAACATGCTCGTTTTTCGCTTTCACGTTTGCAAATGTTTATTTACAGTTTTTCTTTCTTTTCTTTTTGTTTATATTTTGGTTTATAGTATTGCTTGCGTTTTAAGCCTGGTTAATGTTGTTATCTATTTTGTTTAATAAAATATGGTAGTTCAAATTGGTTTTGTTTTCTTTTCATCTGTGTGTTAAGTATATACTCGAAGTTTTACCCAATAATTACAACTATTTTAAGGTAATGATTAGAGAAAATGAAAATATATATGAATTTATTTTGTGTAATCGTATTTTCTTTTTGCATATTTCAGTAAGTATAAATAATGATTAAAAATTCTTGAGCTCTACACAACTAAAAATGTAAAATAAAAGAAATTAATTTGTAAATATATATATGTTAATACATATGCAATTAAACTAGATTACAACAAAAGGGAATTTAATGTTAACTAACAACTTACTACATTTTTCAATTAGTTTGTGTGTACGGGTTTCTTCTGTATATCTAGGCATTATATAAGTTTATAGCGCTACGTATAGCTATAGATATACATATACATAGGATTTATGTATACTATACTATATATATAGGGTTATATTTATAGAGTAGAATTATATAAGTTGCTCTCGATTGTTACGAAAAAACACGACCATTAAATCATTAATTAGTTTAGCAGAAGGTTTCTCTTGTTTTCCAGTTTTAAATTTACATTGTTGTTGTTGATTTTGCTGTCATCTGTTTTTCTTATTAATCTCAAAAATAATTACAAATATATATTTCTAGGTATATATGTTTGTAAGTAAGCATTATTAATTATAGCGAGTAATAGCGTTTAAAACACAAATAATAAGGATTTCATATCTGACTGCCGTTTTCGGATTTTTGTTGTTGCTCCTCTTGCGCTGTGCTAATCATATCATTTTTCATACACAACGTATAGCATCATTATTCGATAAGACAGCATTGTTGGCATTTTGTATGCCATTCGGATTTGGATTACTATTTCAAGTGTAATAACTGGGTTACATATTTGGTTTATCCTTGTAGTTGCCGTTTCTGATCATTAGGGATTACTCTGCAAGAGGTAAAAAGATCATTATTATCATTATAATCAATAACAGTTAAAGGTGAACATTTCTGCGTCACTTCCACTTACCCATCGTCTGCGCGCATTTTTGTTTTGTTGTCCAAAGGAAATATCGCGCGCGGAGCTCGCACCCACACTCACACCAGCACAACCCAGGCAAACATACATACACAGACACCAGCTGACCAGCACCCAGCCGATCAAGGACACGAGAAGCATTTAACGTGTTGCTCTTCAGCGCCGACAAATGGTGTTGCTGGTGATGCTGCTGATGTGACGATAACAACTGTTGCTGCTGTTGATGATGATTGTTGCTACTGTTGTTGTTGTTGATGTTCTTGTTCTGGTGTATGCTTATTGAATTGCGTCGCTCACGCATCGCGGCCTGATAGCGATCCGGAGATTGCAGTGAACATTTATTGATGGTCTGCGGCTTGGCGAACAACTGGCGATCGGTCGATGTCGGTGGAGTTGTCGGTGTCGTTGTTGGTGTCGCGGGAGGTGTCGTCGTCGGCCGCGTATCAACGGAGGGACGATGTCGCATCCGATACTCGCTAATGGACAGCTTACGTTTGGGCATCGGGGCCGGCTCCGGCACGGTTAGCATAGGATTCAAGCGCGGATCATGACTGGCGGTGCGTGTGTACAGTTTCAGCGGCGTTGTTGCTGGCGGTGGCATAATCTCTATTGCTGCAGCTGCAGCGGCTGGTGACTGCATTGCAACTGCTGCTCCTGCTCCTGCTGCTGCTGCAACAGTGCCATTGGGTGCAATGGGAGCAAAAGCGATTGCAGGCACAGCCGTTGACACCGCCTTCGTTTTGGTCGCCTCCAAATACTCCGCCAAACTGGGCATGTTGCTGCTGGTATTGCTGCTATTGTTTGCGATTTTGACCAGCGGTGAGGCGGATACCAAAGCGGGATTTGTGGACAATGCTGCCAATATCGGCGGCGGCTCCTGCAGTTTGCCATAAATTGTATTGTAGAATGGCAATTGCTGCTTTGCCGTGCTGCCGACAAGTGGCACAGACAACGAAGCTGCTATTGGTGTTGCTCCTAGTGTTGGTTGTGTGATGAGCACTGGAATTGGTGCAGCTGAAACTGGTACAGAAACTGCGCCGCCAGTTGCTGATTTGGCTAAGTTTGTTGTTTTGGGTGTTGCTGGTGTTGGGGTTGTTGTTGTGGTTGGCGGTTTCTGTTGATTGTGGGTCTTTAGCTTTGACGTCGCCTCCTTTTCTTTATCTTTATCTTTCTCCTTGTCCTTATCTTTGTCCTTTTGCTTCTTCTCACGATCCTTCTTTTTGCTTTTTTTCTTCTCCTTCTTCTCTTTCTTGAGAGCGGCCGCAATGAATGCCGCCTGCTGGCGACTGCCACACATCGATTCACGCCGCCGAGTGATGGCTGTCAACTTGCCACTGGCGATTGCTGCTGCTAGACTCATGGCTGCCTCCGGATGCTGATGTTGATGATGTTGATGATGATGATGATGATGATGATTGTTCTCCTTGCGATGCTGTGCGGCTGTGCTGGGTGCAACAACTGCAGCAGCAATGGCTGTTGCTGCTGCTGTTGTTGCTTGCGGTGCCTTGCTGGTGTTGAGCAATAAACTACTACTGAGAATTTGGCTATTTGGTTTGGTCAGCTCCTGTTCAAAGTTCGTTTGGCGCTTCTTCGTTGTGGCTATTGGTGCTGTGGTTGCTGCTGCTGTTGTTGTCGCTTGGGCTGTGGTTGCCGTTCCCGGCTGTGTGGATGGTGCAACACATATGGACATGGTGCGACGGCGCAGTGCCGATTGTTGTTGCAGTTGCAGCTGTTGTTCCAGACTGTTGTTGTTGCTGCTGCTGCTGTTGTGTTTTGTCTTGCCATTCGCTGTTGTTGTTCCTGATGTTGCTGCAGCTGCCAACAGTTGTTGTTTGCTTTCTTTGGGCTGCTTCTTTTTGGGCTCCGGTGCCGCCATCGCTGCAATTGCTGCCACCTTCAATTTATCCTTTTCCTTAGACTTCTTTTTATCCTTTTTCGATTTCTTTTGCTGCTTATCGCGTTCTCGCTTCTCTTCCTTCTCCTTGCTGCTGCTGGATTTCTTCGCTGGCAAGTCGATGCTGTTGCTGTTGCTCTTGCTGGAGCTACTGCTGCTGCTGTTGGTAGTGGCCTTCTTGTTGCGCGACTGCAGATAGGATATGTTCTCCGCATGGAAAGACAACAAACGTTCCTGAATATCCAACTCGGTTAGATTTTTGCTGCTTGCCGCAGACGTTGTTGTTGTTACTGCTGCCGCTCCTGCTGCTGCAGTTGTTACTGTGGTTGTTGGTGTTGCGATTGCGGCTGTTGCAGCTGCAGCTGCTGAAGTGAGTGTTGTTGCTGGCGTTTCAAGCTTGGGTTTCTTCTTGACCGGCTCTTCTTCCTCTTTGATGATGGCTGAGGTGCGCTCTTTAATCGCTGCCTTTACAGAATCCACAAGCGAAGTAGTCGCACTTGTTGTTGTTGTTGTTGCTGTTGCTGGCATTGCTGTTGCTGTTACTGCTGTGCGTAGTAGCGATTCACCTGGTTTGGGTTCCGGCATTGGTTCCACTTTGGCGACAGCAAGTTTAATTACAGGTTCTGACTTAATCTCTGCCTTTGGCTCCACTTTGACCACCCGTTGTTGCTCCTCTAGAGGTTCTGGTTTTGGCTGCTGCTGCTGCTCCTGTTGTTGTTGTTGTTGTTGCTGCTTTTGCTCCTCCTTTTCTCGCTGTACCTTGACTAGCTCTTCGAACTTATCACACGCCTGACTCTCTTCACGCTCCACATCGATTTTGACATCGTCCGCAGCAGCACTCGTGTCCTCTGGCTCGATCTTCACCAAATTATCCTCGGCCACAATTTGTTGGGCACCCGGACTGGGTGAGCGTAGAATATCAACATCATCATCCTGCTCAAACTGATTCTGTTGCTGATTTTGATGCTGCTGCGATGTCTCCACCTTTAAGATGTCCGTTTTTGTCTCCACTTCCACCTTGTGCTCCTCTTCGCCGACACTGCCAATTACATCAATGTGCGGCTCCTCAGCTGCTGTCGCCTCCAGGCCACCATTGCTCAACACAACCAATCGTCGTTTTTTCAGCGGTGTACTGAAACCGTTAGAGAGCAACAGTGGCGGCGGTGTCTGCAACTGTGGCGATATACTCGGTGTGGGCGTAACTGGTGCTTGGGGCTGATTCTCATCGGTGGTTTCTTCACTGATGGCCTGGCGCAGCCATCGCTTCTTCACCGACGAGTTGTTCTGCACGGAGGGCATCTGTGAACGCTCCGTCGCCTCCACCTGATGTATAAATTGCTCCACTTTAAGTAATGCCGGAGCGGGTGAATCCAACTGCATTTGTTGTTGCTGCTGTTGCTGTTGGTGTTGTTGTTGCAGTTGCTCCCTAGAGCCATTTATTTCACTCATTGCGACCAGCACTAGACTGTCCAGACCGGATTGTTGTTGGTGCTCACCACACTGCTCGGATTGCTGAAACCAGCTGGACATGAGCGTCTTTTTGGTCTTGGCACCACTCGGCGGATATTTAAATTCACCCAGTGATGGTGATTGCAATTGATTAAGAACCGATTGCTGATGTTGGGCATGTTGGGGTTGTTGCTCCAACGGTCCCATGGCTGCCTCAATTAAGAGACAAGCGCTGCTGACGGAGGAAGAAGCTGCCGATGCTGATGCGGATGTTGCTGCTGGTGACTTGAATGGTTCGCAACCATTGTGCGCCAGCGCGAGCAACAATCCTGCAGCCTGATCTGCCGATTGTTGTTGCTGTTGCAGGTGCTGCTGCACAGTGTTGTTGTCGTTGTTGTTGTTGCTGCCGTTGTTGTTATATTGCTGATGCAGCTGCTGCTGCTGCAATGCTGGTGAAGCGAGCTCCGACTCTGTATGCGACTCCGCATCCGATTCGCTGAGACTCTTTCGACGTTTGCTATTGTTGTTGTTGTTGTAGCTGCGACTCACTTTACGCTTCTTCTTATTGCGTCGCGATCCACCAGTTTTATTGCTGTTATTGCTGGTGGTTGGCGTGCCCAAGCTGAGAGCACTGGAATCCGCCGACTCACTGATCGAAATACTGCTGGCGTTGCGTTTGCGTGGAGATGCTGGTGAATTGCTTGAACGCTGCTGTTTGCCACCCACCTGGCGGCTATCCGCACCACCACCAGCTGCTTTCTTGCCGCGCGCCTCTTGCTTCTCCATTTTCTCGATGGCACGCAGGATGGCCTCCAGTTTTCGCTCCTCGCGTGATTTCGGTTTATCTTTCTTGGCTGGAGTAGATGTTGCTGGTGTGGAAGCCGTTGCTGCTGTTGTTGTTGTCGTCGTTGTTGTTGTTGAGATGGTTTCATCTTCCTTTGCATCCACCAGTGCTGGACTACTGGCTGCCGTTGGTGTTGCTGCAACTTTTGCTGGTGTTTTTCGCGTGGCTGGCGTTGTGTTATTATTATTGTTGCTGCTAATATTATTGTTGTTGTTGCAATTGTTGTTGATTGGCTGTATAGTCAATTTGGTAGGCGTTTTTGTGGGCGTAACCACCGCTGACTGATACACTTGTGATTGCTGCTGCTGTTGCTGTGTCGGCGGTTGCAGCAGCAATTGTTGCTGTTGTTGTGGCTGCTGCAGTAGCAACTGCTGCTGCTGTGTTGTTGGCATTGATGGCTGCTTCAGCGCTTGTGTTGCATTTATTTTGATGGGCGTTACTATGTGAGACGTGGGCGTGGCATGTAATGTTTGCAAAGCACTCACAGCTATGCGTGCCTCATCGGCCAACTGTTGGTGCTGCTGTGCGTAAAGTTGTTGCTGCTGCTGCTGCTGTGGCTGATTTTGCTGCTGCTGCTGCTGCTGTTGTTGCTGTCGTTGCACATTGAGCTGTTGTTGCTGCTGCTGCGGCTGCAAATAATAAGTGGTCATAGGTCGCTGCGCTGCTGCTGCAGCTGCTATTACCGCCAGCGGCTCCTGTTGTTGCTGCTGTTGTAACAATGATGCTTGTTGCTGCATCGGTGGCTTCTGCAACAGCTGTGGCGACAGCAACATGGGCGTGGGCAATGCTGCCAATATTTGCTGCTGCTGTTGAGTTGGACTGCGCTGCAGCAGTGATGTCTGTTGCTGATTTTGCTGCTGCTGTTGCTGTTGCAATGTAGGCGACTGCAGTTGGGTGGGCGTGGGAGATGGTATTGAGACAGATGGCGATGATGACGATGTACAGATGCCAGAATCGTGCAACACACTCGACATGGAAACGGAACAGGAATTATTGCTGTTGCCGCTATTACTATTGCTATTGCAGAGCATTGCAGCGGCAGCTGTTGCAGCCGCCGTTGCCGTGCCAACGATGCCGCCAACTGTGGCCGCTGACGTCACTAATGCTGGACTGGGCTTGAAGCCCAAATTCAATTGGCTCAGCTGAGGACTATTGAGGCCCATGTGACTGCTGCTCTCACCACTCGAGGAAGTGGAACGATTGCGTGCTGTTGCCGCCGCTGCTGCCGCCGCAGCTGCTGCTGCCGCCGCCACAGTTGTATTGTTGCCCAGACCCATGGTTAATTGAATGGCTGCCGCACTGGTGGCAGCAGTTGCTGCTGCTGCTGCAGCTGCTGCTGCTTTATTGCGATGACTGCTGCGCGGTTGGGCGGGTGGTGCCTGCAATTGTTGTTGCACGGCCAGTGGCAGGGCAAAGAGACAATCGCTGCCCAGATCGCAGGCACACCGGGTGCTCGTCGGTTGTATGACGGCCGAATGGGATTTCTTGTGCTGCACCGCGGCGAGATCATGTGGCTCGTGCCGCACCGTAATCTCTGTTTGAGCACGAATCGGTATCAGTGCCACAATGTACAGATGCAGGGTGCCTTTCTCGAAATAATGCTGCAGCTCTGCATTGGGACGACACGAACGACGCACGAAACGTGCATCATTGCCATAGGTGCGCGTATCGACGCACACTTCGGGTCCCTTGAGGTAGGCGGGCAACGGCAACGGCGCCGGCTGTTGCTGCTGATTGGCCATCTGTGCTGGATGCGTTTGCATGGGCGCCTCAACGCCCGGCATCTGATAGAAGAACACAAACTGTCCGGGCGTCTTGTGCACCTTGAAGCTATTCAGATAATTGCTCGGCGGTGGTGTGTTCATGTTAACGGTGGGATTTTGTGTGCGAAACTGAGTCGTCAGCATATACTTGCCCCTCAGCTCATGGATGGGCGCATGCGGCGCCAGATCAACACTGCTGATGAGCACCTTGGCTCCGGCGTAGGGTATCAATTGGGCACGCTTCTCCAGTTCGCTGGCACAGCCACCAGCAATTAGACGCAACGCCTTATTCTCCGTATTCTGTATGCTCTGCAGCAAGCTGGGCTGCTTCTGTATGGCATGGAGGCGGGCGCGCAACTCTGGCGAATAATGATTGGTCACCGCATACTCGTAGTGTTCGATCCATTGACGCAGATTCGCAGCATGCTTCTCGGCGGCGGTTAGCGCAGGACTGCTGCCACCCCCGCTGCCATCTCCGCTCGATTTACTCTTGCGCTTGCTGCTCTTCTTGGCCGCCTTTGTGTTGGTGGATGCGCCGCCTGCAGTGCCAGTGCCTGTACTGCCCCCCGCCAATTTGTCGCCGTTCTTCTTGCTCTTCTTATTGTTTAGTGTGGTGGCGGCGGTGCCATCTTTGGTTTTCTTTGACTTCTTGTTGCTTATGCCGCCGCCTATTGCAGCAGCGGGGCCTGTTCCAAAGCCACCATTGAGACCGGCGGCTTGCAGGCGCTGCTGTTGCTGCAGCTGTTGCTGTAGTAGTTGTTGTTGTTGTTGTTGCTGCTGCTGTTGCTGCTGCAGCTGTTCTTGACTATGGTACAATAGTCCACCAGCTGTCACGCTTGCTACAGCGCCCATCGGATTGGAGCCAATACCTCCACCTGCACCTGCACCCGCTGCTGCTGCTGCGGCTGAAGCGGCGGCATTTGCTGCTGCTGCGGCTGCCCCACTCGCCGCCTGCGTGGCCACCAACATCATGTGCTCCCTGCGCTTCTGACGCTGCAGTGCACGTGCCCGAGCCTTATCCACGGCCCGTGGCTGGCACAGCTCGCATTGATACTCTTCCGGTATGTTGAGACGATCGATGCCCATGCAGTCCACATGCTGCCAGGCGCTGTTTAAACAACAACCAAAAATTAGATCAGTTCAATGTTGATCAGAGTAGGGAAGTAGTTGCTCTCAATACTTACGAGCACTTGTCGCAGCAGATCATGTAGCCATCGTCGTGGGTTAGTTCACAAATGCAGCGCGTTACGGAATCATCCTCGGCCTCGGCTTCGGGCGCCGTTTCCGTTTCTTCGCCGGGATCAATGTCGGCGCCGGCCAACCGAGAACTGCCGCTTATAGCCGAGTGCGCATCATCGTCCACCAAATGGCGTCCCACTGGGCATAAATAAATTTTAAGGTAAGTTTAGTTTTATATACTTATATTTCGACTTACTTTGCTGTCCATAGTAGTTGCTGTAGTTGCCTACTGTTGTTGGAGCTACGCCACCTGCTACCGTAACACCAATGCCACCAAGTGACCATTGCTGTGGCTGCTGCTGCAGCAGTTGCTGTGCTGTGACGGCTGTCGCTTGCTGCTGTTGTTGTTGCTGCTGATGTTGTTGCTGTTGTTGCTGGGATGCATAGGTATGATCCTGCATGATGGCATGCAACTGCTGCAGGCGCAAATCCTGTGTATGCACAGGCACCGGACGCACCTCTTCAATGTGCAACTCCTCCTCATTGGCACTCAACTGCTGTTGTTGCTGATGCTGCAAAAGTGGCGGCTGCTGTTGTTGCTGAGGCTTCATTACTAGCGTCGTTGCATCCACATGCACGGGCGTCAGATGTGGCGTCGTCACTGGGGAGGAGGAGGTCAACGTTGTGGCTGCTGTGCTGTGTAAACTCGAATTGGAATTTGAGTTGCTGCGCAGGCTGCTCAAATTGCTGGTGCTATTGCTCAGGCTGTGGTCGCAGAGGAAAACGAGAAACACAAATGGTTTTTGTTAGTTGTGAAGAAGTAAACGGATCTCCATAAAGAGAGCTAAATTTGATTCTGTCAACATTAGTAATAGATGGGTATGAGTCCTGCATTGTCAGGCAAATTTTGTCCAAATTCTGTTTAATTCAATCAACTGTCAAACGACAAACTAGATCTAAACTAAGAAAAACAAAAATATCGAAAGTGCCTTGACAACAGAATGTCAATATATCATTCGATGATTTCGAATAGTATCCAACACTATGGCTGTTATTAGAATGTTTATTTTATATTATTTGATTAATCTTATTAAGTAGTAAGAGAATAATTTATTTCTCACCTGTGTTTGTAATACTCGACCACATTGGGGGGCGGCTTGCGGATGATGGCTGATGCGACAACATCATGTTGCAAGTGCTGCTGCTGCTGTTTCCGTTCCAGCGATGCTGCTCGACTGCTCGGCGCACTCACCGATTGACGACGTGCCGCCGTTGCCGACATGTACGAGGACATTGCGGCACTGCCGCTGGCAAACCCATGCGAAGAGATGCTCACCGAGGGCGCACTGGACGTGGTCACCGTCAGATATGATGTGGTTGTTGTTGCCGATGATGGCGAAGAAGATGCCGTCGCTGATGAACTGGGCGACATTGCTGCTGCTGCCGCTTGATAGTGCGTCAGCAACAGATTGTTGTTGTTGTTGTTGTTGCTGCTGCTGTTGTTGCCACTGTTTGCTCCATATATGATTTGCGTGGGCGTCGCCGTTGGTTGCGGTGGCGGCATGCTTGTTGCTGTTGCTGCTGCTGCTGCAACAGTTGGTGTTGTCTGCTGCTGAAAGCGTTGCTGCTGTTGGCTGAACGATTTTTGGGCCATGCTCTGCAAGATGCGAGCCGACAGCTCATCTGTCATCTGGGTGCCATTCACAATCATAACATCATCGGTGATTAACGACGATTGCTGCTGCTGCTGCTGATGATCGTTGGTGCTGTCAGCACCACCACCACTGCTGCTGCTGGTGCTGTTGTAATGAATGCGCTTGGGCTGACCACCAAGTGTTGGCAGCTGATGCTGCTGGATGACAGTGCCATGCGAATTGACAAACTTTATGGCGCCCGGCGTTGATGACTGCTGCAGCATATAGCCGCCGCTGCCTGTTGTCTTCTGTTGCAGTTGCGTGCCCTGCGGCAAATTGGCTGCCAACTGTTGCAGCGGCTGCTGCGACAACACATACTTTGTGCCGCTGCTAGTTGTCAGTTTGCTGACACCCACTTTGGTGGGTCCTAGATGCTGTTGCTGCTGCTTGATGTAGGCGTTCTGCAGTTGTTGTTGCTGCTGCTGCTGGGGCACAGCAGCAATGGATAGTCCGGTGACTGCGTTGCCAACGCTATTGTATTGCTTGACAAATTTGGGTTTGACTCCAGCAGCCTTGTTTGCTGCCGCCGTTTGCTGGGAGCAGATAAATGCTTTTAGTTGGTGTTGTTGTTGTTGTTGCTGTTGTTGCTGATGTTGTTGCTGCAGCATATTACCTACACTTTTTACGGTTATCTTTTGATTGGCCTTCTTGAGCAACGCCGCAGATGTGCTGCCACCAGCTGCAGTCGTTGTAATCGCCGGCCGATTGATGGCAGCATTTACATATTTCTGCTGCGCTGCTGCTGATGCTGGCTGCACAATTATCTGCGGCGGCTGCTGCTGCTGGGGTGGCACATACGACTGTAGTCGCGTCACAACACGTGAGCCTAACGTCACCTTTTGCATTATCGGCGTCGTCGTCGTTGTTGCTGCTGCCGACTGCTGCTGCTGCGCATAGCTTTGCAATTGCTTTTGTGTGGCAGCAGCGGCTTTGTAGCCGCCAAGTGGGCCGAACTTTTGCTGCTGCTGCTTCAGAGCAGCTGGCGTTGCAGTTACATAGGGCAAATTTTTCGCGTTGACATAGTTGAGTTGCTGCTGCTGCTGTGACTGGGAGGACATGGAGGGCGCTTGTTTGGAGAGCACCGTGAGATTACTGAGCAACAGTTTGGAGTTGTGCGGCGGCGCCGCAGCGGAAGTATCAATGATGACATTGCTGGTGCTGCCGTCTGTCGTTACAATCTCATAGATTTGTGGATTAAGCAGTTCATGTTGCTGTTGCTGATGTTGTTGCTGCTGCTGCTGATGTTGCTGCTGATGCGAGAGATGTGACTGTTGCGCTGCTGTTGTACGCACCGCGTACTTTTGTGCGGGCTGCGTCTGAATTGACATCCGCCGTTGCATGATCCGCTTCAGATTCGCCTGCGTCGAGATGCTGCTGCCATCGATCACAATGTGGGGTGGCTGCTGTTGTTGCTGCTGCTGGTGTGCCCCACCACTGAGGCCAATTCTGCTGCTGTTGATGCTGATGCTGCTGTTGCTGTTGTTGCTGCTGCTGCTGCTGACGACTGGTTCCACAAAGACCTTGTCGTGTGTGGTGGACATTGGCATGTTTACAAATTTAATTGTTGCTCACAAATGATATAGATGTGTATTATATATTATTAAGATGTATATGCGCGCTTCGTTTTTCGCGTTTAAAACTCAATTGGTATGCTTATAGGGAGTGGGGGCGGAGTTTGTTTTTGTTTTTTTTTACTGGTGCTAAGTTTTTGTTGCTCTTCTTCTCTAGTTGCTGCTGCTGATGCGTTTCAATTTAGGCATTTCACAACACTACTGCACTTGACATCTTATTATTATTGTTATTCACTAGAAGCTTTTGCCTCTGCGGCCACCGCTGTTGTTTTTGATCTTGTGACTTTTGCCGCGTCGTGCTGCTGCTGTTGCTGTTTCTGCTGCTGCTACGGATGCTGCTACTGCTTCTGTTGGTGATGGTGGTGCCCCCAAACGTTTGGGGGCCTAATGCATAACCAGAAATGCTTTCTTCGTCGGCGTTTGCCTGCTGCTGCTGACCGCTGCTGGCGGCTGCTAATTGTGGGCGGCGCGCATTCAAATTGCAAATACGATTTCCAACACTGTGCCACATTACATTGTTAGCCATTACAAACATAACGGAACGGTGCGTTTTTTATTTCTTCACTTCACTCTTCTTATTCCTGAGTCGGCAAGCTTTCTAATTGGCGCGCCTACTTTTTTTCTCTTTTTTTTGGCTATTGCAGTTTGTCTTCTAGCCAGTTCTCGTTGTTCCCAGTGTTGTTGTTGTATCGTTGTTTTGTTGTTATCCAGCACAACGAAACTGCTTCAAAAGTTTAACACGTAAAACGATCTTTCGTTGTATACTCCATCTGCTGTAAGATAAGCACATAACAAATTAGTAAACTGGTAATTATTGAATTTAAAACTTATTTAACAAACAAAACTAAATAATACAATCGATAGTCGTTGGTACTTGATAGTTGGTGTCTTTTAAACTATCGGAGGATAGCGTTGCCAGCTATCAGTTTAAAGCTTACGCAATTCAAACGACCAAAAACCAAACGCATGCGCACTATAGATTTTTTTTGGTGTGTATGTTTTCGTGTTCTCTTTTCTAATGCCGTTCGCGAGTGCATAAGCTTGAAACGAGTACAAGCTTGTTAATAGAGAAGAACCAACAACAAATAGACTGCCTGCCAAACCTATCGATACCTTTATGAACTTGCATTGTTTACATTGTGTGCGTGTGTGCGACGAGCATAGTGGAGCCACAAGGGCTTGTGACCAAGAACAACATTCTGTACTTGTGCACTTGACTTTAAAAAAAATAAAACCTGTTCTCCTTTTTCAAAGCCAGTCGTACTTTTTATGGGCACCGCACGCTGCATCTATGCAATATCTTTATATATTTTGCATTATAATACTTAGGTTTTAGGCAACACCAAAAAGCTCTCATATTTTATTGAGTTTGGTTCATCTTCTGCGCCTGCTATTAGCCCAGTGGTAGTTGTACATATGCAGTGTTTGTAATTTGTGGTATTTCTGCTTTGTACATGTTTCTCTAATTTTATACTATTTGCTTTTCATCTAGCCATTCGCATTTACAATTACAATGCACGTATGCTTGTTTGCTTGTGTGTACATGTGTATGCCATGGTATGCGTGTGTGTGTGTGCTTTTGCTTTTGGTCGTTGCCTAAGCCAAAGCAAAAAGTGAATGCACTAATTTTGCCTTGGCATCCGGCGCGGCATTCATAGCAGTCGACGACATCGTCATCTTATTCACCGCCACTGATGCATTGTTGTTGTTTCTATTCTATCTATTGCTCGTTTTCGTTTGTCTCCCCTCCCCTTCATGGCATGCACTTGGCGCTGCTCTCAGTAGTTTCTTAGTACGCCGCTGATGGCGATTTGAGCCTATTGAAACATCGTTTCTAATTGAAATAGGGCAAGCAGCGGGCGACAGTGGCGACATCTAGAGCTCAATTGAATGCGATATGTGCACACACACATTCATACATATGAGTTGTAAAGCGAAAAGGAAAAGAAAGAAAAGGACAGCAAAAAAAATCGCACAATTTCCCCCCGTTTAGCAAAATGCTAATTGCACAGTCAATGGGCTTATGTAACCCCATGATGAGTGTATGGTGTATTATTTCTTGTGTGTTGTTATAAATATGCATGGCATGTATGCAAATTTGTAATGTTCTGCGCCAAATAAATTACTCATCAAATCAAATCAAATTAATAATGTATAACAGCTCTAGAAAATGGTTATTTTATAATCAACTATTTAAGTAATTGTTATTTTCTATGCCTTCAAATTTGTATGTATATAAGTAAAATGCATATGTATTGATTTACAGCGACCCATTCGATTACTGTCTGATTGGAATAGATGCAGAAAATGTACTTATTTTTGTTCGCTATGTATTCCTATTTATAAATATGTTTTTCTGCCTATGCGAGAAGAGAGTGAATTGTGTAATTTAAACGTATACATGATTACAAATAAACACGCATATATATTTGTTGTGTGTGTATTTGTGTTTGAGGATTTGTACATTTTATTTCCGTTTTATGTTTTGTTTCCCAACACATAAACAACAACGTCTGAGATAACACAAGCAAGCACAAGTGTCTGTGTGTGTATTTCTTTTATTATAAACTGTACAACACATTTTATAAATCGCAGTAAAAAAGCATCTTAAAAATGCAAACAAAATCAAATAAAACAACAAACGTAATAATTGTCAATACGAGTAACAGTAAAAAGATTAACCGTACCCCAACCACACCTCCTATAAATTGCGCGCCATAAACAAATAACATTTGCTCACAGAACGCACACATGTGTACATGTGTGTGTATGCGAGGGAGAGCATCGTTGAATGTACATTTGAAACTTATCGTAGCAAGTAGACAGCGACGTGCTTTCTGGAAGCTTTGCTGTCTACTTTTGAATGAAACAAAGACTCACCGAATTTGATATGCAAATGTTGAGCAGCACCGTTAGTTACGTTTGAGCACCGCAAGAAAAGCTTCCATAATTCAAATGAGAATCGAATCGGTGCCAACACGATCGATCGATAGCAAATGCTTATCGAATACTAGCAATCGCTGCGGATGCATCACTTTGTCAATGAGACATTACAACAAAAAATAAATATATGTTTTTGACAGTGGGCATAGACAGACCCACACCCACAATCACACACATACACGCACACACACCTGCATTATTCTCCCCCTATCTGTGTTTCTATTTTTCAATTGGTTTCGTTTCGTTGTTTATGATGCCAGCAGCCAGCCAGCCAGTAGCTAGTGTCAACTAATTGCGTCTTATTTTTTTTGGTGTCGCGCATATTCAATTCGCTTGTATAGTTCTATAGTTTTAGACGCTGACGACGTTATATATTGGGTAAACTTTGTACAGCCTGCTGACATTTGCACATCTGGCTTAGGTGGTCATCAGAGAGTACATTGGCATTATAAATTGTGGGAGAGTTTGAGTATAAACGCAAATAGAATTGCACAAATAAAAGCTCAAAATTAGAAACTTGCATCTGCTCTTCCTCTATCCAAAGTACCTACACACACACAAATCAATGCATATGCGGAACTCCGCATGCATGTGTGTGTGTTTGTACATACATATAAATATACATATGTATGTTATATATATATATGCATTTTGGCGGGGGTGTTTGATTTTTCGTATTTTTGAATTTACATTTTTTGATTTGTGCTGGCATGTCTCAGGCTAATGGATACATGTATGTATAATAAACCACATATAAGTTTCGTATGTACCACCAACAACCAAAAAGAACATATAGTAATAACTTGTCCGTCAACTTTTGCTTTCATTTTCGCTCATACCACAGCACAGAAAGTAGCGAAAAATCGTACAGGGCAGCCAGGCAGGCGAGGCGAAAATCACGTATGCGTAAAGAGTATTAACTGGCGATGAGATGAGTGAGCCATGTGTTGAAGAGAGACAAACAGATGAACACACACATACCAACAAAGTGTACAACTGCGACCAACTTAATGGCGTACGAGCGTGTAAGCAGCCAGAATTGAGAATAAATCATTTGACGAAAACATAACACACGCTTGGAGTGTACAGCAAAAATGGAAGAAAAAACATCAAAGGTAATTGAGAAAAAAATCTAAGCAACTGCGGTGCTATTGTAGCATATGGAATTTGTCAGAAATTCAATTTCAACATGGCGGAAAGTTCGCAATTGCCTGAATTTTAATGTGCAAGGCAAGCAGCTAAATTTGTTTATAAAACTAGACAGAAATAAAATGATATATTTATTTGATTTCTACCGCCGCGCGCATGACAAAACAATGCTTTGCGCTAAAAAAAAAAGCACATGCTGGGGTAATTTCTAATGAAATTTACACACACACACACGCACATAAACAATGGCATTTAATTATAAACGAAGCAAAATTGACACACTGCAGTCAAAACTTTTTATTCATTTTAATTCACATATAATATGCGCATAGTTATTTGTAAAACATAAATATACATTTCAATATTTATTTTGTAATGCTGGCAACTCTGTGAAGCGTAATTATGCACAACTAACTTCACGTTGCACAAAAGAAAATCACAAGCAAAACAAACGAACGCGCAAGCTATATGCCAATCACATTAGTAGGAGTGAGCGCAATATAGATCGCTTTGGGGGAAAAGTACGAAATTAAATATGGCGACCCACAGTGCGAAAAAACTCTATGACAATATCACTGAAATAACATTTCATTTTATTCTATAAACACTTTTGATGAGAACACTACTTAAGCCAGAGCAGACAACGAGAACTCGTCTGATTTTATTGGCAAGAAGAGTTCATATTATTGAAGCGAGATTACTGCCCCTACACTGCGTGATTTGCGCGCGCATTGCTGCTGTTTTGTTTACTCACCGTGTATGTTATTTATGTTGGTTCACTTCATATTTCACAACACTAGTTTAAAAATGGCAAGCTCTGATATTTATTTTTATTTTTTTTTAGTGTGTCGCATTTGTTTTATTCGGCACTAAATTATGTTTTGCATACACATATGTTTTGCGATATTCACACACATTTTCACAAAGTTTGAAACGCACACACTTTTATTTGGTTTATGGGTTTTGTAGTTGTGAAAGGCGGCGTTGTTTAATCGTTTGTTGCCTGCTAAAATAAACGTTTTCACTTTGATTAATCAATTTTATTATTAAATACGAATGGCAAAAAGAAATAACGAAAATGCGCTCAAAAACTTATTGCGCGTGTGTCAGAGCGAGATGACTATATTGTGCTTTGCTGCGCGCGCACTTGTAACTGGACAGCTATATATAGTGTAGCCGTTTTAGCATACAGACATAGGCATGCCAACTAGCACAAAAAATCCTACCTATTATCGGCTATTTTATTTTGTTCGCGCTGCTGCTGCTTCTTCTACCTTGTCTTTCTTTAGCCTATTACTACTGCGCCTGCCATTCCGCAGTGTACTTTATAGTGCTGTACGTACATTCGTTTTGTCTTTCGGTCGGTCTGTCTGTCTGTCTGTTCGTCGATACATACATATATGCCATGCATGTACACACACACGGCGCCACCGAAATATGTACCTACGTACATATACGCACACATACACATACATATATAAAATCTATACGCGGATATTGCCGCTCATATACACAAAATCTGTTGTATATTTTTTAATACTGAAATTTTTGAGTTTTTTTTTTTTGTAAACACCACTATATAAAAAACCAATACAAATACTAATACAAAAAAATAGTAAGCACAATATAATTAATATGATAGCTCAACATTTATTTGTGCATATTAATTGTACACTTTGTATGAAAGAAAAAAACAAACCAGCATACCAAAAAAAAAAAATAACTAGATTTGTACAATTCTTCATTACATTTTGTGCCTCGCTTCGTACTCACGCACACACTCACACTCACACACAAACATACGCTTAAAAATATACAATGTAAGTATGTATATAGACCGCTGCTACATCCAACACTTTAATGGCATCTCGCTCACACTTACGCTTCGCACGCATTTTACCTTTCACGTCCTATGTGTTTTTCATCTTTACCAACACGCTAATAAGACAAATTTTAAAACTACATTTTAAGCAATTACTAACACGTTTCACCATCATATTTTAGTGCATTACGTTTGCAGAAGTTGAGCGCAGGGCGCATAACTAATTTTAAACAATTGATTTGTTGATTTTACACCATTAAACGCGTTTCACACTCCGCGTTACTCCGACTCTTCTTCTTTTTCTAGTGTGAGCGCAAGAATGTTATCTTATGGTAATGTTACCATACTATTTTACTCAAATGATACTGCTAGCCGCGGCGAATTCGCATGTAAAACGTACAGTGCTGTGCAGCAATTAATTACGAGCGCTGTCTAGCACTGTAATTAATCGATGACTTTTGGCGCTGCCAGCTTACTTAATGCAAAACAGCTGATTATAATTTTGTTCGCAAATAATAATACAAATTATTGTTGGCATGGAGGTAAATCCTTTAGCTGTGATATTGGTCTATTACGACAGCAAAGGAGATCGCCTACTATATCGGTATCCCTACCAGCCGCTGGGCCAAACACTCAAATTAGAGGAGCCACGCGAGGAGTTGAACAACAAGAAGCGAAATCCATTCGCCGTTGCCCACACAGATGATCTCCTCCAGACGGCCAACAGCCAAAGTCAGAGCCAAAATCATCATCATCAGCAACAGCAGCAGCAGCAGCAGCAGGGACAGGCACAGCCTGTCCAGGGACAGGGTCAGGGTCAGCTGAAGGGCTTTGCGGATCATGTGCTGTCCACTTTATTTGCAGTCAAACCGCAGCTGTGCCATCAAAAATTTGAACTCAAATTGAACGATGTGCGTTTTGTCAGTCATCCAACAATGATTAGCGTGCTGCCAGGAACGGGTACGGGTACGGGCTCGGGATCAACAGCAGCTGCCAGTCAAACATTGGCAGCAGCTGCAAACAGCAACACAACCAGCAGCAGCAGCAACACAGTGGCTCTGGGCAAAAAGCAGCAGATGGTCATCAATATTGTGTTTGCACTGCACGCACAGGCCAGCTACTCCATAGTCAAGTGTTACCACGAGCTGAGCAAGCGACTAGGACTCGCGCTGAAGTTTGAGGAGCAGCGCAGCGGATATTTAACGGAGCAATTGGCGCAGATGGCGCGCACCCACGATGAACAGCAGCAGGAGCAGCAGCCGCTGGAGCGTATCCTCGAGCTAATTGCGGAACGTTGTAGTTTGGCTCAGGCGTTGAAATCCATATGCAATGATCTCTGCACCACTGGACTGTTGAGCACCACTCTGAATCAGAATCTAACGTTAACCTTCTGTTTGCCGGCGAAGGCGCATCAGTTGCATAAGAAGGGCAGCATGGTTGATCCGGAGACCATAGATCGTTGTCTGCGCGCCCTGAAGCCATATCATGGCATGTTGTTGCTTGTGGACTTTGCGGAGCTGTTGGACTGTGTGCCACCGACGGGTGCACGCATGCTGTGGCAACTGGTGGATGCCTATAATCCGTTGATCAGCCTGCAGAGCATGGCCTCTAATGCGGATCTGAGCATTGAGCATGTCTACAAGCTCGTCTCGCATCTCGTCTACTGGGCCAAGGCGACCATTATCTATCCGCTGTGCGAGACAAATGTCTATGTGATTGCACCGGATGCACCGCTGCACACCCGCTCGCATCTCGTCGAAAAGTTCTCGGCACGCTTTGCTGGGCTGTCGCTGTTCGAGGTCATCTGCGACTTTTCGCTGCCGACATCGATTGGGCATTTGACGACGCCGCTGCAGCAGCCGGCAAGGCAAGGTATACTGGCCCAGATGGTGTTGTGGATGCTGCAGCATCATCTGCTCATGCAATTGCACACCTATGTCCAATTCATGCCCAGCGATGCGGACGATGAGTTTGGCGATTCGGCGTCTTGTGCGCAGGCCAGCAATCTCACCGAGGAGGAGCACGACCAGGACGAGGATGAGGAGGAGGAGGAGGAGGAACAGCAGCAGCACCAGCAGCAGCCTGATGAGGATGTTGATCAATTGGCGCATGGCGGTGGCTCCATGCTGAGTATGTCCAGCCAACCGTTGCCGGTGCCCCGCAATGCCCAGCGACGTGGCCTTGCCGAGGACCAATATTCCCTCGCCTCGGATAATATAGTGGTGCAACCCTCGTCCAGTCACAAATCCAACTTTAGCATGACAGCCTCGCTGAGCACGGATAACTGTGATAGCCTCGACTCCATAGAGGATGAGCAGAAGCTCAAGGAGTTGCTGCAGGTGTTCAGCGATGCGGATCGTGCTGCAATTCGTCGCATACCCGCCTCCACCAACGTCGATGATCTGTCGCTGCTGGTGAAGCTGTATCAGATGGGCTATTTCAAGAGCGAACACCATCTCGAGGAGATCATGTACTTTGAGAATCTGCGTCGCTCCCAGCTGCTGCAGCTGCTCGACAAGTTTCGCGATGTCCTCATCATTTACGAAACAGAGGATCCGGCCATTGCATCCATGTACAACAATAAATAGTTTTAGAAAATCAATCCCGAAAAGAAAGCATTCCTAATGCATTTTTAAAGTCGCTTTGAAATATTGTTAAAAAAAAAAAACTGATTATCAATTCAATGATGCATTTCACTGTTTTTATATATTTAACATAAGCTTTATTTGTTTTTTTCATAGTGTGCCTAACTAAAATTTCTTTTTGGGGTTGTTTGATTTTGGACAATATTGACTATATCCAATTCAAAAGGGTGCTTAAAATTCTAATAGCCAGCCGATTGCAATTTCTGTGAAACGATTCGTATACTCTTAAGTTAACTATATGCACTTAAATCGACATCAACTTACAAAAATATATATAATATATATAGAGGTTGGCAAAAATTCCTCAACTGAACCCTCCACGAGGGTGCCGACTGGTAATAGCATTACAGTAGTCCTGCAAGGTACCGATGCTATCTAAGACTCGTGCCCTGAACCTCGGACATGAACTGTTTCTTGTCCCTGGGAAAGGACCGAGTCATGGTTCGAGGTAATGGGCCGAACTAAGGTGTAATGCGACCCGTGCCGATAGTCAGCCAGGCTGGGGGCCCAGAAATAGCCCAGTCTTCTACGGAGCATATCGGATACCTGGCGACCTCCGATATTAATCATTCCTTTCTCCGCAACTCGTGGTAATCACAATGCATTCCAATTCTATTAAAAAAAATCATAAGGAGCCCGGTACTCTCACAAAACCGGCAGGGAGCAACCCCAGACATGTAGCGGAGGCAGTGGCTCGTAAGCCTGGCCAAAGCGGCAACACGACAAAAGTGGCGGAAAAGCCTGTTTGTGCGGTGCAGTGGTGAGGGTGCAACTGGTAAGATCCCGATCCATCCAACTCCGTGGTAGGAAGACAAAGCACTTGTGCAGCCAACCTGCCAGAAATCCTGATAGGGATCCTTGACAAGGGCAATAAGAACGGCAGAATACCGAGGAATCAGAGGAAGTGGGTGGAAGGAGTCCTCGCTGTCCACTGCTTGAAAATGCTGAACAAGGTGCCTGGGCCACCACCGGTATGTAGCGATGCCGGCTGGTACCAGGGTAACACGACAGCAACAACACGGTGGTGAGGGTGGAATCCTTGGATGTCCTTGAGACTACGGCAGATTAACCTTCACCACAGTAAAGCACCATCCGCTGCTCTAATGCTTCGCTTAGCTAGAGGCGGAGACGACATAATACTAGTCCAAGAACCTTGGGTGATTGGAGGAAAGGTATGCGGACTAGGTAATAAAGATTATAAGCTTTTAGTAGCTGGAAATGAAGGTAAAAAACGCACCTGCACCAGACGGGAAAAAAGGAAATCTTGGAGATTTTTGCACAGGTATTGATTCAACTACTGAAGCTGCAAGGCTTAGAAAAGTTTTATCAAAAACCACACCCACACTAGGTTATCTGAAAAAGGATGACAACTCATGGACGGTCTCCAGTGAAGAGTCACTGGACATCCTTTAAAGTCTCTTATACACAAAGGTAACATAAAGTGGGCAGCTTCACACCGTTCAAATCCCCAGGCCCAAATCAGATAAGCCCAGTCCAACTACACAAGGCGGGCAATACAGCCATAAACTGGCTACATGAAATCTTCATCCATTGACCCCAGGCTTATGACGGAGTCCCAACATGCCTACAGGAAGGGCAGATCCACAGATACTGCCCTTCACTCTGTGGTCTCTATTATAGAGAAATCTTTACTCCATAAGGAGTACACCCTAATAGCGTTCCTCGACATTGAGGGCGCCTCTGACAACGTCACTCCGGCAGCCATAACTGGACAAGGAAGGTATAAGTATGCCTCTAGCTACCTGTAAGCTCAATATCAAGGAGGAGTACAGGCGTAGGTCATGCAGAAAATGGCAAAATGCCACCTGTGCCAGCATAGCACACCAGACATGGCCAATCATCAACTCTAAGCGCAGCAAAGAGCTGTGCAGTCTAAGTCAGACAAACTGTTCTGCAGTGATCCGCGCTCTAACGGGGCACTGGATGGTCGGCATTCATGCCAACAGACGTTTGCAGAAGTTGCAAAGAGGAGGAAGGAGGTGGAATCCCCGGAACACTTCTTCTGCCTCTGCCCAGCACTTGTCAGGAAAAGGCTGGCAATCCTGGGAAACTACTACTCCTAACTGGTTTATCGGAGCTCCGACATATGAGACCGCACAAGATAGCGAAATTCATTAACGCATCTGGCTGGGCAAATGTTTGACTCGTTGGAATGCTTTGGAGGCACGATTGCAGGAGAAAATCCCTGGATCCCATTCGGTATCACAACGGGCCAAATATGGCCTAAGTGTGTCAGCCCATCGGGCTGACAGCCGATATAACCTAACCTATATATATAAATTTATATATATTCATATATCAAAAGTGTACTTTTGTGCTTACAAACTAGTTTTATATATAGAATGTTACTAGCTACATAGATCGGTTCTATGACTTGAAGCTGATCTGTTTTATCCTATCTATAATATATATGTGTGTATATCGACCTCGAACAACTTGGTTATTAATGCCCAATTTTCAACAAATTCAATGTGTGGACTAGATTCGATGAAAATATCTTGGGCTGCTAGCATAATCTAGTAATCTAGATTTAAGTATAACAAACAATTCAATCAATCAATCAATCAATCGATCAATCAAAATTGACTTGAGCTCAGTGTCAAGCTTTCAACAGCAGAAAGAAAAACAGAGCTTGTCGCTAGGATTTGTTGCAGTTACTATTGGTGTTGTTGTTGTTGTTACTGCTGTTGTTAATGTTGCTGTTGCTGCTGCTGCTATTGGAAATGTTATTGTTGTTGTACAGATAATGTATCAGATTTGGTTCGATTTCGAGCTGTTGCCGCAGAATCGAGCTCATCACAAACTCCGTGGAGACAATATGGCACTTGGGATTGCCGTGGCGCGTTAGATCCGCGCACAGATGCATATCCGTGGGGCAGGTAACAATGATGTACGAGTCCGGTGCCTGCAGATGTGCGTCAGCAATGGCAGCACCACTGCGACGCTTCAGCTCCACCTTGCCGCCGGAGGATTCAATCATGCGTACGATTTCATCGCGTGCGGGAAACACATCGGGCGTCACATAGAAACATCGGCCGGCGAAGAGTGTGGCACGCGTTGGGGCACAAAGCACTGCATCCAGATCGAATTGCAGATTCTCGTCGACGGGTATGTGCTGGATGCGATAATGATCGGGCGGCATAAATTTGCCCGCTTTGGCGCTATCCACCAGCCAGCTGGACTTGAGCACATAGTCCACGTGGCAGCAGGCCTGGATCAGTTTGCAGGTGCGACTCTCGCGCGTCATGACCAAATGCGTCGCATCCACGGGACTATCAACAACAATGCCGCCCAGGCGTCTGCATATATAAATAATTAATTATTAAATATAGAATCGAGTTGTAATATTTTGAAGTCCAGCTTACTCGACGGCCTTTTTGAGCGCCTCGGCATCGGCGACCTGCGAGAAGATGACCTTGGGCGGTTTTGTCGTTTGCGGATACTCAATGCAGACAATCGGTTCCGGCAGATGCTCCTGGTAGATTAGTTTCTGTCGCTTGAGCTTCTGCTCGTGCGCATACGGATCTGAGAGATGACGCTTTACACGTTCGTGCGCATCCTGGGTTAGATTAATGGGCGCCTTCCAAGCAGCTAAAGGAAGTAAATGATTTAGTTAACTAGAATGATTTGATTGTCGCAATTTCTTACCAAGCAAATGCTGCACCAAATTGCATTCGATGCGGAATGGTGTTGGTACTGGGTACTGTTGATATTTCGGATTCTCGTAGTGGGTGAGTCCGCTCAGATTGCCGATGCAGACATCACTGAGCCACAGGGCATTCACCATGGGTATACTCCACTCCTTGGCCGCATTGAACTTGTTGCCCTCCAACTGTTTGCAGACGACCAACGTATTCACTTTCGACAGATACGAGGTATAAATGGCGCCACATTCCTCGGCCATTTGTTGCAAGCGCACAACTTCCTCACCCTCAAATCCCTCCGAGGTGATTATGTAACGTTCCAGCGGTTTACGATAGCCAAACTGGCTGGGGAAGGGCAAGTGGAGTGGTTGCCACGGTGGCATCAGTTGTCGCTTCAAGCAGATATCACTTAACCAATAGGCGGTCACACAACGCTTGGCATCGCGCAGCGCTTGCATCACCATGCCGTGCCGCTGGGTGCGGCAGATGACGTGCGTGACGCGGGCGCAGTAGACACGCTCGATGTCGCCACCAAACTGACGGATTGTGTCCAGCCAAATGGGAAGCTCATCGCTGTCCGTCTCATCGTATTCCACAATGAAAAAGGTGCAACCGACCAGGAACAGATCTGCTGGCAACTTCAAATTCGGATTGTGTCCATAGAACTGGGGACGTGGCGGCATCGGTATCGGTGGCTGGCCGGGACGCACTTGCATATAGACATGTGGTGGTCCCCCCACTTGCACGGGCACGCCCACTGGCAACTGTTGCTGCTGCTGTTGCATGTTGGGCGGCGGTGCCACCACAATTTGCTGCTGCACCAAATGTTGTTGCGGTATTTGCTGCTGTGGCACGCCGACAACACGTCGCATTTGCTGCGCCTGCTGCTGCAGCAATTGTTGTTGCTGTTGTTGTTGCTGCTGCAGCAGCATCAGCTCCTGTTGTGTGCGTGGCGGACCAGGCACACCGACAGCAGCATTGTGTTGCTGACCCATCATGCGTAGTGCGCCAGCAGCGGATGGTGGCTCCACGTGTTGCTGCGGCACCGACGGCAACTGTTGCTGCTGTGCGGCAACCAACTGCTGCTGTTGTTGCTGCTGCTGCTGTTGGAGTAGCAGCTGTTGTTGCTGCTGCTGCTGCTGTTGTGGAGCACCGCTAACAACAACTTGTTGCACAATTTGCTGTTGCTGCTGTTGTTGTTGCTGTACATCGTTCATGGATATCACTTGTTGCTGTTGTTGTTGCGGCGTCGCTTGTGCCCCATTGTTGCCCAGTCGATTGCTCAGCATGTTGGCCAACGCTGTTTTTGTCTTCAGGTTCATCTGCTGCGGCGTCTGCTGTTGTTGCTGCTGCTGTCCATCGGTTGCTGCTGCAATGTTGAAGAAGGTGATGTTTTATTGCTTGAGCTAAACAGGATATTTAAAGATCAGTGATGACTAACCCGCTGCGGACATGACTAACGTTTGCGTCATAATGTTGCCACCTGTTGGACCCGTGCCCGGCGTGGTGGGCGTGCCCGGTGTGGATTGCGGCTGCACAATCGTCTGCTGCTCGATGAGTTGACCATTCGGACCGGTGATTAGCTGCACCGTCTGTTTGCCCAGTTGCTGTGGCGCCGGCGCCTGTTGCATGGGTATTTGTTGCACACGCAACTGTTGACGCTGCATCAACATTTGCTGACTGGGATCATTCGGATTAAACGGTTGACCAACTGGTTGCTGCTGCTGCTGAGGTAGTTGTTGCGGTGCAGCGCCAGGTTGTTGTTGCTGCTGCTGTTGTTGTTGTTGTTGTGTAATCGGACTGAGACCGGGTGCACCACTCGCACGCACCACCACCTGACGTGTGCCCTGCTGCTGCAGCCAGAGCATTTGCTCCTGTTGCGTTAGTCCACCCGGCATTTGGCTCTGAACAATGATGTGCGATGTGGCATGTGGCACGGGACCGGGCGCACGTGTGGCAGACACCACGCTGCCTGGTGCGCCGGGCCGCGGCTGATAGGCAACCTGCTGGCGCAGCATGACACGTGGCTTGTTCTGGTTGAGCTTCGTTATGTACTCGGCCCGCTTGTGCGCGTCCAGCGACATGAAATGCGCATGCGTCTTCTCATCCAGCTGAATGACTTGACGCTGTTGCTGCTGCTGTTGTTGCTGCGGTGGCGGCAGCACAAGTTGTTGTTGTTGTTGCTGCTGCTGCTGTGGTTGTTGCTGCTGCTGTTGTGTTGGCGGCGGCTGCTGTTGTGCCGGCCAAGGTGTTTGTGGCCGCATTCCGCGCGGCAAAAATTGTGGTGCCTGTTGCTGTTGCTGCTGTGGTGTTGTCGGCGTGCCCGGCAACGGCGATGGCATGCCCATGCTGGTGGAGGTGGGCGTGCCGGGCGTTGTTGGCGGCATTTGTTGTTGATTGGTCACGGGACTTTGGGGTGACCAATGCGCCGCCTGCTGCTGCTGCTGTTGTTGTTGTTGCAGCTGTGTATGATGCTGTGGCGACTGTTGCTGCAGCATCAACTGTTGCTGCTGTTGCTGTGGCGACTGTGGCGGCGGTGTGCGCTGTGTCACTTGCTGTTGCTTTATTAGCACCTGTTGCATGATTTGCTGAGGCGCTTGCTGCTGTTGCTGCTGCTGCGTACCTGGCTGTTGCTGTTGTATGAGTATCTGCTGCTGTTGCTGTGGCGGACCAACAAGCTGTTGCTGTTGTTGCTGCTGCTGTTGCTTCTGCTGCAGCAATTGCTGCTGCTGCAAGTATTGCAAACGCTGTGGATCACTGATGACTTGTTGATTTATCAGTATTTGTTGCTGCTGTTGTGGTGGTTGCTGCTGCTGCATCTGCAATCGCTGTTGTTGCTGCTGCTGCTGCTGCTGTGTGAGCAGTTGCTGTTGCATTTGTACAGGTGCCTGCTGCTGCTGTTGTGATTGCTGCTGCTGTAACATCATCTGATTTGGTGGCAGCTGTTGTTGCTGCTGCTGCTGTTGCAATAGTTGACGCTGTTGCACAAGCTGCTGCTGTTGTTGTTGCTGCTGCTGTGACAGGTTTGTGGAGTTCACAATGAACACATTTTGGTTCTGCTGATTCTGAGCCAGAATCTGTTGCTGCTGCTGCACGCTGAGCTGACTGAATTGCTGCTGACTTATGATGAACTTTTTGGTCTGCATGGCTGGTGGTGGTTGTTGCTGTTGTTGTTGTTGCATTGTCTAAATGTCAATTTAAATGATTTTCAAAATTATTATAATCAGTTTTAATTACAAGTTATACATACATGTTGCTGCGGCTGTTGAGTCAATACTTGCTGCTGCTGCGGTGGCTGTTGTTGTTGTTGTGGTGGTTGTTGTTGCTGTGCAAATTGTTGTCCCAGCAACTGTTGTTGCTGTGGCGGTTGCTGTATGGTTTGCTGTATAATGCGCACCTGCTGCGTAAATTGTACTGGTTGTTGTTGCTGCTGCTGCTGCAGTGGCAGCTGCTGTTGTTGTTGCTGTGGTTGTAGTTGCTGTTGCTGTTGTTGCGGCTGCTGCTGAGGTAACATCTGCTGTTGCTGTTGTTGCAACTGCAACATTTGCTGCTGTTTTTGCTGTTGCTGCTGCTGCTGTATGCTCATCATATGACTCTGTATTATCTGCTGTCCTTGCGCCGTCGATGTGTTTATCACATGTCGCTGCGTTATTACCTGTTGCTGCTGCTGTTGTTGTTGCCCAGGTCCAAGCTGTTGCAGTATTTGTGGTGACTGTTGCTGCTGTGGTTGCTGTTGTTGCTGAAGGGCCTGTATTAAAAAATCTGATTTTAAAATTCCATAAAATAAACTTATGCAATTTACTTACCCTTTCTGGTGTTGCTTGTTGTTGTTGTTGTGGAGGTTGCTGCTGATGCAAAGGTGATTGTCGCGGTGATGGTGTGTGTTGTTGTGGTGGCATTTGTTGTTGCTGCTGCTGCTGTTGTTGCTGCTGTTGTTGTTGTTGCTGCTGCTGTTGTTGTTGCAGTTGTTGTTGCTTTAGCTGCTGTTGGCGCATTATCAGCGAATCCTGATTGCTGCTTAACGTGGAGCGACTGAGTACTTGAGCCACTTGAACTGGATCCGTTGGATCTATGGGCTGCACAAAGGATTGTTGCTGCTGCTGTTGTTGTTGCTGCTGTTGCTGCTGCAGTAGCTGTGCTGGTGGCTGCTGCTGTGGCTTGGTTTGCATCGGCGGCGTTTGTGATATCTGCGGAGATTGTGGCGCTGAAATATGCTGAGGACTTTGTTGTTGCTGCTGCTGTTGCTGGGCAAGTTGCTGTTGTTGCTGTTGCAGCTGCATGCGCTGTTGCTGATGCACCGGCTGCTGGAAGGGTTGCTGTTGGGGAGACATCATGGCGGGCGGTGGTGGCTGTTGCTGGGGAGAGCCCATCATATGCTGCTGCTGTTGTTGCTGGCGACTCTGTTGCAACTGCTGCTGCTGCTGTTGTCGCAAATGTTGTTGTGCACTCTGTGGCGAGGGCGGCGGTGGTGGCGTCATTTGTGGTGCTGGCGATTGCAATTGTCGCGGTGACTGTGGCGGCAACATATTGCTGGCAGCCACATGCTGTTGCTGCTGCAGCGAAGGCGATGGCGTCCCAGGTGGCATTACTGGCGAACGATTTTGAACCATTCGGGGTGATTGCTGCTGCGGTTGCTGTTGTTGCTGCTGCTGTTGCTGCATCTGTTGCATTTGCATTTGGAGCTGTTGTTGCTGCTGCAGTAATTGCTGTTGCTGCTGCTGTATCTGGCGTTGCTGCGCCTGTTGCTGAGGCGTCAGACTCTGACCGTTCTGTATTTGCTGATGCAGTTGCATTTGCTGCTGCTGCAACATCTGCTGCTTGCTCATCAAATGCTGATGCAGAATTTGCGGCGGCACTGGAACCGACTGTTGCTGCTGCGGCACTTGTTGGGCAACCTGCTGCTGCACTTGTTGCTGCTGCTGTGGCAACTGTTGCTGCGGTGATTGTACGGGCTGTGGTGTTGTTGCCGGCTGTGGCATGCGCGGCGTTTGTCGACCAGTTGCCATCGGCGCCTGCGGCATGGTGGGCGTGGTTGGCAGACGCGGCTGCTGCTGTTGCTGCAACAATAGTTGCTGCTGTTGCTGATCTTGTTGGTGCATAAGCTGAATTTGTTGTTGTTGCTGCTGTTGTGTGTTTTTCATCTGACGCTGCTGCTGCAAAATGTTTTTGATCTGTTGTTGTTGCTGCTGTAGGTTGGCTGGTATGATCTTCTGCTGCTGTATAATAATTTGTTGCTGCTGCTGCTGGGCAGGCGGCGGCGGTGGTGGTGGTGCCTGTGGTGCACCCTGCTGCAGTTGCTGTTGCAATTGTTGCTGCTGTTGCATGTTACGTGGCCGCACAAAGACCACTTGTTGTTGCGCTGGCTGCGGCAATTGTTGCTGCTGTTGTTGTTGCTGCAACTGTTGATGTTGCTGTTGCTGTTCGGCAGCAGCACGCTCTGCCGATGCCTGCAGCTGGGATTTGATGCTGGCAATGCTCTTCGCAGCGCTGTCGTCCCCGAAGCCTAGGATATCAGATAGCTGAGTAGAAACCGGTTGTTGTTGTTGTTGCTGCTGTTGTTGTAGTGGTAATTGTTGTACCAAATGTTGCTGTTGTTGTTGCTGCTGCTGTTGTGCCAACTGCTGTTGTTGTTGCTGCAACAATAGTTGCTGTTGTTGTTGCTGCTGTTGTTGTTGTTGTTGCAGATTTTGTTGCTGTTGCTTTTGGGCGCGTTGTTTCTCGATGGGCTTAAGCAGACGGGGATGATAAGGTTCACAGGGCAGGCAGCTCTTGAATTTGAGACAATCGGTCACCCAATCGGGAGTGACAATGTTCATTGCATTCTTGGGCACCGCCAGCGCTTTACTGTAAATGTTGCCGGTGGCGGCGCCGCATACCAGATGCGTATTGGTCGCACCATGCGTGTGGGTGACAACGGCGCCGTGATACGTAAGCATCGCATATAGACGCCGCCGATCGCTAGCAACCACATTGGTGATGGCAACGCGTATGCCGCGCAATAAACGCGGCTGGCTTGGATCGAAGGCACGCGTCGATGCCTTGCGTCCAAGTTTGGCGCTGTGCAGTATCCATTGCTCGCTGACAGGTATCACATTGTAGAGATCCAGATTCATCGATAGCTCATCGTCCGTATAATTGCTGGCGCATATCAAATGCGTGATTTGGTCCGAGAGGTAAAGTTTCGCCTGGGCGCCGCCGTTCTTCAGCAATCTCTCGGTCTGCAAAAGGGTTAAGAGCAACGTTGACATAATAACGAATAATCTGTTAATCAAACACACACTTAGCACTATAGAGATGAGCAATAATCGTGACAGCTGTGAATTCTTTTTAACATTTTCCATTCATAATCAATATTCAAAATTAATGAACTATAAATGCAGTACGTGAGTTGCAGCTGTTACTCAATATTAAAAAAAAAAATTAATAAATAATCTAATGTGAATATTTTTTAATACGTTTAGTTTCGCCTATCAGGTTTTTTCATGCTGCGCATCTCTATCTAAGCACACACACATACCACCTTAGAGATGAGCAATAAATCTGTAAGCCAGTTTTCAATTAATATACAAACTTAATACCAATTTGCAATATAAGTCAATATAAATGCAGTACATCACTTTTAACTGCTGATAAAAAAATTAACCAAAATGTGTAATTTAGATTTGCGCAGGTTTTTTCATGCTGCACATCTCTATCTAAACACACTCACACATGCATAAGCCTCGAAAATTGCCGGCAAGATTTTATGGCGCGCATTTTTTTATTAGCTAAACATGAAACTCCCTGTGCTGCCAGCAGTTCCAAATTTACTTTCACTGTCTTAAATGCTAAACGCAAGGTTTTAATGCATTAAATCTTAAACGCATTAAGTTAAGGACGCCCTGTTGCCTGTACAGATGCACACACACGCACACACACACAACACACACAAACATGCTCGCTAAGAATGCAAACACCACAGCAGCAAAGCTGGCACGTACAGCCCGAAAAGAGCGTGACGGTGTTGAGGAGTCTATGTTTACCTCATCCTCTAGGCTGCCCAGCACAAAGTAGATCACATCCTCGAACAACTTTTCACTGATTTTTAGATTTTCCATTATTATATTGCTGGCTACTGACTAGCCGTGCGCTATTCGCTTTTCTCAAATTTCACTTTTCTTTCGCTTCGGTTTTGTTGTTGGTGCGGCTGCCGCGGACATGGATATGGAAATGCATTCAGCTTCACTTTCACTGGGCACCAATCGCTCGCGTTCGTTGTAAATTCGAAAATATTGCAGTGTATAACAGAAAAGGCACTTGAATTGTTTAAACTCATCGAATTGAAGCCTATTTTCTTGTAACTTTTTTATGTTTTACGCGACCCTTCCGCCTTTTATGTGCAACAAAAACCAACGCTAGCGATGAGAATATTGTACACATAGTTTACAGCGATACTTTGAAAATGCATATCGATGGTGGCAATATTCAGCAGCTGTTCTTTCGAAAGCATTTCAACATAACACTTTGCAGATGCTTAAATTGGTATATCGATAGGCATACCGACCTATAGCGATGATTTTTTTTTTAAACAATTCCGCGCAAAAGGGCAGCAGAAATTAATTTGATTCCTTATTTTATTTAAAGATTTTTCTTCAAAGCAGAAAATAATACGCGCATGAGTTCTACTTTTAAAAGTTTTAAATATATTAATTTGTTGGTTTCTTTTTTTATACAAATACACGTTGGCCTATACATATTAGCTTATTTAATATAATTTATTTCTTAACAGCTTTAAGACATACAGATCTTGAAAGTGATACATTTTTTTATTTCGTTTAGATTTTACAATTTTTTTTTGTATTTCTTGTTTTTATGTTTATGTATATTTATATTGTAAAACATCTACTACTGAGTGTGGAAATTCTCTTGAAAAGCGTAGAAAATTTCGTGTAATTAAATTGTTGTTTATTGCGATAGCGTAATTGCAAATTTGTTTGGTTGCATATCGTTTTTTTGTTGTTGTTGTTCTTCTTCCTCTTCATTCTTGTTGTTTAATGTTGTTTGTGTTTTGCTGAATGTTATAGTTGCCTGTTTATACGTTGGTTGGAAGGACAGAGATAGTTGTTGTCGTCGTCGTCGTCGTCGTCGGTGCAGCTTCAGCAACTTGATCGAATTTCTTGTCATGCACAACGGCGTTCTTCATCAGGATGAATCATGAGGCATTATTCGCCTCGCCGTTGCTCTCATGGAAGTTGGTGCCGTTCACAATAAACGATGTGCCCAGGCCATACAAGTGACCCGAATACTTGGCATGATCAATATTATCCTCGAAGAACATCTGTAATAGGTCACAACAAATATGTATTAATATATGCCACATGATTTTATAGTTAGAGCTAAACATTTTTTTTAGCAGTTTTTGTTAAGCGGCATTAGTTAAGCGGCATACATCGATACAGATATATATAGGATGAAATGTGATTTAATGTTAAAGCTTACAAGCAAAATAGTCCAAGTGGTGTTCATCAGTTCAGTTCAAACAATACGGTAAATAGTTTAAGTAAATAAATTTTAGGTTACATACCATTTTTATATGTATTATTTCAATTTTGTGTATTTACTTGCTTCGATTCATTAATATTAATCACTATATTCAAAATCAGTCGTGAATATTGCACATATGGTACAAAATAAAATCATAAGCAAACCGAATACGAAACAAACATTAAGTTAAGAGACTCGATTTACAAATCAATGGAATAGTTAGAAAGAACTGGAAGTGGAGCACAAGACACATACAGACAACGAATAATTCGATGGGGAGTTATAATCCTTCGTATGGGTTTTGGCCAACAATACAATACAAATCTATATAAATAAAAATTGTCCACCGATCGTATTTCTAATTCCATAGATCCAATAAATTAAAGAATCAAGCAATATAGTTAAAAAAAATGTAAAGCGAAAGATTATTCAGTAAGTATGTGATAAATGATATGTGCAATGTGTAAATACGTAAATGAAATGCCCAAAAACCATAAATGATTAAAAATAATATAAATGAATATTGAAATTAAATTCATTTAATTTTCTGATTTGATTCCATGAACTTCTTTTTTTGTAACTTTTCTCAGTTACTAATTTTTTTTTACAATTTTTCTCAGCAACTTTGCTTTAACTTTTGTTTTTTATCATTTGAGATTTAAATTAAGAAACATGTTTCACATGTTAACTGTAACAAATTAGTCAATTTTTAAGGTTTTTGTTTCTTTACTAAGCTTTGGGTCCTTTTTTGTTTTAAGTGCGTTGCATGCAGCATAACAGACAAAAAATGCGTTTCATTTGCAGCATCCTAAGGCCAATAAAGAATATTCAAAGTGCAAAGTAAAGCCGAAAAAAAACAATATAAAAATATGAAATGATTGTGAAACTATGTACACAATGTGTAAAATGGGAATTGTGCGAAAAGATGTGAAAAATTAAAACGTTTTGCTGAAGCAATGGAGAATATGTAATGTTTTAGTTAAAAGTTATAAGGCGACAATTTGGCAACACAACAACAACAGCAATAATGCAGCAGCAGCAGGATGAGTATCAGCCATTATATTGAGCATTCATTAAGTTATTTCGATGTGTTATTCTTGATGTGCATTTTGCTCAACTTCAAAATGATAGTCGGGTCACCCGTGGACGGGGTGGCAGGTTCTGTGTACGCCAGGGTAAAGCATAGCGATTAGGAACGTGAGAAATTTGCTTGATCACTGCTATCGCTGCTTGCTGTCGGGGTTGTTGCTGCTGTGCTGCAATTGCTGCTGCTGGTGGTGGCATTGGTGGCGGTGCCACTGTTGCCGCTGTTGTTATTGTTGTTCGCAGCAAAGCTATCAACCATGCCAAAGTTGCCGGGGGGTCGGCCACTAATGTTCTGCGAGCTAAGCATATGAATTTTGACAACCGCCTTGTCTCTCATGGCTTGCTCAAGCACATAGGGAAAAAATGATCCAGGCATTTCACAATTAAAGCGAATACCAAGTATGTGTTGTACCTCACGCATTTTAAAGAATGCCATTCCAGTGAGCAGGGCATCCGAACCGGCCTGATGCTGTGGACCAACGCGACGCAACTCCAGCTGATCGGCGACCTCCTGCAGGCCACCCTTTAGATTCTTGCACGATTTCATTAGATATTTGATATCGAAGATGTTGGGAAAATAGATGTGCAACAGCTCAAAAAATTCACTCTCATCGGCGGGCAGATTCTGATCGGTGAGCAGCTTCAACAAATAACCAAAATCATAGCCAGAGTGAAAGCATAGCCATTTGATGTTATCCATTAGCACAATGCCCGAACTCATTAGGAGCTCGGCAAAATCGATGGGATCGATGCCATCCTCTTCGTGCTTCTTAAATTGTATGCCAGAATTTTGCAGCAAATCAATCGAGTCCTGTGCATACATATCCTCGCTGCAATTACAAATACAATCAATTATAAGAATAAATGATTATTGCACACTTAACTCACCTCAGATTGAACTTGAAGTTAAACTGCCATGTGGAGTAGCCTGGCGGAGTTTTGCCCTCATCATCCATAAATGTCAGACCCAGCTGAATGATACGCAGCAAGTCGACATTGCAACGCAACAATTGATAATGATAATCGGCTGTCGAACGAAAATCGCCAACGGGACGGGCGACAACACCCGGAAATTCCGTGTCCATGGCAACATAATGATATTTCTGGACCACCTTGCGTATGGTGCGAAATTCCTCCTCCAGATTATGCTTCCACACGTCGCGTATGCCGCACTCCTCATTGCTGGGTATATGCACCTGCCCGTGGGCGCCGCCACTTAGGGCCGAGGGCATTGTCTGTGAATTAGCCGCAATTCATTAATTAGCTTTGAATACCACTTCCATGCATAATACATATATATATTATTGTTGACGGTGAGAATATTTGTTTGTGTTGTTGTGTTTCTTTCAGTTTTTTTAATACGCCTTGGCTTATAAATTGAAAAATTTTTTTAAAAGGTATTTACCAATCCTTTCTATTTTCTTGACAAATTTTATTTAGGTTTTCCAATTATTAATTTTTAATTTCCAACTCCAATGTTAAAATATATGTGAATACATAATTAAATACACATAGTTTTTCAAACTTTACGAAGGGGCTTCATTTGTGTATAAATTTCGTATATTTGTGTGTTATTATACATAAATATTGATAAATATAAGGTTAGCAACATAAAGAAATCCGAAGAAGCTGGGCCAATTGGTTAGAAATTTTGTTTACTTATTTTTGATTTGATTTTTTTGGGGTGCAAATAGCTGGTCGAAATTTGTTGCCAATTCTGCTGTTAAGAGGTGAGCTATAATTTTGATTGCTGCCACACTACATAAAGAATAAACAGATACATAAACGTAAAAACAAATTGGCATAAAAATACATTTATATATATTTTTTTCTTTTTGGGTTTGATTTACTTTGGATACGGGCGCTACTTACATCGTCGCCGGTCGTCGCCTGTTGCTGCCGCTGGAGAGCCGCTTCAGCCACTTTCTCACCAAAGTTAACCTTAAGCTATGTATAAGTTTATTGTTTTTGTTTGTTTGTTTGTTTTTTTATATATATATGTATATATATACTTGAAGGCTTTTGGCAAATACGTAATGCAATATACTTAAGATTGGCTACTCAAAATATCCAGCAAATCTGAGTTTAGTTTACTATAGAAGAAGTGCCTAGTCGAACATAAAAAAGAAAAAACTAAAAATATGTTGAACCTCATATTAATTTTTGTTTATCAATAAAAAAAATATATAAAAACTAACAAGTGTCATAAACTGCTCTTTTACAGATAGATGTGGATCCTTGTTGGCCAATGTCATGCAAAAAGCAATCAGTGAATTATAGTAATTGGCGACACTTATTTATTTTTGTGCTTTATGCAATATTTTTGTTTTTTCATCACAATAACATCACAACATTGTTTGCACTAATTTCAAACTAGGTCACGGTTTGTGGCGGCAACAACTTTTTTAGCCGCGCTTCGAAACGACAACAAAAGTTCTGCTAAAAATGCAACCGCTCTTTTCACACACACACACCAAATGCATACAATTTGATGCATGTGTGTGAGTGTCATTTAAGTGCATGCGTGAGCCCTGGACGCAAAAAAAAAACGCATACACATGCACACATTTGGCATGGAGAGAGATGTGTGTGTGTGTGTTTGTGTGAAGCTTAACAAACAAAAATCGAAGGCCATCACCGCTATTACACACAGGAAGAGAAGCCCTTAGACAAGAACATTGCCAATGTGAACATCTATTTACATTTTGTATATAACAATTGGCTTGCATCTGGAAACTTACCCATTTCATGATTGTTTTCAAAATGCTTTTTGCGCTTTTGACCCCTGCTCGGCCGAATGTGTTCCACTTCGAGATTCGATATTTGCCGCTTTTGGGTTTTGGTTTTAGTAAGTTTCAAATATAATTCAAGTCCGGTGTTTGAGCACTGCCTGTGGCGTTTAAGAAATGAGTTGCAGTTAATATCGTTTATGTCAGTGCCATAATGAAAGATGTGAATTTTTGTGATAGTGTTGAAAATGTGCGATTTGTTTTTAGTGATGAACACAGGGGAGAACGACTGACAAACCAGGGCTGTACAAAAATATAGTGGCTGTTGTTTTTTGTTTGGAATTTTGTTTTCTTTGGTATAAATGAATATATATTGAAAAGTTTGTTCTTGTTTGGAGTAATGAAGCCGTAATTTCTATATCAAATCGATTTATAATAAATGACTTCCTGTGTTCTGTTTGATTTACTAATATGTTTTTACTCTGCTGAGTAGATGGCGCTGCAACAGGCGATTGGTCTGGCAACGCTATGATGTCAGCTGCTATCTGCATGCGCTGTATGCTGCTTAAATCAAAATTTGTTCAAAAATAAAATTTATCTCCGAAATATTGAAATTCCTGCAAATTAAGCTGTTTTATTTTTGGCTAAACTACTTTCTTAATTGTAAAACTAGCTGAGTTGAAAAATATATTGTTGCAGATAAGAGTTGATCTATTTACGCAAACAGCGTACTGATCTTGAACAAAATGTTTAGTAGGAATTTTGTTGGTGTTTCGCGCTTTTTGCCGGCAGTTTTGTAAAATTGTTTGGAGCGGACGAAGTGAGTTTTTGCCAACTAAAAAATAAGTGAAATGTTTTTCAGTAAACAATTTTGTTATCGTGTTTCAAGCGCAAGAATTTAATTAATGGTCCAACTGTGCTGAATGCCAGCGTCATCAGTTTCTCATTTCTAAGCATCTTGCTTTTGACCATATTTCTTGTTACATGTTTGTAAATGAAGTTAACAGCACTTTAATTATATTTTTCTTTAAGTGTTCTCGTTGTTGTGTTAACATTCCATCATATACAGTATATCGTATTTTCTGTTATTGATTTGATTTTGTTGTTTATGAGCGCTGACTGAAACTAGTTTTTCCTATCTTCCCAATTTTAGTCAGTCAAACAATAGGCCATTGACTTGACAAGTGAGAGTTTTTAGTGCTTGAACAAGGCGGAAGTATTGTTTAATTGACCCATTATTGAAATAGGCTGTAAACAATTGATTTGATGTGCAGCCAAAAACAAAAGTGGAATTCGTGTTTATTAAGCTATAATAACTAAATAGATAGTATAATAAACATAAATCGTGTAGTTATTTTCCTAAATCTTTTTAATAACTTTTATTTTAATATTTATGTCTATTCCGTCATTCAATATATTTTTAATCTACAATCTTTATATTTTCGTGAATGATTTCCTACATTCCTATTTTAATTAATTATGTAATGTTTTGTTAACAGTATAAATACAACTTCAAATGGCTGGCAAAATGATTATTTTGATGATGATGCCAAGTGGGCGTCGTTTAATTTGAACAATTTCAAATCATCAATAATCGTAGAAATTTAGCGATTTTAGCTTGTATATATTATATTTCAATAAACTAATATTCCTAAGTAACATAAAAGCAGCGCATTTAATGTATACAATCTTATCGCGAATATTTGGTTACCAAGCACTGACGCTTAGCTGAAGGCCACAGTACTAATGCTATAAGCCAACCTTTCAGCTAGATTGTTCAGTTTATAACTGCAATTTTGATGTTTTTAATAGAAAAACAATAAAAACTAAATCAGCTTAATCATGATATAACAATGCTAACCCACTTAAAACAATTCAACTGACTATATATATATATATATATTTTATTTTTTTTTAATAATTCCGTCTATATGCGATTATTATAAATGGGTAAACAACAATGAAATTTTGTAAATATAAACGTCAATTAAACGGCCGCAATAATATCACGTTTTGTGTCGCACTCTCGTTAAACTAATTGAGACGATCGTCTGACTGATAAATCAACAACTGAGGCACGCGATCGTTGATTGTTGACAACTTTTCGTGGATCGTGGATCGTATGGAATTCTTTTAGTCTATAACCAGCTATCGCCGCGGTCACCAACATTATCATAAAATTGGGAAAAAAATTGACATTCAGAAGCATCTAAAGCTGTTAAATTTATTCTTATGTCACGAAGGTTGTAAAAGACATTTGTGCAAATATTTACATAGTTTGTCAACTCAGAAGAAATTAGTGTTCTTCGTATAAAAAAATGTTCTAATTTTCATTGATAACGCTTGTGAAACTTAAAGTGAATTGAAATGCAGATAGTCTTATCAATATTGTATTGCTAACTTTGGCATTAAGCAAAGACAATTATAAAATTGAGTTTGTAGATATAATTGTATACAAGTATTATATTTAATATTAAATCCAAATACATTTTGAGGTGAATATATTTTAGCTGTTTAAGATTTTTAAGTAAACGTCTTATGTTTTAAAAATTATTTAAATAAAAATCGATTCCAATTTCTTGCAGATACCACAAAATGCCGTTAAAGAGCCTGAGTGTTCTGCTGCCGGGCCTGAAGTGGCTTAATGGCTATACGGCTCAGGATGCCGTGGCCGATTTGATAGCTGGCATTACGGTGGGTCTAACGGTGCTGCCCCAAGGATTGGCCTATGCCACGTTGGCTGGCTTGGAGCCACAGTATGGCTTGTACTCGGCATTTGTGGGTGGGATTGTGTATGCGCTTTTGGGCAGCTGTCGCCAGGTAACAATTGGGCCGACAGCGTTGCTGGCGCTGATGACCAGTCGGCATACGGGCTTTGGACTGGAGTCGGGACCCGCCTATGGTATACTCTTGTGCCTCATCTCAGGCGTGGTGGAGCTGGCAATGGCTGTGCTGAATCTGGGCGTTCTGGTCGATCTCATTTCGTTGCCCGTAACTGTGGGCTTCACGTCTGCGACGGCCGTCATTATTGGCACCTCACAGCTAAAGGGTCTGTTGGGTTTGCGCGGTGGCTCTGGCTCCGATTTCCTTAATACCATGCGCTCGGTTTTCGGCAATCTGCAACAGGTGCGTCATGGTGATCTAACACTCGGACTCGTCTCCATTCTTGTGCTGCTCCTGCTGCGCGTAAGTCAAACAAATAATTACATTTCCATGCCAATTTATATTTAACATTGATTTTTATTCGATGCAGAAACTGAAAAACTTGAATGTGGCGAATCGAGTGAAGAACTTGCGGGCTCAGCAGCTGCTCAGTGGCAGCATTTGGGTCATATCCACTGGACGCAATGCGCTCGTGGTGCTCGTCTCCAGCGTGCTCGCCTACAGCCAGTGCAAGCAGCTGGACGCATGTCCATTCATTCTCACGGGCAAGGTGAAGAGCGGTTTGCCCAATGTGGCGTTGCCAAAATTCGAGACCAGCATTCTGGGCAAGAATGGAACCGTGGTGCAGCAGGGATTTGAGCAAATGGTATGCTTAGTGACGCCATCAATATAAATATATATATTTATATTATAATAACATTTTTTTATGTTTCCTGCAGCTCTCGGAACTGGGACCATCGATGCTGATATTACCCATTATTGCGGTGCTTGGCAATGTGGCCATTTCGAAGGCATTCGGCGGCGTTGGGCTGAGTCCGACGCGGGAGCTGGTTGCGCTCTCGTTGAGCAACATTTGCGGCTCCTTCTGCAGCTCGATGCCGGTGACGGGTTCATTTTCGCGCAGCGCCGTAAATCATGCGAGTGGCGTTCGCACACCCATCGGTGGCTGCTACACCAGTGTGCTGGTGCTGCTCGCCTTGGGCCTACTCGCCCCCTACTTTCAATACATTCCCAAGGCGGCGCTCAGTGCTGTCATCATTTCGGCTGTGATATTTATGATTGAGTTCGAGGTGATTCGGCCGTTGTGGCGCTGCAGCCGGCGTGAACTGTTACCCGGCGCCATTACCTTTGTCATGAGCCTGGCCGTGGGCGTTGAAATTGGCCTGTTGCTGGGCGTTGGCGCCGATGTGTCCTTCCTCGTCTATCGTGCAGCGCGTCCTGTGCTAAGCGTGTCCAAGCTACAGACAATCAATGGCATTAACTATATTTTGATACGACCCAAGCACAGTTCTCTATATTTTCCGGCCATCGAGTGGGTTCGATCCAGCATCTCGAAGGCGCTCTCCACTCATGGCACAGCACCGGTTGTCCTGGACTGCGCTCATGTTCATGGTAATCAATTCGCTTATCGCTGCTAAATATTGCTTCTTCAGTTACAAATTCAACTTGAACGCTTTTAGCTTATTCCAAATAATGTTATATTTTTCTACAGATTTCGATTTCACTGCCGCACGTGGAATGGGCTCTTTGCACAAGGAGCTGGCCAAGGCAAATGTGCCGCTATTTCTGATGAGTGCTCACAAGGACATTAAAGTCATACTGAAAGAGTCGACAAACATTGATTTTCCCACGATAGAATGCGCAAACGATTTGGAATGCATTTTGGAACAAAGTGAGCAATATTTAAGTATTTTTTTCAAATTTATATTAAAATTATTTTCTTTATTTCAGCACCGGACTATGAGCTGCATTTGCAGGTGACAGCGCCGCTTGTGGAGTCAAAAATGCTGCAGAACGTTGATGCAACAGCAACCGAACTGACTAAGCTAAACTGACTGCAACAAGTACGTGGACCTGTCGGAGCAATTGCTAGCTACCCAAAATGGAATTGTATGCGAGCATTCAGCATCAATGCACAATTAGCTTAAGTTGATCGAATACTCCCAACTTTAAGACCCAACTATTTTTGTAACAATCCTTAAGTATTTCAGATCTGTCCTAGCTACGATTTTTACGTTTGCAGCGTGTTTTAAATGGTGATATATGTTTATGATCTTGGCCAGTTGATATAGTCATTTCTGTCTGACCCTCTATCCGTCTCTTGTCTGGTTCAGCTTAATTGTTTTTGTTTTGGAAATATTTTAGCTAAACTCACTACTTAGAAATTTTATTTTACTTCCAAGACTTTTTAGTATAGTTTCCATCCGTCCGATATAAAAACATATATTTGTTTAAGGCGCTATAATCTGTATTTACATTTTATTTATTATTTGCATATATATATATATCTGGTTAAGATTACAATAATATATAATGCTTGTAAGTGTATTTTATCTTCGGGACACACCGAAGATAATTGTCATTTCATTGACATTTTCATTCCTATTTATTCATATTCCTACTACCTAACAATCGAATAACTTAATCTTATCTGTATATAGTAGTTATGTTTTTATGCAAATTTTATATGTTCAATTAGATTAAGTAAAGTGAATTTTATAAAATGTATATTCTTACAAACGTTCGTATTTGTTCTTCTAATTAAAACTCGATTGCTGCATCCGATATTGATAGATTTATAATAAATATATTTATCATGCACATGATAATATCTAAGTAGTGTTGTGAATAATCGTTGCTCATTAGCGGGAAAACTTGAAAACAATACAATAGTTGAATGATTGGGAATAAGAATTCATAATTATTGCATAGTATTCATTGTTTTCAGAGATAATTTCTCAATGCTCAAATGATATTTTATTAATTATTAGAGAAAGTACAGTAAGGCAAGGTACATCCTCAATTTAGTCATAAAAAATAATTATATTGAATTGATTAAATATATGTATAAATTTGAACATGTATTATATATGGTGATATAAATTGTGTTAGACGGAAGGAAAAACGGTATTGCTAGCAACTAAGCACTTGATCAAGTTGATCTTGATCACCAAGACATCCATCAGCAATCACTGCATGATTCGGGTGTCCGTGATCCATCTGGGTGAACCTGATTCATCTTAACAACAGTGGCGCCAATGCTATCTTCACGAAAACGGCATTGTCCCATCCTTCCTTGATAGTGATATGTTTGTTCATTGTGCAATCATCAAATAATTATCCTTCTGCCTGTTTGGCTTGAACCCATCGACATCCTTTCTCTCCATTATATAATCCAGCTGTGTTCCGTATATAGCTCTTAATCTTAAACACGCATTAAAGTTACAACTGTGAGGCATAAGGTATTACTTCATTTAAAAATTCTTGGAAACTTTAGAGCTTGAGATTATTAATTATCGTATGCCATACAAAGGTCTGGTTTACCCTTTAGACTGATTTTTGTTGAATAACGTGCTCGCTTGCAAGTTACAAATTCTACTATTGTTTTTGTCTATCCTTTTATTTTTGTTTGACATAATCAACTATACCAATAGATAGGCCAAACATTGTAATATCTTCAGCCATGCAAAACCTGTTGCCAAGTTTATAGTATACTTTGCGGCCGTCGAAATAACTTAAAATTCTGATATAAAATCTAACAAGCTTTAGCCATTTTTATTGAAGATTTTACATGCACAAGGGATATATATCAAAATAAGTTCCATAAAAATATGATTACAAGCCGATTAAATCTCTTCAAATAATTTGAATGCTGAAGAAGAAAGAAACGAACGCATAATGTGACTTTCCCACAATAATTAATCATACAGGCAAGAAGCAATCAAAGGGAAAAGCGAGCAACAGTTGATAAAAATATCTCCACTCAAAAATGATTCAAGATCACAAGGCATAAAATTGGATTGCGCAGGCGCAAAGAGAGGTGAAGAAAAAGGCCGTCAAAAAATGTGTCACAAATCATTCAACCCAGACACCCCCAAAGACTGTGTGTGTGTGTGTGTACGCACCCACCTTGGGGAAAGTGGAAATGATATTAGTGCTACCGAAGATAAATAGAAAGAAACTCAAATTTAAACAGTTGCTTGGAAAAATCAACGGCGAACAGAGAACTTGGCATAACAGATCTGTACTCCGAAACAGTTCTGCTTGTAATACAATCCGTGCGTAACTACACCCGTGTAGATAAACAGATATTTATTTGTGCATATACATATGCACACATATATATATATATATATATATATATATATATATAAATATATATAGCAGTATCTGACTAAAGGTGAACAAACTCCACTAAGTCGTCGCGCATGCGTCGTGGTTTCTCCGATTTTGTCCTCCTTTTGTCGACGTTGTCATCCAATTTCAAAACATGAAAAATATGTGTTCATTTCCGTCCGTGTGTGCGTGTGTATATGTGTGCGTCAGCTCCTGATCCCCGGGTTGAATGAACTACATATGCATTTGTATATGATCCTGTACTTAATCCACACAGTTGACTTGTTGCCGTGCCTCAGTTCATTCAACTTTTGCAGTACAGTTGCTAACCTATGCGTTTGACAGTATTTTTAATATATATTTTATTTTTATAGGTAATTTATATATTTCTAAAAATGTTTTCAAGTTTGGCACTTCGCAATGTTAAAATTTCAATGGTGAACTATTTTTCAGAAATTGTCTTATAGCATTCGACTATTGAACACACCTATTCTTCAAACTAATTTACCAAAATTTATACACAAAGATAGGCGTAAATTTGATGAGATTATATTACCAGGTATTATTATTATTATTATTATTATTAGGGGGGAAGCTGCACCGCGACCTATTTGATCTATTGTGCCCCCCTTCTGAGCCTACAGCTCTTCCATCAGCCCCAACTCCCTTACGAAAGTGAGGATCTTTGTTGGATTGAGGTCTACTATGTCTTTGCAATTCAAAACATGCGCCCCTAGGATGCTGCTTCTTCTTCTAATTAAGGCGATACATTCTGCCAGGATGTGCATCGAGGATTCCTCCTCTCTTTCACAAATCCTGCAGAGATATGCCGTCCATTCCAGGGGACTTATAGGGTTGGAATGTTCCAACTGCCCAATTAAGTCTCTCCCTCCATTTACCAGGTATTAATAATATACAATCTTAAATTCTTCAAAGCTGCTCTATAGAATATTATGTGAGCGGACTAAACCAGCGCTGTAAGCAAATAACAATGAATTGCTTACTTAGCTTATATCTAGTTTCAAATCCTCTATTAGCCTGATCTTCATATCAAGTTAGTATCAAATAATGAGCGATAACTGAAGTAAGCAAATCATAGGTGAAGATCTGTCAATTTTCATTTATTAATATTGTGTTATACAAAAATTAGCATGGTTTAGTCGAGATAGTTCGATTAGTGGACGAACCCTGCCAGCTCTTAAGAACATAGTCGAAATGCTGATCCTAATGAAATGCCAGTTATCGATAATATGAAATAAACTTGAGCTGTCCATGGTATACGTTATATTTAAGTTAAGTTTTCTAGCTTGCTATATGTATGCATGCATATATATACATAGATGTCGTGGAAGGAATCTAATAGAAGTGATGGACGCCCGATGGAGGGACTACGTCCAATACTGGCTGGATCTATTTTTAGGCGCCTGTCGTCTTCGTCTAGTTAGTAGCCGACGGGCACGATGAATCTCTCTCTTTCTCCCTCTCTCACTCTCTGTTTTTCTGTCACACTCCGTCTCTCTCTCTCTCTCTCTCTCTCTATGTGTCTGTGTGTTGCCGAGGGCTGATGATGCTAGGGGCTCTGGCTGTGTTTGCTGCACAGATGGAGAAGCAATTTCAATTGCATTCCAACGCGCGTTCGGCACAGAGAGATACGGCTACAAATTAAACGGATATTCGATATAGATATCGATACGGATAAGATTTCGAAAATTCAACTGTGCACTTGGATTATCAGTGAATGTGAAATGTGGACAAATTTGAAATCTATTAATTAGTGATATACAATTGCACTCAGTTCCTAGTTAACAACTCTACACATACCAAAGCACTTAATTTTAAAAAATATTTAAAAAAAAAACAATCATTTAGTATTAAAATACATAAAATTAGACTGTGTAAATGCCCAGACTTGAAATTGTTTAAAATTCAAGTCGAGATTATTAAATTAATTCTACTCAGATACATTTTCAATACAAGGTGTGTATAAAGCTTTTTTACCCAACAATTTTTTTATAACATTTTTTGTTTGGTGAAATTCAGTGAAATTTCTTTTTAATAAATTGAAATATGCTTGCAATTTAATCTAGTGAAATTCATCAAGGAATTTAATTTAGATGTCTAAAAAATTCTTAACAGCTTTTTAGGCAATCAATTAGTCTATAAAAAACAATGCATGGACTTCTTTGGTCACAATTGGCCGTGATGCGAATGTAATTTGATGTCAGGCTGGTTGACAGAATTAGCATGCCACTTCCATGTTGCCCCTCAAAGTGCTGAAGGGGCAAATGTGCCAAATATAGGCGCCCAGTGAGTGTTCCAACCTACTGGCTAAAGTGACCACATCCCAAAGCATTTAAGTGCCAATGTCTGGAACGCACAGAACACACACAAAAACGTACAAATAAAGAAGACGGAGACGCTGCACAGCTTCAATTTAAATTGGAAAGAGACTGAAATATTTGTCGCATGAGCCCTCTCTCCACTTTTCATTTCACTTTCCACCAGAAAAAAAACCAAATAAAAAAACAAAGAAAAACGTAAACAAAAAAAAAAAAAAAAACAGAAAAAAAAGAGTGAACGCCACACAAGTTCAAGATTCTCACAGATACAGTCAGACAGCGGCGCGAGTATCTAAAAGTAGAAATGTTCGACGAAAGAGACGAAAGAGGCAATAAACTGCCACGAAAGTAGTTTACGGCAGTTTGCTGGGGATCCTTGACTTCTTCTTCGGCTGTCCCAACTGTTTCCCCCAGATGCATTTTCCCGCTTTGGCGCACGACAACAACTCGAACAACAACAGCAACACGAACAACAACAACACGAACAACAATAAAGTAACGACATCGCTTCGTTTAGTTCCCGAGCCGATAGTTTGCTTGATCTATTTTTGGCCCAGGCAAAGCCAGCATTGTCTTGTCGCCTAGCGTAATTTGTTTGTTGCGTTAGTTTTTGTGTAAACCATACACTGTACAAAATTGTGCATTATGATCATTTGGATTAGTTTTCGGAGTCATACAATTCATTGCGAATAATCTTTTATCCCATGTCACGTTTAAAATGCGAATTTTAGCCCAATAAGTGACAGGTGTTTGAAGTATTTTTAAATTTAGGCGCACAGTGTAGCCAG